GCAATTTCATTCACTTGTAACCGATTCCGCATCAGGGGAGCGACTGCTTCGACTTACTTTTTATTCTGACTTTCAGTGGAATTCTCGATCTCGTTGGCCGATTTTTGTATCTTGCTCGATGGACGACCGCGGCTCAAATGGTTTTCTGACTAGACACGACGTCAGATCGCCGCGCAAAAAAAGAGCAAGTCTCACAAAGCAGAAGCCAGGCATTTGCTGAGGGCCAGTCATGGGCCGTCGTGATCTTCATTTTGGGGATCAGGCTGGCCTCTTGTGTCTGCACCGGGGCCAAACATGCATGACTGCGTTGAAATGGACTGATTATTTCAGTGTCTGCTCAACGGCGACCTCGCACCATCTTCAATGCACTGAGAAACTGTCTGCCAGATCCATAGATCAATTAGTACCGCGCTCGTGGAGGTACTCACAAGCAACACGAAGCGGCTGTTTTCTGGCTAGGGCTCGCTCGACTCTCGCCGACGATTGCCACGGAATCGTCGCTCCCCACGAACTATGTGTTTCGAGTGCTACACGATCTGGGGCACTTTGGCAAGCCCACAGTACTTTTTCGAGAGGGTAAAGATTTGACATGACATGCTGCGGCCGTCTGCTCGAAGCAGGTACAAAGCTCGAGAACATTATCGCAGTCTGAAATCGATCGTCAAAGAATCGCCAAGACAGGGTCTCCGACGGCCGAGCTCAACGCTTCCATTGACAAATATAAGATCCACTCAGACCATTTCGCCTCTTGTGTTGGAACCATCGCTCCGTCTCCCAGCGTCGAGCAGGCGATAACAATCGGTTATGTTGACCTGGATCCCAGATCGTTGTTGCATCAAACGTGCTCCTCCCGCAGCACACAGTATGCAGCATTGAGATTATGTCTCGTGCTCAACCGGGTCCCCATCTCGTTCTTCCTCATATCCCGGATGTGTCTCAGCGAGAAATCAGCAGAGGAAGCCTCGAACACGTTTGTTGAACGGGCTCAAGATATTCAGAAACCTTTTTCGATTCCGATTCACAGAGGAAGGATCTGAAGCCTCTCAGAAGTCGTTTCACAGAACCTGTCGGCACTTATTGACACCATTTCGAGGGACTTGATTGTGCGTGAGCCCTTTTAGGTATCAGGCGACCACTTGCTCTGGATTTAAGCCCCTCGTCAGTGCTATTGAGGTGTACGGCAAACCAGGGCTGCCGCAATGACAGATTTGTGCACCCAAGTTCCCGACACATCTTGGCGGCTCTCCATCTGGATGGCTCTGCAAGACGTCGAGGATCTGGGATGTTAATTCACAAGTCAATTTGAGTTAATGACTTGAATGGCGCTGTTGATTAAAAAGCTCGCTTTCCTGAGTTCCGATACAGCCCGTCTAGCTGCACGCCAGATAGCTTTGCCTATTTACTTCAGCTCTACGAGTGTCAGCCATTGTCAGTAAACAATATCCTTTAGAAGATGACGAACCAAGCAAGATCGTTCGGTCTACCGAAAGACGGATGGCGGTGATCAAATTGGTCGAGTATGATACAGCGTTCCGCGATGGCTCAAGTGAACTAGATCTCAAACCGCTTGAATGGCCAGAAATTTGGATCATCCTACGACTCGTCGAACTGCCTGTCATACTTTGCAAGCAAGGACAGGGTAGTGGAGGCCGATGTTGCTGCCGGACTCGCAATCCGATCCATATGATAGTATCAAGGTCCTTCGCTTAATTTCGTTATCCGCGCATTTTTCTTTTGGCAGACTCGCCCGTTTGGACTTTGCGATTTGCACCAGTGTAGCCAGTAGTCGCAGACCGTGATAAAGCGAACATATTGACATGTGGCGGTGCCGATTACGAAGCCAGAATGTCAGCGAGCACGGATCCCTTCCCTTCCATCTCTCCACAACCTATTCATGTATGTCGTCCGCCTCCTCGTTCTTTCGTCGTCGTCGGGCATGGGTCCTAATATTTTCCGTGCTCGGCTGATATACTACTTCGGTTCGCCTTTCCAACTGCCCGAGGCAATCAAGGACGTACCGAATCTCTCACGCGCAAACATAGCCCAGTTTGCAAGAAACAGCACGAACGACCCGGTCGATGAGATATACGGCCTGATTCATCTCGTGACCTCCCCGGAGGAGGACCGTCAGCACATTCTGGGGCACACGGAGGGTTTCGACCCCACGAAGCCCGTGGATATGAGTCTGTATGCCGCTGGGGCCAAGGCCATGAACTGGAACAAGCGTGCCAAGGAGCTCGACCAGAAGTACCCCCTGGTTGTCTTCAGCAAGGTATGCACGTCGTCTGGACGTGTTTTCCCGTGTCTGATCGTGTTTCTCAGTCTTATTGCCCGTGAGTTTCAATGCCCCTGGGGGGCTTCTTCATTCCCGTCCCACACGCAAACCCAGGTTTTCGCGACGGGCAAAGGAGCTTTTGGCGTCTTATGATCTTTCTCCGCCTCCCCAGGTCATCGAAGTCGATCTCAGAGGCGCGTTCTCCGGCCGCTTATTCGGCTCGAGCTTCCCAGGGCTAATCAGTGTATACTAGACGACGCGACCCAGGTCAAATCGCTTCTCACGCGACTCACGCAGCACAGCACGTTCCCGAATGTCATCATCCGGGCAAGTCTATCGGTGGCTCGGATAACCTGCAGGCCCTTGCTGCGAACCACTCGCTCAAGCAGATCCTGGAAAATGCGGGGATTTCAGTCCGCGCCAATGTGTAATACGTTGTTTATGTGTTCTTTATCCGGTTTATTGCCTTGTGCTCGTACCCACCAAGTAGTAAAAGTATTTATCGCGCTTGGAAAGGAATGCAAAGCACATCGCCAAACACGTGTATACATAACACATCATCTCTTCTAGATGCCGCCCCAGCACATCGCCATTCTGGGCGGTGGGCTCTCGGGTCTCTCGTCCGCTTTCCACCTCTCCAGGAGGTTTCCAACATGCAAAATCACCATCATTGAGAAAACAAGCAGCTCGGCGGCTGGGCTGCCAACACGGCGCGTGTCACACTTCCCGGCGGTCGCGGGACCGTCGTCCTGGAAGGGGGTCCCCGCACCCTCCGGCCGAACTCGAACGCAGTGCTAGAGCTGGTGACGTGCCCCTGCGCGCTTTTTTGTGCCCACCAACGCAGCCGTCTGACGCGTCTCAGGTGTAGATCAACCTGCTCGGGCTCTCCGACGCTCTGCTCACGACGCCGAAGTCGTCGGCGGCGGCCAAGCGGCGGTTCCTCCACGTCCCGGGAACGCCGGGCATCTGGCGCATCCCGGGCCCGACGCTCTCGTTCCTGTGGTCTGAGCTGCGCTTTTTCATCACGCCGGGCCTGGTGAACGAGCTGGTGCGCGGGTGGAACCGGCCCGCGGACATCGTGGACGAGTCGCTTGAGAGCTTCCTCACGCGCCGCATGCACCCGGTCACCGCGCGGATCCTGGGCAGCGCGCTGGTGCACGGGATATACGCGACGGACGCGCGCCTGCTGAGCGTGCGTGCGGCGTTTCCGAAGTTGTGGGAGATGGAGGAGAAGGGGAACGGCCGGCTGTTGTGGGGCCTCCTTACCCGATCGCGCCAGGATAGGAACGAGGAGAAGCTCAAGGTGGAGGAGGACCGTCAACGGTATGAGCTGGGTGATGTTATGCCGCTCCTAGAGGGAGCTGCGGTTTTCTCGTTCCGCGACGGGATGAGCAGCCTTCCGCAGGCACTGACTCGTGCGATCCGGCAGAATCCGAACGTTGGCATTATGACTGAGACAGAGATCGAGTCGTTACAGTTGAATGAAGAAGGCTTCGAGGTACGTGAAGGCATCGCCTGCGATTTCATTAATGCCTGGCTCACGGGCTCTAGATCACAACCAAGCAAACCAATCCCGTCAGGCCCTCTCATGTCGTATCTGCCCTGCCGCTTCCCATTCTCCATCAGCTGCTTCCGGCAACACACGAGCTGCCATACCTTAGAACTAACCCGTATTCCTCGGTGACCTCGATCAATCTCGTCTTCCCTGGGAAACGGATTTGGCCCCGGGGGTTTGGATACTTGGTTCCTCGACCCCAGAACGACTACGCCGTGGATGAGGCTGGGATTCTCGGTGTGGTGTTCGACAGCGAGGCGTTGTCGGGGCAAGACAATCTCGCGCCAGGGGAGCAGATCACGAAGGTGACTGTCATGATGGGTGGCCCGCATCGGAATGTGGATACCCGCATCCCGGTTGTGCTCGCCCACCTGCAGTATCAGCTGAACCGCAGCAAGCCCTTCCCCGAGCCGCTGGCCGTGAAAGTTTGGGAGAACAGACACTGCATCCCGACGCCGATGCCTGGGCATTTGGTTCGCATGGAGCGGCTCCAGGAAGCTTTGAAAGGAGATCTGTGGCAGGGAAGGATGGAGGTTATCGGCGCTGGAGTGAAAGGCGTCAGCGTCGGGGACTGCATCGAAAGCGGGCGCAATGTAGGGCTGGAATGGTAATGGCAATCCCAGGACGTATGAGATTTTTTCAACTCCGACGCTTCCATGTCGAACGCTTGCGATCTCAGATCTCACGCTTATCTATTCCTCCTTTACATGTGGGTTGGTCAACGTGTAGAGAGCATCTTAATTCCCACCAGTCGGGCGTCCACTTTTCCAAAACTTTTCGTTTATGCCAAGTGGCTTATCCCCAGTCTCATGACCTGTCCATATGAGGCAATTCGCGGTGGGGTGACCTGACGCGCATGGATATTAAAGAGAGATATACTGGCGCAACAGGCTGTAGCATAACGTTAAGCTCTCGAATCGTTATCCGTCGCTCGCCAACGTGGCGGGCGAATGGCTCGCTTGCGCCGGGGGGATGCCCTTGCGTTTCCGAATCCGCTCTGCGCGCCGGACGGATACGGGAATGCCCGCCTCGCTCAGACTCTGGCAAGGCACGGACATGAGGCCTGGATCTGTGGATGACGGATGGGTTCGTGACAGACCTTGGTGAGTTCCGTCGAAGCCTCAAGGCGGGGAACGTCCTTGGTGGAATACACCTGGAACGGATTGCCCCAACACTCGCCCACGATCCGGTGCACCCGATGGCCGCCCACGTAGGACGCAGCGGTATCTTCCATGTTGAACAGCCGGTATCTGTGCCGCGGCGTCGCATCACATTCATATCTTTCCCCGTCACTGCATCATTCCTTGCGCACCTGAAGAGAAAACGGCCAGTTTCCATCGAAGACAGATCCTGGAACGCGCGTCAGGGATGCTATCCGCAGCACGACGAAGCGAGCCACGCACCGTGAACGGGAAGACGACCATAGCCGCACCCTCATGCTGGATGACACGCGCATTCGTAACCGATATCTCTGACAGCGCCCTCCTACAGACGAGAGAATCTTTTGCGCAGGTCAGCAGGAGACAGTCAGGTCACGCAACACATGCACTAGCCGAGTTGGTCTGGAGGGAGGCCGGTGCGTGGATCGAGCTCTGGCAGATACCTGAACAGCTCCGGCTGGCAGACGAAGCTGTCGCAGTTGACCGATCTGCAGAGCACGGAGAGAGAGAGAAATGAGTCACGGGAGTTTCGCTGGGCACATCGCAATGCGCGCGCGCTCGCCTGTAGTCTGTGATCTCTGCGTCCGTGCTATCGCCCGCGAAGAATCGAAGCTGCACCACTGGAGTCACGAGGATGCGATCAATGAGGCGTATTCATGATGAATGACAACACAGCAAAATGCACCCGGCGGCGGATCCAAGGGACGTCTATCCACCGCGACACTTCTGCGCACGAGGCTCGCTGCATCAGGCCGAGAGATAGCACAGCGGCAGCTCACTCACATGCGACCCCCGCATTTGCGCCCGACTTTCGCGGTCTGAATTTCGTGGATTTCCGGGCGTATGCTGTGGAGGGGGCCCGGGCAGCGGCTGCACTCATCGTCGGCGGGGACTACGATTTCGACGTCTTTCGTGTTGGGTGGCGGGTGGTGTTTGAGCATTGACACAATTTGGCTCGTGGGTAGCACGGGCCGCGGCTGATGGATCTCCAACGGCGGTGGCGGCGGTGGCTCACCGAACACGCCCCGGAGAGATGAGTAATACGACGGCGACCAGGACATGGCGGAGACTAGTGCAAGAAATAACAGTAGAGGACAACGCCAGACAGCAGGCTGCGGCTTTTTATACTCGTCAGACTGGCCATGGATTGATTGAGCACACCGCATCATGTCTCAGGGTAAAGTGCTCTCCACTCCCCCCCACGGATATTTCGCACGCAAAGGCTATTTACCGCATCTCGATCCAGCAGCTAATTATTCACCGGATGCGGAAGTTGAACGGGCACGTGGCTGTTGTTCATCACCCTCGAATCCAATTCGACATCAGAGGAGCACAGCGAGGTGGAATTCAGATGCGCTCTGGTCGTCAAAGATGTGATCCCCGTGCGTGCGAGGATCGAGTGGTCGCCTGCAAAATGCCCATCAGCACCTGTCGAACCGGGGCGTTTCCGCATGATCATGATGCAGAGTCGAACCGCACATAATTTGGCGTCCTAAGTACTGGCAAACGGCCACAGCAGTGGACCCCCGACTCCAGGCCATGGAAGGCTAAGTGAGACTCTGATGAGAAGTACCAAAGCTGCTTGAGCGCCTGTGGGAGGTAAGAATTGAACACAGGCCGTGCTTCATATATTAAGTAATTCCAGTTCGGAGTCCGAATTCGATTTCGAAGGCTGCCACCGCGTACGCAGGATCTGTGCGTGGTCACATTCCAACCCTACTGTGGGACTATCATCCCTGCTTCTCTCGAATGCGATTGTCCCTACGCCACATAGAAGGCAAATTTCGGAAGGTTCTGACACCCAAGTGAAAAGTGCTTGACTGGGAACGAGACCCTGAGACACTGCTAGCAGGTATTATCACACAAGTTGTCGCAGCCAAGGCCTCATTGCCCGCGGGTGGCCAGTCAAGATCCTGCATTCAAGTAGTTCATTCCGGTTTCTGCGCAACCCAGAACTCCGCTCTATAGATCCAGCGCATCATGGCACGAGAATCGCCCGTGTATTCACACTCGACCGTTCTGCTCCGCTGTCCATCCTCCTGCCCCTGAATCACGAACCCGATCTCCTGCACGGCCTGCAGCACCTCGTCGAGGCTGAGCTCCACCTTGGCCTCGGCCCCGCTCGTCCAGAGGAGCGGCCCCAGGTTGATCCACGTCCCCCGGGGCGGAGCAGGTGGTATATCTGCTCAAGGGTCGTGAAGACGTTCAGCGACGTGTCGATGAAGAAGAGCGTGACGATGTAGTCGTAGCCGGCGGACGCCGCGGGCTTGCGCAGGGTCAGAAAGTCCTTCTCGAGCAGCTCGAACGTCGGCGAAAGACGCGGGAGGGCGTCCGGGAACGACATGGGGCGGAAGAGGGAGTACGAGGAGCGCTGGTGCGAGAACCAGTGGGCGTAGGGATGGATCGTGTGCTGGTCGATGGCGCTCGTCCTGGACTCCGAGAGCAGAAGCCGCAGCGCAAGCGTCATGAAATACGAAAGCTCGTTGGCGGTGGTGAGAAAGCCTTGAATGACATTCATTAGACAGACAGTTCATGCATAGCACAACACGACCCACCCAGTTCTGAGATCTCCCAGGCGAGCCGCCCCAGTCCCGACCCGGGCACCAAGACACGCATGCCTTCACGTTCCCGTCGGTCGACAGCGCGGAGGACATCCAGAATCGGAGCGAATATATGATCGCGCTCCGACCTCCCGTCGGAGCTCCAGTCCCTCACATAGTGCTTCAACGCTTCCCTCACGCGCATCAAATCCGCGGAGGACCCCCCGCGCGGCGGCACGTCGAAACCAAGGTCGTCCTCGGCGAGCCGCGCGATCGCATCCGTGACGCGCCCGTTGGCGTCCGTCACCTGCGCCAGCGAGTCGAGTTTCGCGGGGTAACCAAGCGTGTAGCCGAGGCGCTTGTGCGGGCGGCTGATGCTCGCGTACGCCGCGCGCAGATGCGCGAACTCGGCCGTGGACAGGTGCCGGTAGCGCGCGAAGGCGTTGTGCGCGCGCTGCAGCGAGAAGGCGCCCGCCTCGGCGGCGTCGAGGGACCGCAGGGCGAGCAGGTCACGCAGCTCCGCCCAGCTGCGGGGGAGGAGGGAGAGGCGCCAAATTATGAATGTGACGGTGCAGGGGAGGGCGAGGGCGAGCCAAACGTCGGACGTCCAAAGAATCTGCATGCATGCAGTCTTACTTGATGAGTGCTGGTCGCCCTGAGCTGCAAATAAGACCAAGCATCTCTATCTAATCGTACAGCCACAGCCCTTAGTGCACTGCCACGACTGGGAAATCTGGCGACCAAGTTGTCCGCAAATTGAAGAAAATATCATGTGCAGACAAAGAGCACACGCAATTTGCTCTGTTCGATGGATTTCGAGTGCAAAGTAGGAGCGTATAAAATGAACAGTCGGAAAGTCGGAGTGCTGCACATCTCAAAACATAACATACCCTCCCTGCCTCATGGGAGATCCATTCCTCCGCCGTGTGATTATATGGGATACCCGGCCCCCGTCCCTCAACGAGACGCGGAATGGGTCCCTGATGCTGTGTACTGATGCCTTTATCTTACGACCTCCAGCCGAGCGCCAAGTCCCGCCTATCCACACACCTAATAAATGCTCACTACTCACTTCCAGGGCCCGGTGGCCTCGGAAGACGTGGGGGTTTGGACGGCTGCGACGGATATCAATGAAGGCCAAGCGTTGCGCTGTAAGTCCGTGGGTGGGTCCAGTGGCCGTGGCGCGAGGTCCCGCATCAGCCATGTGGGACTGATGACATGCCCGTTAGAAAAAAGAGACGGCCGCGATAGAAAAACTGACGGCCGTGATAGAAAAACTGACGGCTCGCGAGGTTGAAATGCATGCATGGCACCCGAGCGGAAGCTTGGCGATTGACGACGGGATCCAGCAGCTGTTTGGTTTGAACGAAGGCATTGTAACTACCGTCTGTGTCCAGTTAGTCAACCTGAGTTCCAGACCTGCGGATGTGTAAAAGCTGTAGATGACAGCAGCAGCGCGTGAGTCGCAACCGCAGGTCGGTGACCAGACCAGCGAGCGTTATCTGTCACGATGATGTGATATCTCGGCGTCACGTTGCCATTTCCGGACTCCCAACTTAGATCAGTTCTTGCTACCACGGTTTACGCGCAAAATGGGGATAAGTCTATGGAATGCCCGGGAGCGGTTCAGGAACGATTACAGTCGCAGGTTACAAGGCACCCAAGCGCACCGCTACCGCTACCGCTAGCCATGGGCCGCGGCTGATTGATGACGACCATCTCCGATTGCCCACTGCGTTGGAAATCATTCAAAAACGCACCGGAGGCATTTCGGGTTCACCGTTCCTCATATCCCACTCTCGTTTGGTTATGCTCTTCTTTGCCCTGCAGCTTGCTGCGGCTGGTTCTGCGCTTGTCGCCCCCACTTTCGTTAACGCCCGAAGTCTTGACACTGGTGTCTTTCCCCGCTCTCATACCTTGACCTCTCCTCTGGGTCCCGTCGTTGACCTGGGGTGTGCTCCTTTGTCTTGTCCGCTCTCTCTGTGTTTACGTATTGATCCAGTTACGCTGCCTATGCCGGCAACTCGTCCCTCCCGGGTCTGACTTTCTATGGCGGAATCCCCTACACCCAGCCACCCGTCGGCAATCTTCGCTTCGCTCCGCCCAAGAAGCTGGTCGAGAGCCACAAATCGCTCAGCAACAGCGATGTGATTGATGCCCGCAACTGGGGAGCTATCTGCATCCAGCAGCCGGCCGTCGTGGGCATCGGCAGCGAGGACTGTGTGACACTCAATGTGTGGACTCCTGCCGGCGCGAATCCGCACAGCAAGCTGCCTGTGTACGTCTACATCCATGGTGGAGGTCACTACTATAACTCGTATGTTTCCCTCTTGAGTGAGCGTTTTTTATGCGGTGATGCCGACGCGTTTGCAGGGCCCAGGGTTTCCCCGCGAACGACTGGGTCGCTCGCTCTAACGGCGGTCTGATCGCTGTCGCCATCCAATACCGTGTATGTTTCTGCAGATCTGGCACTGATCACGCTTTCTGATGTCGTTTACAGCTCGGCATGCTTGGGTTCTTGTCCGGAAACGGCCTGCGGCTCGACCGGTCCGCGGGGCCCAACAACGGTCTGCTCGACCAACGCGCGGCTCTCGAATGGATCCAGCGCAACATTGCGGCCTTCGGTGGCGACCCGAGCAAGGTCACGATCGGCGGGGAGAGCAGCGGCGGAGGGTCTGTTGCCCTGCACATGACTGCTTACGGTGGCGAGCGCAACCCGGTGCGTCGTATTCCGTCTGTCTTCCTTTTCCGGGCTGGTGCTCAACGTTTATCCTGCGCTACCAGCCATTCCGCGCGGTTGTCATGGAAAGCCCCGGGAACGACCCGTTCTACGACGACAGCCACACCGAGCAGTGTTTCCTTGACGCGATTGCGCACATCGGATGCCCCAACGATAACAACGTCGTTGCCTGCCTGCGCAAAGCGACCGGTGCGTCCGCTTCATTTCCGCGCCGGATCTGCGATGCTCACTCTATCCCCGCTAGTCGGCGCTATTGTCTCTGCGGCGAACAACAAGCTCGGGACTTGCAAGTACGAGCCCATCATCGACTGGAACTACGTCGTTGGCATCACCAGCGAGCTTCTGGGGACTGGGCGGTTCAGTAAAGTCCCCATTCTCGGTGGCCATAATGCCCAGGATGGCTCCATCTTCGTTGGCAAGCCCGCGCAGGTCACTACCGATGCGGACATGGTCAAGGCCGTCCTCAAGCGCTACCCGACGCTCTCGCAGCTAACGACCGAAGCGATGCTGAAGACCTACCCGCCCGCGTCGGCATCTACGCCCTGGAAAACTCAGTGGGAGCGGACCATGTGGGCCTACATGGAGAGCGAGGTGCGTGGATGGTGCTTGTGGTCCCCGATCTCCTGACCAACTCGTTATCACAGCTCTCATGCTGGCCCTGGTACATTGGCAACATTTCCGGAAAGCCAGCGTACAACTATCGCTGGGACGCAGTCGACCCGAACATCATCGCCGCGCGTGGCGCCTACGTCGGCGCAGCACACACCGCGGAGCTCTTCTACCTGTATGACGGCACGAACTCGGGCCCCAGCGCGTCCGTCGCGCAGCCCGTATTCACCGCCTTCAAGCCCGCCGAAGCGGACCTCGCGAAACAGGCCGTCGCGTGGTGGTCCAGCTTCGCGATGACGCTCGACCCCAACACGCACGCGGCCCCTGGCGCGCCGCGCTGGGAGCCGGCGAGCCAGAACGGCGGATTCATGGTCCCGAATACCGGCGCGTCGGCTGCGTCCAGCGCGATGTCGTACATCGACGCGGACTACCCGCGGCGGTGCGCGTGGTGGCGCAGCGTTGCCGAAGAGCTCCGGCTCTGAGCGCCGTTGCATTTGAGCGCGATCACATGGTCTGATTTCACAGCCGTTGTTGGATTCGATCTCTCGTGTATCCGCACCCCCATCGTTCATCATTCCACTCCCCGGGATGAACGAATGTTCTTCTGTTCATTATACCTCGACTTGAAACGTATATCCGTATTAGTAGTAACCCGCACGTTGACTGATCTTTAACTGTATAGAACTCCGTGGACCGCTCCTCTACCAACTGTAGCGAATTGTATTCTCAAATCTCACACTATCAAACTGAAAACTGAACCGGAAAAAAGAGAAAGATTTTAATTCAGAAGGAAGTCCTTGGAAACATATAGACTTTCTGAGCAGTAGTCAACGCGATTGGACGCCGGCAGGTGACTGAACAGGCGTGTGCCAAGTAGAGCCGTTTTCACTTGAGGGTCATCTCGTTGAAGTGCACACTCGACTGATAACCAGTCTATATTTCAGCCACAAGAAAGGCCGCGGGTATCGAAGAAATGGATGGGCTGCTATGAGACACAAATACAACAGATGTGGTACGTCGTACACAATCAATCACCTCTAGACAGGCGGGGCACATTAGATTAGATTAGCACTTCTCTCGTCGACCCTACTCCGCCTGCGCCGGAAGCTCGCCGACCGGCTTCAGCGCATCGGTTTCTGCCTGTGGTCGCTTGATCGAAGCCTGTACACCATTCGTCGGCGGACTGCCCATGTTGGTGTCTCCCTGCATCATTTTCGACGACGGCGGGCTGACGGAGGAAGACATGTCCTCCCGTTCTGCGCGGTGGATGACATCCACGTCGCCCTGCACGACGACGCCCTCGAGCCACTTGTGGTGCACCATGTCGCTTGCCTTGGCCCGCTTGTCAGGGTGCAGTCGGAGCATCGGGGTTAGGAACGAGGCGATGTCGTCTGCCTCCGTTTTCGGGAACAGGTACTTGTCGTGCAGTACCAACTCCAGTGGCCAGTAGCGCAGCTTGCTGATGTGCCGCAGTTCACCTAGGAGACAGAATCTCAGGCCCGAACGAAAAGAACAGTCAAGCATGGCATACCTCTTCTATTGAAGAATTCCGAGCTGTATTTTCCACCAAAGGCGATAGCTTTGGGAACATCACCCACCAGCTCCAAGATCTGAGCCATATGATCATCGTCTTTTGTGTACCGAGTGCCCTTTGCGGGATCGAAGAGGTAGTCTCCCCCTGTTATGAGCTCAAAGATCTAGGGGCACGGGTTAGCATCAACCGCATAGCCTGCTGGTATCACAACCGACCACACAAGCGACGCTCCAGATATCAGCGCTCGGGCCCCACTTGGCGCCAACAATGACCTCCGGTGAACGATATTGTCGTGTCTGGATGTCGTCTGTGAAATGATGATGTGTCCAGGTGGCTACGAAGGAGTCAATTCGATGCCATCTCACACGTACACTGACGCACCATTTCCCAAGTCAGCGATCTTCACAGTGATCTTTTCCGCAAGATCAGCTGTGTTCGGGTCGACATCTATCTCCATGTCCCCCGAAGATCCTCCGTTCGGGGGCATCGCCCCTTTGAGAGGCGCGTTCTGTGTCAATAGCGACACATTAGCCGAGTGTGTCGATTTGGGTGAGATCGAAAGCGAATGCAGGTCGATCTCCGAATTGGGTGTCGTCGCCGTTGGTGTCCCGACAGGGCTTTTTGCACTGCCGTCTATTCGGGTCATGCCCAGGCCCCAGCGGTCGACGCTGGCTGCGGACATGTAGCTCGAGCTGAGGCTGCTGCTGCTCTTTGGCGACGGAAGCGGTTGCGACACAAAGATGGACGATTGCGTGCGCGGCGTCTGATTTCCGCCACGGCCCTGCGATGGCGGGACGCCGATGATCTTGGGCTTCGGCGCGGAGCTTGAGGGCGAAGCGGATGCCAGTGCAAGCTCCGATTGGATAATGGACTCGACGTCGTCGATGTGCACCAACACATTCTCGGGTTTGATGTCTGTGGCGCATCAGGCTGGGGCATGGAGCGACCGGTCATGGGGCGACGCACCGGTGTGTATGACCCCACAGCAGCGGTGCATGTAGTCCAGCCCGAGCAGCACCTGTTTCGCGATTTGCTTCACCATGGGCATGGGGACACCTTTGTTCTACGGAGAACGTTCGCTCTAATCATAAAGCAGCGCAAAAGACAATCGGGCGCACCTGATGCCGCTTGATGAGACCCAGTAGACTTTCTCCCAAAACCTCGAACACCATACACACGTGCGTGCCATTGGGCCCGTTATGACGGAAATGGTCCAGGAACGAGATGACATGAGAGCGCCCGGGATGGTTGTTCGACCCATTGGGGGAGCTAGACGTGATAAGGCGCTGGAGGAGTTTGATTTCGTCGAGCGCTGTCTCCGTGTATCGTGCGGCCGATTTGACTACTTTCATCGCGACATGTCGTTTAGACCTACGGAACCCGAAAGTTTCAGCATATCACCTCCTCTGCTCGCGGAGAACCGTACGCACTTGCTGTCCCATGTCAACCAGACTGTAGAGAAATGTCCCCAGCCCAATTTGCGCACGACAACGTAGCGATTATCAGAGAAGGCATCACCAATCTTCACGGGGTGGTATCCGCCCGGTTTGTAGTCCTCCCAGTCCTCCTCGTCCTCCGCATCCGAGAGCTCCGAGGAGACAGATTCTGGCGAGCCAAGCTGATCTTGCATGGAGTGGGCATAGTGTTCGGGGGGTTGAGACATGAGGAAGGGTCTGTTCGAGGGAGGAGCAGCTGGTTGATGGGGAAAGCAAGGACAAATATATTCGGACTTGGTCCGCGGCAGACGCGTGGGCAGATCTATGCAGATTCTTTTTTAGCCGCCGCAGCACGCGCACGGAAAGAGATTCGACGCGCCTCTGGTCTGTGCAGAAAGAAGCCTGGTGGGTGTTGGTGGCAGACAAAGGAAGTTGGAACCACGGAAGGATCATTTCCCTGTCTATCATCTGCGCAGCGAAGCGAGCCAGCCTAAAAGCTGTAATAGGCAGGTATGAGCGCATATATGGATGCCAGAGCGATGGAGGCAAGCGCCGGTCCCGGTCCCGGGGGCTGGGCTGGTAGTGGTCGAGAAATGACGATAATGACTCGGTGCGATAACAGGCAGCACATAAAGTCTATAACGCTATCTGCGACTATCAATGCTATCGACACATCGCGCCTTGCGATCTACATCGTCTCTAGCAGCTAGAACACATCTAGGGTCGGTCTCCGTTCAGACGGTCGCGTGGACCAGCACAGCACAGGAACCCACTCGTTCGCCATCGGGGGAGGCAAGCGCCACGCAACGTGCTCAAATTGTTGTCGGCTGCAGAGCTTCCGTGAAGCAGCCCAAGTTCTCGGCGCCGATCTCTTGCTGTGTCGGACACGAACGGGCATGACGCAGAGAGAGAGGCATGACCATTGGCGAAAGGTTGTTGCGTCAGATCAAGCTTGGTGTTAGTCGGGTGAAGTACTGGGCCAACGGAACTTGCGACTTGCGTGCGGTGGGGACAAAGGCGAATTCGAGGAGATGAAAATAGGGAAAACCTTGGCGTGAAGTCCTCGGCAGCAGGTGTGTCAGCCACAGAAGGCGTGGTGGTGAATGGTCGGCATTGGAAAACAGCTTGCATACCAGATTTCTGAGACCAGTTGGCGTAACATGTCGTGTAGGGTCGGGCTAGACCACCATAGAAAATAATTTTTGAGGATTTCAACAGAGTGCCAACTGAATGGACAAGTGAATGGGTCGGAGACGGTCGTGCTGGGAGAAGACGGACAAAAGAGTAGCGGTCGTACTAGACTCGCAGCAAGTAGCACAGATGTCACGTGTGTCACTGACTGTCACACCTGCCTACGCACAAACGACGATGTGGTCAACGCTAGCTGTAGTTCTCTGCGGTCTGCAGGCTGCACAAGCTGTCAACGTGTATCTCTACCCTCCTCAAACCTTTCTCCGTGGCGAAGTGGGCGCAGAGGACGCAAGTGCGGCCCTGTCACGCCATTTAGGCCTGGAGATCTTCGAGCCTTTGCGCGATAGCTCTGTGCTGGACTACACTGAAGAGTTTTTCGTTGGGAAGGGCCACAGTAATGTTCTGCTTTTGACCATGGATCATGAAGATGCGCGGGGTGAGTGATTGTTTGGGCTAGATGTAATACGCCTCTGACGCGTTTTGTAGCCCTGCACTTGCCGTCCTCCCTACGCCCCTCATTCGAAATCCTCACTCCCCCTTCATCTCCTGTTCACTCTCTTTCTTCCGTTATCTCGACATATATGCACCGTGCAAAGCACGTCTACAGTTCGATCTACTCCTCAGACCCCTTTTCGCAAAGTCGGCCAGCATGGTTCACCGCTGAATTGGACACCGTCAAGTCCCTTTTCGTCGATGCAAAGTCGTCTGCATTTGCTGCTGCCGAGCTCTCCGGTCTCTCTGAGCTGCGGGCTGCGCACGGCGTCCACAGTGACGAATACCGTTCTTCCGTCAGTGCGACACAGCAGCTACTTGATTTCGCCGTCGACAACGAGATTCGCGTCGCTCTCCTCACGTTTTCGGTGCCGACTTCGACTCCGGCTAAGCGCGATGCCGAGCCCCAGCCATCTCAGGCACCATTCCCCCGCCCTCCACCCCAGTCGCCCATGGACTCTATCTCCACGTGCCATTCCACGGTTAATGCATGCACCAACGCAACTTCGTCGTGTTCGGGCCGTGGCGAATGTCTGGCTGTGACCAAACTCGGCAACACGTGCTTCGTCTGTAGCTGCCGCAATTCGCGAGCCGGAACCGGGAACCAAGTGAAGACTGACCGCTGGGTTGGAGAGAGCTGCGAGCGCAAGGACGTCAGCGGGTGTGTTCTTTCTCGTTCTGTTTCCCGTATGTTCGGTTGACTGCGGGACAGTCCTTTCGTTCTTTTTGCTGGCACGACAATCGTGCTTCTGATCATCGTGGCCGGATCTGTGTCTCTGCTGTACAGCATCGGCAATGTCGAGCTTCCCAGCGTGCTTTTGGGCGCAGTTGTAAACGCCAAGAAGGACTGATGCACCAGGGTGCTCTGAAAGTGGACGCTCTTGTAATACCTTGCAAGCTCTGGGTACATGCAACTCGTGCAATAAATTAATAGCAATGGATCCGTCCTGGATTAGCTCTAAATGTGGCGGGCGCTTCAGCGCTTCTGTGCCCACCCCTTCATGATTTCCTGGTTAGCACAGCTACCGATAGGGTCAGGGCCCGGTACATCCTCCACGCCGAACTCGCATCCAATTCATACACAAATGAATGCGTATAAGGGTATATACGTTCGACCCACGGGCAGTGAATGGGCTCGTCACAAGTCTAAACAGGGTTAGAATTATTGCCTTTTTTAGAGCACAGGTGTTTCGGGCCAGATGATCCCAGGCGTGAGAAAATCTTCCTTCGTTCCGACTTGCCGTCACTCTGGGCTCGCTGTGTCCATCATGACCTCCAGCAACGGCATGAAGCCGGTGACCCCAGAGTCGATATACTTCAACCCTTTCGCTACGGAGACTCGAGGGACGACGGCCCTCGACCTGTCCTACGGTTCCGAGCGCAACCTGCGTCCCGCTGTGCGGAGGAGAGGGTCCGGGACGGACAGCGTGGCAACAGCCGAAGGCTCCTCGGGCCCAATCAATGGTTTTCGACATACGCGCCTGCGGACAGAGGGCACTTCCTCGACGGCGGTTGTCGCGGGCGGGCACCACCCTTTGGGGAGCGCTGATCTTTCGTCGGGCTTTCGCGCTGGAGTGGATGTGACGAGGCCGCAGCTGACCCGTGTCCTGAACATCCCTCCTCTCGTAGATGCCCCGTTGATACCCGGCGCGGACATGATCGTGGCAGAGCCGGCTGTTGACGAGAGGATCGTTTTGGTGCATGAGGTGTGCTGGGGGCATGTCGAGTCCCTCTGTCTCTCGCTTACACCTCTTACAGGTGACTTCGAAGGACTCCTTGGCTGGAGTGGCACTCAAGTATGGCATCAACTTGGCGGAACTGCGACGCGCGAACCAACTATGGACCTCCGATAGCATCCACCTGCGCAAGGTTCTCTATATACCCATAGACAAGTCATCTCGACCCAAGGAGCTGCTTCCTCGTGACGACAACGTGTCATCACCGTCATCCAGTCCGCCTTCCACGATCCGACGAATACCCGCCTCGCAGCTATCCTTCTTTCCTCCCTCGCAACGCAGCGATCCCCCCTCATCTCCGACCCCACGATCAAGGCCTGTCCACTCCCACCATGCTCGGTATGCGACGACACCTGGCGCAGCCCCGGCAGTGTCCACATCCCCCTCCTTCAGCTCGATACTAGCAGCAAGGGACACCATCATAGCTCGGCTCTCGTACGATAGCACGAGGACAAGTAATTCCAGTTATTCGGATCACGACGAAGGACATGAGCTCAACGACGTTCGTTTCTCGCTCGATTCCGCTCTCCGTCCTCTCGCGAGGAACAGCGTAACGCATACCCGCGCGTCATCGGCAGGCGGCAATACCTCCTACCCTCGGTCTGGTCCGCCACGCACCGTCCAGCTGGAGCCTTCACCTGCCATGCAGCTTCCGTCGTTTGCGACCTTTGGACGGAGCTCAAAGAGGCATGCTACCCCGGTCTATGAGGGCTTCGACCTGTTGGGGCTGAGGAGTGGTGAGGGCGAGGGCGAGACGGTGGATTTAGATGATTCATGACCCCGGAGGTCATCATTCCCATGTCGAAAATCCAGATCGCAATGGAGAGTGGTGGATGCACAATCTGCGGTCAATGGAAGGTGCGTGGGATCACTCTGCCGGGATTTTCAATTGACTGTCTTTGGTGCAGGCAGGGATGGGTGTATCATTGGTCAAGAACTGGGCGAATCAAATGTATATTACATGTGGCCTACGGCAAGCATTTTCATGAGTCGCAGTTGGTACCTAGCTCCGTGCGCATCGATAGCTTTCTGCACCGTCAGGTAAGGTGAAGTTGGGTTCTGGGCATATGGCAAGACCGATCACCTGCCAACGTCTGGATCCCGTTCGACATGTCCACACAGGCATGGAGCTTCTTTACTTATGGATTAGGATTGATTAAGTTGGAGAGATTGAATGATCTTCACCCCACGCTGGGACATCTTGAAAGTAACTTTCCTGGGTCTACGATTGTGGAAGCAGACTCTGACTTCGATCCGCGATCCGTTTGAATGTGTTAGGGATTTCAGAGATACGAGTTCGTGTAAATTACACAACAGACTAATAAATCGTATTAATACCATCTCGGTGACTGTGGAACATCACCGAAGTAGAAATCAAGAAGTTGAAGTTGAGCGCGCGGCTGACGCAGCAGGATTTTCGATATGCACGGATGATGACAAAGCGTGCTATCCCTCCTAATCCTACAAAATATAGATTTCACAGATGACAGGATCAATTATGTGGCGGAACCCGCCGACAAGGCCAGTCGGGAGGCCTCGAGCTTTTGAAAATCACTTCGTGGTTCTGGTTGTCTCCAGTCACATGACGAGCAAGACAGAGCCACATGTCCATGGATCGCATTGACGGTCAGGTGATCGCACGCGTCAGCCGTGGCCGGACTGCGGCGGCGGAGTTTCAAAAACCCTTATATAAGGAACAGCGTCAAGTCATTTTGCATCCCCCACCCTCACATACACCCCGTCCGCTGACCGTTCTCCCTTCCAGTGAGTTGGATTTACGTCCGGACTGGTACTCGCCCGCGGCATTACATACTCTACCACTATATAAATTGCAATGGACGAGCACCAGTTTACTCAAGCACAAGTGCATGGTGCGCCTGGCTACATGGCGGTCCCAAATAGGGCTCCGACTGTATCCTCGCTCCATGTCACCTCGGAGGCGAAATTGCGCCAGTCCTACGCGCGGCACCAGGGCATGTCACCAGCGATGGATGCGATGCTCCCCTCAACTGCTGCGGGCAAAGAGTCTGACGATGATGAGTCAATGAACTCTAAGCTGACTCGGGCTTCCAGTCGTTCATCCGCCACGCCCAACACAACGACCGCGACCAGACGTAATGTCACTTTCTGCCCGCCATCGCCTGCACCCCGCTTCGCCGGTTTCCCTGTCCGGCCGCCTCCTCAGCGTAAGGCAAGCAATACGGCCCCGCGCCCTGTAATCTCATACGTGGTCCCTGCGGTGCCGGCTGTGCAAGAGCGCACTGCATCATCCACCGAATCTACTGCGGAGCAACGGATGGCCGAGTGCTTACGTGTTGTTGATCACATACGATGTGCGCCTGGTCTAGCACCGCCTTACAACTCTTCAGACCTTACCACCATGCCCACAGCTTCACCCGTGCTTCCAAGATACGAGCAATTCAGTGCTCACTTTGGGGAGAACACCCACGACACTGCGATCCCAGTCCATGGTGCCCCGGATCCCGCGCTGGATAGTGCCGGGCAGTGGTCCATGGATGATTATGTTGTCGACGAACAACATGATGCCAGCCGGGAGCACGGATACTCTTCGCCCTATCTCACTTCCCCCCGCCCATCTCCTCTGACCTCGGACAGTGGCACCAGTCCCGACATGACGCCATACTCCGAAATGGGCACCCCGTACATGGGTGTTCATGACTCCCCTCTCATCCGGGACAGCGATGAGCCATTCCTTACGGGGGCTTCGTTATTTGGCGGTGTCGCCGAGTCTGAATCCGCCGCTGCGGAGTCAATGACGTCATCGAGCAAACAGCCCACCCGGGCGCTTGTTAAAGCAAGCCCCTCCTCCCCGGCCTTACCATCCTTCGACCTGCCTATTACACGCAGCGGACCAGTAGTACCCCCTTCCCCCTTCCGACCTCGTGGTCCGACGATTGGTGCGACAGGCACCCGGAAGAATAGCACGCCAGCCTCACTCATCGCCCACGACGCTCCCACCCAACGCCGGACGTACTTGACACCCAGTGCGACCAGTCGCAAAGCCGTCCCCGATGCTTTTGCCAAGAAGCGTGCTCACTCCGCCGCGTTTGGCGAAGACGAGCCAGAGCCTAGCCTGAGCGAGGAGGAGGCTATCGTCGCCAAACGGCGCCAGAACACCCTCGCTGCGCGGGCCAGCCGCAAACGCAAGCTCGAGCACCAGCTGTTCATCGAGGCTCAGGTCGAGACTTTGACGGCGGAGCGCAATGCCTGGAGGGAGCGTGCGCTGCTTGGCCAGGCGATGCTTGCAGAGAAGGGTGTGCTGGTGACTTTCGATACACCCTCGCAATAAACCAACGAATGATTTCTATTCTATGCACCCCGTATACTTATGTACTTACTGTAGACCCTCATCCCTGCTCATTTATCCGAAATGTATCTGACTCTGTACTGTATCATCTCCTATGTGGCCAGTTGGCTGTCACACATCTCCGCTCGAAATTGTATACATGCCTGTGCAGTAGTCCAATGGACCTCCAACCAATATATGCAGTACTTGTCCCATCTCAGTGTGTAAGTAAAGTCGTCATTAGAAGATGTCACCACAACATCGCATGTGGCACAATCAGGTGATCGCGTTTTCTTTCCCTTCTAGCTCTCGACTGATGTCTCTCGCGCTCCACCGCCATGTCCACCCGTTGGCACTCGGCCTGCTCATTGGCATCACGCTATCAATCTCTTCCTCCTCCGTCCTCCAGTACCTCGACCGTCGGCGGCGTCGCGCGGCCCTCTCAGAATCTGCGGAGCAAAGCCGACCTATCGAGTTGAGGGTGGATGAGGTTCTCGATGGCTTGCCTGCGGTGATCGGTATGATGCTCTACGCGCAAGAAAAAGTATCCCTGATAGAATGGGTGCAGGAAACACGCCCCTCATTCGAGTCCCCTCACTGTCGAACGCAATGGGTGTGGAGATCTTGGGCAAAGCGGAGGTTAGTCTTATCCTCCCTTGATACGGATCCGCACCCACCCCAGACTAGTTTCTGAATCCTGGAGGAAGCGTGAAGGACCGCGTCGCGGGACGAAGTGCGTTTCTGCTGGGCACTTTCGGGCATGTAGAAACGAAATGACCGCCGGCAGTCATCGACGATGCGGAGCGTCTCGGGCTGATCCACCCGTACACGGGCTCGCGGATCTTCGAGGGCACGTCCGGGTCCACCGGCATCTCGCTGGCGATGGTCGGACGTGCGCGGGGCTATGATGTCAGTGCGTGGATCCACCGGCTGTTCCTGCGCGTGCTGTCTCGTGCTAATCTGTGGACGTGCACAGCGATCGTCGTCCCGGACGACATGGCCACAGAGAAATTGCATGCACTGCGATCACTGGGTGCAGATGTCGAGCAGGTCCGGCCGGCGAGCATCGTCGACAAGAAGCAGTATGTCGTGCGTACCCATCTCCCTATATTCCTCAATTCTGCTCAACGCCGTCTCCAGAACATAGCAAAACGCCGCGCCCAAGAGTTCTCGGCTGCTGCCTCGTCAGAATCGACATCTTCGGATGATCCTCTCCTCGACCCAATGGAAGTCACGCGCCGCGGATTCTTTGCGGACCAGTTTGAGAACAGGAGTAACTACGACGCCCATTTCTCCGGGACAGGACCCGAGTTGTGGAGACAGACGAACGGGAACGTGCAAGCGTTTGTGAGTGGGGCGGGTATGTCGTTTGGCATCGCCGACTCCGCACGAAATCTGACACTCGATAGGCACAGGAGGAACGATTGCTGGTGTTGGCCGGTTCCTCAAGTCGATGGATGCTGATGTGGTCGTGTGCCTGGCTGATCCGGAGGGCAGTGGCCTGTACAACAAGGTGCGCGCTCCGGCGTTCGAATGAGAACGTGGATATGCAGACGGAGCTTGTGCAGATCAAGTACGGTGTTCTTTTCGACCAGCGAGAGAAAGAAGGCACCAGACGAAGGCACCAAGTCGACACTGTCGTAGAGGGGATGTACGTGTCCTCCGACGAAACTACGCAACCTCACGGCTGACTGCACCGGCGCAGAGGACTGAACCGCCTGACGCAAAACCTCAATCTCGCGCTCCCGGTTATCGACGACGCTTTCAGGTACGGCACGGTGTGCCTGCGTGAACGAGCTGCACTGAGTTTACTGCCCAGAGTGACTGACGCTGAAGCTGTGGCCATGGCGCGCTATGTGATGAGGCACGACGGAATCTTCATCGGGTCCAGCAGTGCATGCAATCTTGTGGCCTCTGTTCGTTTGGCAAAGAAGATGGGATGGAGTAACGGAGAGCGGATCGCCACTGTTCTGTGAGCTCCCTCCGCTTGGTGGGTGACATTGGGTGCTTAACGTGCGGGACTGTAGATGCGATTCGGGATCGAGGCATTATTCCAAGGTATGTCTGGCAACTCCGTGAGGCTGACGATAGACTGATCATTGGCTATAGTTCTGGTCTGTTGCGAGGTTCATGCTACCGAGGAGTTCGACTGACAGCAAGCTATTATTAGGAACGACGAGTATCTCAAAAATACGGATATCCCTATCGACCTGCAAATCATCGAAGACTTGCTCTCCGCTTGATCAAACGCGTCTGACTTCCCATACGCCTGAAAACGGCAGGCCCAGGCTGAGGCAGGGGCGAAGTCGATGGTGCTAGGGTCGCTCTCAGATCAAAACAGAAGCTCATGCGACGAATGCGTTGGTTCGAGCATTTGTAAATCATCGGACACGATGTTAGTTTCGGGAGGGGAAAATAAGTTTGTGATGTATGGCGTATATCTAGATATAGGCATACATGGCCGCGGGCAGTCCAGATAGACATGGCATGATCGTAGAAAAGTCGGGGATTCATTTCATGAGAAGGAGCGTGTGGTTGTGGACAGAGCAAAAGAGCGTGTAGATGACAAGGATCGCGGTGTGGGGGAAAGATCAGTTACGATTCTTTTTCTTGCCGGGTGCATTGGCAATCGCATCCGGGGCTCTCTTTCGCTTCGAAACGGGAGCAGAGACACCTGAAGCCTTAGCATCGAATTGGCCAAGTAGAGCAGGCGGCAGGTCATCTCGCCCAAAGATCCGCGCTGCTGGGTCGAAGTCCTGAAACCAGGGCTGTTTCAGTGTGTGACGGATCTGGAGTCGGCGCGGGTAACTGAGGCGCAGCAGTTGCCGGACAAAGGAATAAGCTGTGAGCCGTGTTATGAGCGTCTGTGACAGTGGAGGAGGAGGCGGGGGCCGACACACCAGCGACGCTGACACCCACGTGCTCCAGCAACAGCCAGTCGATGGTCTCGTTATTGGGGTCAAATGGGCCGTCATGCGGGACGAAAGGGTGCGAACCCGTGAGCATGAAGTACACCATGTATCCCAGCGCCCAGCTGTCCCAGAGCTGCATCTGAGCGAATGTCGCGCTGTGCTCCTGATGGAAGACTTCCGGTGCGTTGAAGGAGGTCGAAGAGATTTTCTGGAGCATGATTCATTGAGGGGATTATGGAAGGCGGAGGAGAGTGAAGACACACAGTTGGGTACATGGAAAAGGCTTTGATGCGTGCAAGCCCAAAGTCGATGATCTTAATGACCGGCTGCTGGTGGTCACCGAGAGCGAGAAGGATGTTCTTGTCCAGAAATGAGCGCGCGTCAAGTGAGAAACGATTCTCGGTCCCTCACATTATACTTGATGTCACCATGCGACACTCCCAGGCCATGTATGTAGACAAGTCCGGAGCACAGCTGGTAGGTCAGATTTCGTGAATGATCTTCGGCTGTGCATAGTCAGAAAGCAGACTAGAAAGTGTTGAAATAGAATCATACACAAACATCCGCGGTATCCAACGTACTCCAGCAATGTAATGCCGTGAATGAGCTCAAGAAGCAAGTCTGCAAAGGATTATTTACATTTCAGGGTGGTGAGTGATTCAGACAGACCATAGCCGATTTCCGTAGGGCTCGAAAGAGGCTGGATAAGCTTGACAATGTTGGGATGCGCCCCAATCGTCTTTAGCGCCATCATCTATCGCAGAGAAAGCGGTCAGACGGTCTGATGCCTCGTCCACAACCACCGGCAACACACCTCGTGGTAAGCACATTCTCTGTCCATCCTCCTGGTCTGTTAGCCCAACAAATGCGTTATAATCCGAGAATAGAAAACCAAGCAATGTGGTTTACTTGCCTTATGGAGGTACTTGAATGCGTAAAGCTTTCCGTCTCGTCGGTCTCGAACCTTGCATACCGCACCAAACGCGCCCTGCCCAAGTTGACCGACGATTTCGTAGTGGTGCTTCAAAACCAAATGCCGCCTGAGTTGCCGAAAGGCCACACGGAAGGTGTACCGGTATCCAGAAGGCACGAACTCGATGACTGCGCCGTCGACTAGAGGGACCGACTGCCACGGCTGAAGGTGCGCGCCGTCGAGCTTGATTGCAGAAGGTCAGTCAACTACGAACCGGAGCCCGACGGTTGGAGACATACGATTGCGACGGATACCGGAGCGCAATTCGTCAACGTGAAAGCGCACAGCGAGTCCTGTCGGCCATTCCACCTGATGATCGGATGCGAGTCCACTGCCACGGGGTATGAATATCAGCTGTGTGCGCCCAAAGTCCAGACACCGATTCGCCTCACCTGGGTCGGGATCCGGGCCAGGAAGAAAGACAGGGAAATAGTCTTCTCCCTTCAGATATCGAGGAACGCCTTGAGTGAAGAGATTTTCCTCAGGCCCGAATGCGATAACAAATGCTTTATATCCGCTCAGAGAGATCGGAGGTCGGAGGTTACGAGTGAGTTCGAGAGATCCCCAGACAATTTCGGCGTCACATTCAAGGCCGAGAGGGTCGACAGTGAGTTGGGAGGGGGCTAAGGCAGCGTTGTTCACCATGATGTTGCTGTGCTTTCATGGTGGCTTCAGAGGCATCTTATATTCATTTTCAGGTGCTTGGATTTTGAATCCATAATTTTGCCGCAAAGCGCGGCAGCACTTTGACGGGCACCTGCAAAGGCCCCACGAGAGATGATCAAAGCAACTTGAAGGTCCAAGCAAGGAACGGGATGGAGCTTACGAACGCCGCGAATTGCCGGAACAGCATGGCTAACCCGGTGCTTGTTGTCTCCGGTTCACCCATGATTCTCAACCGACTGGTGGCGCGTCATGCGATGACTCTGTCCATGTTCGAGCAGGCACGCACTTATCGCTTGGGACTGCTCCTGACATGAGTAATTGACCACGATCATGCGCTTTGGCCCAAGAACAATAGCATCTATTAAGCGAACGGGGGCTCAAGAACAAAGCCAGATAGCCCATCGCTTCATTCTCTCCATCTCTCTCTCCCATCTCTGCTGCCATCCCACTCGACTCCTTCACGATGTCCCAGCCCCCTTCGCCCAACGCGTCTGCCAGTTCAGCGCCATCACCCACCCATCCACGCGAACACCTCGTCACTGTCGACAATGTCACCCTCTTGGTCTCTAGCTCTTCCCGCATGTCTTTCACCACAGGGCGGGGCGCAAACAGGAAATATATTGAGATAAACGTATCCGTGAGTCACGAGTCCTCGCGCTGGGCCGGCTCAGAACTCACTCACGGTCTGCACAGGTCGCAAAGTCCCAGGACGATCCGGACGCGGACGAAGTGACCGTGGAGGCGAGCAGCACCAAGGTCGCTGCAGCGGGACGGATCGTAGTCCATACGAAGAAAGCACTGGATGCTCACAGTGAGTTGCCCGCCTCGCGCAGCTCTGTTGTGTCCTCATCCGTTCTGTGCCAAGTTTCCCTCAACGCGAGCGCTCCCGACTTCGCTGCGGCTTCTGTGTTAGCTCGTTCAGCCAACGGTACCCCCAACGCGCGCTCAGAGGCGCGACGCGCACACCCCTCCGATGAGGACTCGGAGCCAACTGTCAAGAAAGAAGGTGCGTACGCTCCGCCTGGTCGATACCGAGCACTGAATCGCGAGCACAGAGGATGACGAGGCGCGTCCAAACGCACGCGCCGCCAAGCGCCGGCGCGGGGATATTACTGCCGAAACTGACGCACGTGGGGTCAAGGAAGAGGGTGGCGTAGACGACGAGCATGGTCCCAGCACCAGGCGTGCAAAAAGAGTGAAACGCGAGCATACTCTCCGTGCTGTTGCTTCCCAGTCGACCGTCGCTTCGCAGCCAGCTCTGAACGACGGGAGACCCCGCGGGCGCTATCCAGTGGATTTCAACCTGGAGATTCCGAGGCAATATATCACTTGGATCGATGGTGATCCCATTTTGTGTGGACGAGCACCGTACAGGCGTGGTCAGCCGAACTACTTCCTTGCGGGACAGTAATTAGTCGAACTGTATTAGTGTATTAGCGGTCCTGCAGACCATTCGTCCTTTCCATAATGGAGGTGTTAAACCAATACAAGACTGCCAACAACATTTATCAAATAGATGTAAACGAGTGTGTTTTGATAGGGAATGACAAGGAGATATAACGGAACAGTAGCACGCCGAACAAACAGAAGCTCCTCAATTCCTCTTTCTCCCCTTCTGCTTCGATGGAGACCCTGGAGTCGGTGGACTGGTCGGATTACGCTTCCGCAGAACCATTGTAAACTTGGGTACAGCCTTTCGCGGGGAGGCGTCCATGTCGACGTCCTGATCCATTGAGGCTGCCCGCGGATCTAGAGCACGGCCCACATCCATATCGTCCAACTGCCCACCCGTATCTTCGCTGCCCTGATTCTCGCCATCCATATGAGTATCGTGCTCAGATTCAGACCACAACTCTTGCGAATCAGCCCACATCTCCCGTAGTGAGGGCGGAACATCCAGCGCTTCGAAAACGCGAACTTCAGGACGGAAGCCGGAGAACCACGGCTCGGCCAGCGAGTTGCAGATCTGGAGCCGTTCGCTTGGATCGATGCACAGCAGCCTGCGAACGAACGCAACAGCTACTCAAGTCGTGGTCAGATCCCCACAAGCCAGAGATCACGCGCAACGGCTCACCTGCTGGTCCGACACCAGGCTTTTCCCGCAACGCGCGCCAGTTGACCTCGTCGATCCCCGTCGTGAACGCTCCGTGCTTGAAGTACGGGTAGGTTCCCGCCAGAATGAAGAAGACCAGGTGGCCCAAAGCCCAGCTGTCCCACAGCTGGATCTGTGCACAGGAAACATTGCCATCCAGGCCGCGAAACTGGGGGCCTGCCTCTGGAGCTGTGTAGCATGTCCTGGATGGCGACTACAGCTATTGTTAGCGACGAAACCAGTGGCAGCAGTCCGCCACTGACCAGCAGCGAGTTCAGGTTTCCCTTGACTCGGGCCAGTCCGAAGTCAATGATCTTGATCAGGGGCTGGCCTACTTCATTGAGTGTCACTAGTACATTCTGGGACCTTCTGAGCAGGATAAAACTACATTGATCAGAGCGGCCTACATCGCCCTTGATATCTCCGTGCGATATCCCTTCCTTGTGCATGTGTCGGAGACCAACACATAGCTGGAAGGCCAGGTGCCTGGCTTGTGCGTCCGCTGTGTGCGTCCAATGCGTCAGACGACGGGGAGCAACAGGAACGGAATCAGAACTCACGAACGAAGCCGCATTCAGAGACGAATCGGTGGATCGGGATCCCGTGGATGTATTCCAGGATCATATCTGCCAGAATGAGCATTCAATAGAAACGCAGCTCGCAACACGCACCGCAACTCTTCATATCGGTCCCATAGTCGCATTGAAACATCCTGCACACGTTGGGATGCGGTGGGGCCATGAGCGCCATGACCTCTTGGGACGCAGCGGCCAGTATACTCGCGATGGTCTGCATCGCAATCAGCCGCGGAAACCATCATGGAGCTCGAGAGCACACACCCTTCTGGGGGTCTTGAGCGCATAGCAGTACCCATCCCGCACGTCTTTCACGTAGTACACCGCACTGAAGGCGCCATGGCCGATTTGCTTGATGACTTCGTAGTGGCTCCGGATGAGTTGGGTCTTGGGAGGGGGGAGGGTCACACAGAACGTGAACGAGGCTATGGGAAAAACGGGACTTGCGATGACGATCCGCGCGCCATGGGGCAGCGACATGATCTGCCACGCCACGGCGGGGTTGTCGTTGATCTGTATATTCGCGTTCAGGAGAACGAAGGGGGGGACTGAGCAATCGTGCACGCACGTAAACCACACCCTCTTCCTCCCCATCCTCGCCGAGAAAGCTGGTCGCGTTGAATCCGCGCAGGGAGTCAACGCGCCCATTCCACTCCAAGAGCAGTGCACCGCCACTGCGGTGCCCATGCATCGCCGGGAGCGGCACCGGCACGAAGTCGCCACCCAAGCACGTCATCATGGCCTCCGAGAGCGGCTGGTCGCCGGACGTGCAGCCCAGCAGGTACGGCAGGTATCCCCGCAGATTGACGCGTCTTTTCGGCGCGGAGTCGGTCGTGTCGGCGATCTCGAGATAGCCCCAGGTGGGGCCTGAACGTGGGCGGTGCCCCGTATCAGTCGACGCGTCCGAGGGCCCGGCGAGGGCGTTTGCAGCGCGCATGAGGGGAAGAGGATAACGGGTTCCACGGAATCACAATGGGTTTACACCCGAAACAGGTGGCTTTTTGAACGAAAAAACGCGCTTTGGCCTGGGTGGACAATGCGCTCGCTTGCCATGACGGATGTGGGAAGGAAGACAATACAATCGACAAAGCAAGTGAGTGAGGCCGGATCACAGCCGGACTGATCATCAGCTGTGGGATCAGACGCGGAAGCCGGCGCATTCACTGTGTGGCTGCCGTGAGACTGGATGTGACCTCGATAAACAAAAGAGATTCACTAGTAGACTTTCATGGACTGCAATTTCTACTAGCTGTAACCAAAGCAGCGGTAACACGAAGCGTTATCCGTAAGGTAATCGATAATGCATGATCGGTGATCAATGATTATCACGTGCAAAGCTTCCGCTGCTCGATATGACACGAGAGCGAGATCAATAACTTTTGCAACAGTTTGGAAGTAATTGAAATACTCTCCAATATGAGACTTGAAATCTATTATCTTCCATGCCAACGACCCTGCCAGATGGGAATGGCGTATCAGTACAGCTTGGACTGTGCCTTGCTTTGCAATTGGATCGTTTGATTTAACTGTGATAGTCATTTTGGTGACCTTTAGCAAATGATCGGCGACCCATTCTGGATTTCTGTGTTTTCATTGAGCAATCTTGCATAACTTTTGCTCGCACTGTCTTTTGTCAACTCAATATAGGCCGTTGAGCTCTGTGGCGTGTGCCGATGGCTCACAAGTGTTGTATATCACTCGAAGGTGCTCCTAGGGAGCGTTTCAATTGAAGGCAATTTTGAGTCCATCCGCTTGGAATTTCTCGAGTAAGCAGCATTTTTGAACCTCCAAGGTATCATTACCGTTAGTCAAAGATATCATCCGGGTGAGTATATTACCCTGTACGTGATCGGTGTGTTTAGTGCCGAGCGCCGGATACAAAGCAACAACTGTTCCGTTACATGTGCTCAGAATAATCGTTCTCGAGCTCTATGACTTGAATGAAATCTTTCAATAATTTTTGAGCTCCTCTAGGAGGCCCAGTGTTTCAGCAGATTATTGGTCGAGCAATGCCAATTATTAATCTTGAGGAAATAGGTCGTCGGTGGATCTCAGAGCCATATGTTTGCGTCCACATAGCATTCATTTGATGTTCGCAATTTAGATTCCCTCCGGGAGGAGCAGGCCACATATAGCACCGGTAACATCCTCGATCTCCTTCCCCTCTGGCCCGCGGCTAAGAGAGATTGTCAATCGAGGAAAATTGCAGCCGTGGCGTGGGCACGCACTCGGCCTTGCTCTCTAAGCCAAGGCGGCCGACATTCTCATCAAATTTCAGTTCTCGTATTCCAAATGGTGTTGCTGTCTAGAATGTATGCTTCGCCACATCGCGTGGTGACTACTTGAGTTCCCAAGGGAGAGGAGCGGTAGACGGATCACACAAATCACCGCATCATGATTGGACATCAGACTTACTTGGACATTGTTGACGCGCCCGCTCCCATCGTCCACCTTTTTTCACCAATCATGCATCGCTAGTTGCTCAACTCAACCCCCCAATCACCCTGTCCATCTCTCTATAACCCCTCATCCTTCGTGACAATTCGATGCTTCAGCAATGGTTGCATTCCTGGCCCAGTTGCAGCTGCTTCTGTTGAACACCGGTTGCCGAGATCCGACCGTGGAGGCTCGTGCGCACGACATTTCCGTCATATCCACGCGCGTCCGACGCCAGCGGACGGTCCGCGGCGTGACTCCCGCCCAGTCTATATAACTACCCCGGAGCCCCCACCACGTTGCCCCACAGCAGCTCGACCGTGAAAGGCCTTGCAAGATAGGGACTGTGGTGCGGATATACTTAGGCGTATTCACATAAGACCGCACTTGATCTTGACCACACCTTGACCCCTCCTCCTTCCGCACATCCATCTCTGCTCCGCCTCATCAAACCAATGTCGACCGATCCAGTGCCGCAGAAAGTATACGACGTCGTCATCGTGGGCGGCGGGCCCGCGGGCCTCATGGCGTCACTGTGTCTCACCACATACGGCTTCAACATCCTGCACATCGACGAACGGCCGCATCCGACGGAGGCAGGACGCGCTGACGGCATCCAGCCCCGGACCATCGAGGTGCGCCTGCGTCCGTTTCCCCGCGATCCGCACGACCCGCTGACGCGCGCCGCAGGTCCTGCGCAACATCGGCTCGCTCGCGCGCTCGCCCCCGCCCGGCGGGCCGCTCCCGGGTCACTCGGGGCTCACGGCGGGCGGCGGGCTCGCGAAGAAGATGATCAGCCAGGGCGTGCGCGTGTACGAGGTGGCGTTCTGGGACCCGACTCCGACGGCGCCGCTCGCACGCACCTCCCGCGCGCCGTCGTGCCCCGACATTGTCGACGTCGTGGATAACTACACGCTGCTGCTGCACCAGGGCCTCATCGAGCGCGCGTTTCTCGATGAGATCGAGGCGCGCAGGGGCGCGCTGCCTGCTGACGCGAAGACACCGGCCCCGGCAGACGGGTTGTTCCGGCCGTATATCATACAAAACACACGTTGCGATGCGTCGCTGGGCTCGCACCCCGTCGAGTCCGTGATCCAGCACGTCGACACTAAGGCGACGTATACGGTGCGCTCGCGTTACCTGATGGGCTGCGATGGCGCGAAGAGCATCGTGCGGCGGTGCATTGCGGGTGGAGCGGTTGGGGACGGAGAGTGGCAGGGGAAGATCACGATGCAGGGCGAGGGGACAGATATCATCTGGGGCGTCATGGACGCTCGGGTGAAGACGGATTTCCGTGCGTGATGCTTTTCTCGTCACTGATCTCTGCCGCTCACATCTTGTAGCGGACCTCCAATACAAATGTCTCATCCACTCACGATCGGAGGGCAGCATCATGGTCATCCCGCGTGAATCTGGGCTGGTCCGGTTCTATGTGCAGCTCCAGACGACTGAGCCTGATGGAACGGTGCATTCGATTGGTATGTGCCTGTCGACTTTTTCCTTCCGTTGTTTCTTACTTCTTTATCTCTAGCTCGCGATCAAGGCACTCAGGATATATGCATCGCTCGGGCCAAAAAGATCTTTGAGCCGTTCAAGCTCGAATTCGGTTACGTCGACTGGTTCTCCGTGTACCAGATTGGACAGCGGATCGCTTCGTCTTATACACTAGACCACAGGATCTTCCTCGGTGGCGACGCCGTAAGACCCGAATCCCATTGCGCATACGGATGAGCTCACCAAGGACCCAGACACACACGCACTCCCCGAAAGCTGGACAAGGAATGAACATTAGCATGCTGGATATGTACTCCCTTGCTTGGAAGTGTGTGACTGTGCACATGTCTATGCCTTGACCGCTGACACGTCGTTTGCAGACTCAATCTAGTCATGAAAGGTGTCGGCCGCCCGGAGATTCTGCTTCCATCATATGAACATGAGCGACGAGGCATAGCGCAGGAACTCCTGAAATTCGACGGCGCGTACTCGCGGTTGTTCTCGGGCCGCGCGCCAGATGCCAGCCAGTTGTCGGGTGGAGTCGACGCGGAGAAGTTTATCGAGATGTTCAAGCAGAACGCGTTCTTCACATCGGGCTGCGGCGCGATCTACGGCGCGAACGCGCTGAACGCGCTTCCGGATGCGGAGCTGGTCGTCCGCAGCAGATACGGGCGCGCCTTCAATCCCGCGGGTGTCAAGATCGTCGCTGGGCAGAGGCTGACGCCGGGCCGCGTGACACGGGTTGTCGACGGGAACCAGGTGCGACTGCAGCAGGAGGTGAAGATGAACGGCGCCTTCCGGATCCACGTCTTCGCAGGCGACCTGAAACACACGCTGCCGTCGCTGAACGCGTTTGCGTCCTTCGTCAACTCGCCAGAATCGTTCTTCAACCGGCACCGGGCTGCCCGCGCGTTGGTGTCGTCGATCGTCGACAGCCCCGCCGACGTGCAGGGCGCCAGCGCGGCCCACGTGTACAACCCGTTCTTCACATTCCTGACGGTCGTGGGGACGCACTGGTACGAGTGGGAGGCGGCGGATCTGCCGGACCCGCTGCGGCTCTACCGCTCGCAGCTGTATGGTGATGCGCTGTTTGACCGGCGGGTGCCTGAGGCGGGGACCAATGCGCCGCTGCATTTCAAGCTCGGGGTGTCGCTCGAGCGGGGTGCGGTCGTCGTGGTGCGGCCGGATGGATACGTCGGTGCGGTCGTGGAGTTGAGTAAGGACGGGGGATTGGCTTTGAATGGTGCGCGCTGTTTCTTCACTCCTGGGACTGCCGTTGAGCTGACGCACGTGTTTGCAGACTACTTTGCGGGGTTCTTGGGCACGTCCGATGATCTGCAGGCGAAGTTATGATGTATCGACTCGTGATTGTATGCTATTTATGCGGATTAACCTATGAAACAGCAGCCTAGAAATGCTGTGCAGTACTGGAATGAATGTGGTCACGCTTAGTCGGACTTTCTGTGACCTATCACCTCTGGCCGTGACCTATCACCTGGCCATATGCAATGAGAGAGTTAGCGTTTGTTGCATTACAACTATGTATGTAGTTCAAACCAGAGATCGTCCCTCTGACGAAGCTTGATCATTCGATTGGCGCCCCAGCACTGATGGACGAGACGAATAGAACAGGACTCGCCAGAGTGAGTCCTGGCCTGGACCATTACATTGGAGCAACGTTCTACAAGTATGGGAGCAGAAGAGGAATACATTGGGGTAGTGAGATGGACTACGCTACGAGGCAGCGCAGGGGGAACGCACAGGTGTTCCGACGCAAAAAAAGTGCTTCACGTCTACGGGCCGCCGCGCCTGCTCTTAGCACGCTCCAGCCCGAGGTACACAGACGGAGCAGAGGCAAGATCTACCGGGGCCGCCGCAAAGGGGCTGGAGCACGGACCCAGATCCGGGTCCGTCGGGCTCAGGCGCCGCGCATTCGTGCGCATAAGAGGCGGTGGCGGCGGCGGGGAGTCCGGCCGCGAGGGCCCGGGCCCGTCCGTCTCATCGACGGGGACGGGCTCCCAGACAATCTCGGGGGTGCCAGGGCGGGGGTAGAAGATCACGGGGCGATGGCCGGAGGGATTACCCAGGGCGGCCCGCGGGCGGGTCAGGCTGGGTAGCGGCGCCTCGGGGATCGCGAAGGTGAAGTTGTTGGGGGGCCTGTGGGCGTCGCCTCCGCCTCCGCCGTCGCTCCCGGCGTTCTTGCGCTGCGTCCCATCGTCGGGTTCTGCCGTCTCCTCATCCGACATGACGATCAGTCCCTCGAGAGGAATGCGCCCGGCCCGGCTCGTGTGGTTTTCGTCGAAGCGGGGCGCGTACCGCGACGCCTCGCTGCGCAGCGAGTCGAATCCGTCGACGGCTTCGGACTTGATGAACCGAGTGCGTTTGGACTGCCTGGCATCGTCGTCATCGTCACGCTCGGCGGTCCTGCGCATCGCGGACTTGAGCGCAGACGCCTTGCGCTTGCGCCCCGTGCACGGCTCGGGGATCATGAAGGACGCCCCGAAGCCCAGCGGAGAAGCAGAGCGCGAGCGCAACTCCGTGGCTGCGTCGTCGAGGAGAAAGGGCTGCGGCGCTATCGGAGCTGTGAGAAACAATGGGATTTGGAGTTGCAGGATTCGCGCGCACCTCGCGCCTGGCCCTCCGCTGAGCGTTCAGCAGCGTCCGTGCGCACTACGCTCGTCTTGACGGAGATCTTGAGTTTGTCAGAGAAATTCTCTGGCTGGATGATGAAACAAAGGTATCAGTAAGTGCGTCGGAGCGTGCTAAACAGGAGCAGACTGACCAAGAGACGGAGCTCGATCCGCTGTCGGTCGACTTCGTCCCCGATGGTGATGTAGATTGTGCCCTCGAGTTTGGTTCTGAGGGAAACCACGACGCCCTGGACGTCGATGAGACAGTCGCGCTGGAACAGCTCGTCCGAGTATGAGAACTCCTGAGCAGGGAGTGTCGTAAAAGACATTGCCGGTCGCGGTAGCTGAGGCTGGTGTCGTTGGGCTAGGATGGAAATCTGAATCTGAATGCTAGGGCCAGAGCGCGGAAGGCAAGTTTGGGTGGCGGTCAGGCCCCCGCGTAAAAGCTTTTATATCGGGCATCGCTTAGTCGTGCTTTGTGCCCAGTCAGGCCAAAGCGGTTCCGTGATGGCTGGCAAAGCGCACCCAGCCGTCATCCTAACAACAAAGCGCGAATAGCTCCCGGTCCCAAGGACGCACATATCCGCGTCCGACAGGAAGACTAGGCCCGCTAGTCACTGGCATCGCCTTGGTGTTTTCTTCCACATTGGGAGAACAATGCCAGACGGGTGATCGCGCTCCCCGACGAGAACAAGGGCGCCCTCCGAGTCGGGCGGAAATCCGGTGCCAGAGCATATGGGTCTGTGTGGGCGTACATGTGCTTCTGTGCGTCCTGTGAAAGAAAGGGAGGTAAAGTTGCCCACGGCCTCCCATCAATGCTTGTCTGATTGACAGCGGAACTGACCGAGATCCCTGTCAGCTGGATCACTTACTTCTTGACACTTGTCAATGTTGGTTTGAATGTAGCGTAGCGTGCGGGACACTCGAGTCCTGGTACACAAAACATTAGACATCTCACACGCGTGTTTAATGTACGTTGAGCCGCTGGCGGCCCGCAAAGAGCACCGCTCCGTGCTGGAGGAACAGGGTTGTCTTGAACTGGTTGAAGCCTTTCCAGTACGATTTTCTCCGTAAAAAAAGAGTGAAAGCATATGTATTACGTGTGTCGCTTGGTCTTAATTTCTGAGTCATTCGGCATTTTCGCACCCGCGACCGCGAAGCGGCCGTTCGCGATGGATGATGAGGCAGACGGACCGTGTCACCGTGGTGATGAGGGTGTGGGGCAAGCTCGTGCTGGCGAGTGAAAAAGACGAGGTGTACCGTGACAACAGGAGAGCAGGTGCCCGAATTTGCCACGCGTCTCAAAATCTAATCTATCTGAGCTTGAACATGTGATCTCGCAAGTGATCTCTCAGTCAGTCTCACATCAGCTAGCAATGATGCTCATTTGATTGACAGATGATCGATGACGACGCGATCACCTTGCTCAGATCTCAACCACGAAAGTGCTGCTGCGACGTGGTTTTTCGCAACCGCCAAGTATGGGGAATTCTCGCACAGCGCACTAGAGACTGAATAATTTAGGCTAGCAGCTCACTGCAACCGTACAAGCAGCCTCTGGTCAGAAGTCCGTCTCGGGGCTGAGCCACCCGTGCTTTCCCTTCAAGCACAAGCTTTCTCATCGGCAGCCCTCAGTCACTTGGAATTCTGGTCGATGCCATTATGGACACGGCCAGGTTTGGAAGTGCTTTTTAACTCCGCCCAAGAAACCCAGTCATCTCAGTCCATTCATGCTCCGCCTAGTGACTGCGCACATGGCGTATCACGCACAGCATGTCTGCTCGGTGTCCTCGTTGCGTTCGAAGAACTCTCCCCATGTCAAAGGTCCGGTCTCGATCTTCTATCGGATAGGCCAGGCGCCGGTAACTCTGCCTCCTGGTTCGGTCTCTGGCTGCGCAAGTTTCTGTCAGCCCGTGTGAAGTCTGGAGTCAATTCTGGCTTACCCCAAAGCTGAGGCTGACACTTTCAGATTACAGGCGCGCTCCTTTCTCATGACCTGTGCGCTCACGAGCAAGCAGGGTAAATTTTGTCGTTGCGGCGTACCTTCGATCGAATCTGGCGCCATTGCATCCCATCTGGCTTTCCTCGACGCGCAGGGTCGTCTAAGATGATCTCCAGTGTCACGAAGTCGTGGAAGCGTAAAGAGGAAATTCAAACGCTGGTCCTTGTTCGGTCGAGAACACAGCTCGGTCTCTTTCGCCCCAGGCCTCGTCTGAGCTTCTCACACAACGATAGGCTTCCATGTGGTGCGCGCTGGAGAGGCTTTCAGACAGAATGCTACCGCTGGCAGGTGTCTGTTCGTTGTCCGACCTGCGAAGGCCAGCCCATGCGTGTTGAGTCCGCGGCCGCCGTTGAGAATGAGATATCACCAGCCAAGCCCACCGCAGGAATTGATGACGTTCGGAGAGTCTTATGCACCGAAATTACATATTGCTTGGGAACCGCGATAGGTGTCTGGAGGACGGACGGACATCTGTCGGGAAAATCAAAATTTGCCCACTCATCAGTTCACAGCAGGATCTGCGCTCATAGCACTTTTTTTGGTCATTGGCCCGGTGAGTTGGGATTCTCTGAGACCATCTGACATCAGCTGACGAGGCTTATCGGGTCACAAGCAGACATCTATCAGGGTGCGTCAGAACTTATGAGGTGAGTTTGATTTTTCTGGCAGGTCTGACAAATGCTAATAACGAGCTGTGAGCAAATTATAGAAATGGCCCAATGGTACGCTAGACCTGAGCCATTCGCCATTCATACTGCCTATGAGGAATAGAAAGGAACTACTCACCCATCATCTTCCGCTGTCACCGTAACGACTCGAGGAGTCTGGAGCTGAGGGGTCAGGCATCACATGATTTCTGAGACCGATGATGTCCACCACGAATGTCGAGAATTGGTCCTTCGGACTAGGAGCCCCCGCGCAACAGCAGCAGAGAAGTGTTCTCGCACTTTCGAAGGTGGAGTAGTAGTCATGGGGTGTGCCCTATAAAACAGTCCCCAGTTGCGGGCTGGAGCGCCATTCAGGCGATGTGGAAACTCAGCACTCATCAGCTCGCCATCGGGCTCGGCCTCGCGCTGCCCTTGTGCAACGCCGTCGCCCCAAGTGGGCCGTGGGACGCATTCAACTACGCGCCGGCGTCGAAAACCGTGCGCCCGGTGTCGGTGCGCACCGTCAGCGGCCAAGTCGCGGGCGCGAGCGGGCTCGTCGCGAGTCCGGACGCCCAGGCGACATTCCAAACCAGCGGCTCGTACGTCGTGCTCGACTGGGGCAAGGAGGTGCGCGGCGTTCCCCATGCTCCGCCATCGAGGGTCGATTGACCCATTCATACTGTAGGTCGGAGGGATCCTGTCGCTGACGATCAACAACGCGACGAAGCTGTCACAGTTCTCGCTGTCGTTTACCGAGTCCGCGGAGTTCATCAGCCCCTTGAAGTCAGACGACTCGTGCCAGCCCGCGCGGCTGCAGAACTGGGACGGGATCCAGACGTTCCACGCGCCGCTGGCCGAGGGGCTGCTGACGCAGACCGTGGGACAGCAGCGCGGCGGGTTCCGCTTCCTGACCATCGTGACTGCGAGCGCGGACCCGCTGACGATCTCGAACATCTCCTTGGCCATTACGTTCATGCCCCACTGGGACGATCTCAGGGCGTACCCGGGCTACTTCTACGCACCTGACCCCGGGTTCCACGACATCGACTTCCTGACGAAGATCTGGTACGCCGGTGCGTCATCGCCTGTTCTCTGTCTGATAAGTCAAATTGGGGGTGGGGGCTGACAGCCAGCAGGCGCGTATACGGTACAGACCAACACAATCCCTCCCCACACAGCGCGCCAGGAGCCGTGCCCGTCAGGAGGTTCGTTTTGGCACGGATCTGGATATTGGTTTCAAACTGTGGGATGATACAGGTGGCTGGTCCAACGATGCATTGGGAGGTGCTGTGACCGGGCCTATCCTCGTCGATGGAGCGAAGCGCGACAGGTGAGGAGTGACCGGCTGCGATCTGTGTGCAATCCCCACTGATGACATTGGCAAGGAACATCTGGCCAGGTAACTCCTCGTGCTCATGGACGCGATCCAAACGTCGGACTCACGAGCCGAATCAGGCGACTGTGGCATCTCCACGCACACGGAGCTCGTCGCGCTGAGCGACATGGAGCCGACCAAGAACTCGCTGACGGTGATGTTCCGCACGCAAAACCCGACGACCGGCGCGCTGCAGTACTCCGGGCCGCCGCTGAACAACCAGGGCAGCGACACGTACATCTCGTGGTCGCTCATCGGGACGCACAACTACTTCCTGTACACGGGGGACCTCGATTTCGTCAAGTCTGTCTGGGCGAACTACACCAAGGCGGTTGGCTTTCTTGAGGGCCAGGTGGACTCGACGGGCCTGATGAACGTCCCGTCTGCGTTCTCGAACGACTGGGGCAGGGCCGGCGGCGCCGGACACAACTCGGCGGCGAATGCCTTACTCTATCGCGTGAGCATCGATTTCGCTCCCGCGTCACGGTCGTGTATCCGCGCTCATCAAGCCCGCATTGACAGACGCTCATCACCGCGGCGGACCTAGCGACGCATCTGGACAACGTCTCCCTCGCCGCTACTTATCTCGCCAACGCGACCAAAGTCAAAACCGCGTTCAACACGCTCCTGTGGGACGCCGCTGCGGGCCTGTTCCGCGACAACGACGTCCCGACGAGCATCCACCCCCAGGACGGCAACGCGCTCGCGGTCTTGTACAACCTCACCACATCGGACGCGCAGAACAAGGCGGTGAGCGCCGGCCTGACGCAGTTCTGGACGCCCATCGGGCCACTCAGCCCGGAGCTGAACGACACCATCATCCCGTTCGTCGGTGGATTCGAGGTGCGTGTTGCGCTGGGTTGTGGTTTGTGCAGTGTGAGCGGCCCGCGTGACCTGTGCGACAGATCCAAGCGCATTTCATGGCCGGCGAGGGCGCGCGGGCGATTGATCTGATCGAGCGCGAGTGGGGGTACATGCTGTACACCAACTTGAGTGTCGAGTCGACGCTGCTGGAGGGCTTCTCGGCGAACGGATCGCTCGGGTGCGTGCCACAGCATTCAGCCGGGGAGGCAGGCTCGACGCTCACTTCTCCCCTCGCAGCTACCGTGCCTCGGCAGGCTACTCCATGGACCACAGCTTCACAAGCCACTCGCACGGCTGGTCCACAGGTCAGTCGACTTTTCGCCCCAGCCCTACCATCTCACGAAACCCGCTTCAGGACCCACCTCAGCACTGACGTTCTACCTTCTCGGCATCCAGCTGCAGACGCCGCTCGGCGCGACATGGAGCGTGTCCCCCATCCTCAGCGGCCTGCTCGCGGCGGAGGGCGGCCTCGAGACGGGGCTCGGGTTCTTCGGCGTCAAGTGGGCCGTCACGGGCAGCAAGAACGACACCCTCACAGTCGAGCTGCAGACCCCCGCCGCGTCAAGCGGCTCGGTCGTCCTCCCCGGGGTGGGCCCGCTCACGGTTGACGGGCACGTGCAGGCGTCGTCCGCAGGGTCCGCGGAACTGGCTGGGGGCAGCCATGTTGTCGTCCGGCGCCTGGTTGCTTGATGGAGCGAGATGACGAATGTGGACTGAATACCGAAGAAGAGAATCTCAAATCTGAATTGCTTATTAAGTATTGTGTACCTTGTCTTTCTGGTCGATAGGCTTGGGGATGAAAAGTCGGAATGTGCTAGGAAAACGTATTGACTGTGCGGTCCGGACCAGCGATCGGTCCGGGTGGCTGGTTACTGTTGGTTTCCATCCATCTTCATCCGCGCTACTTGGTATGTCAATATCGTCGCTCCAGGAGTCCCGATGGGTCTCTTCCCACTTCACACCTCAAGGATCACGGGTCATCGTCGATCATCCGTCAGTCGATCACCCAGTCTTCCAAATCATTGCTTTTTCCGACAGATGTCCGTCCTCCAGACATCTATCGTGTGTTATCAAGCAACATGCAATCTCGGTGCATACTTACGGCTCTCCGAACAAGATGGTGACAACCCCATCAGTTCCCGTGCAGTTATCGACTGCTGAGTGTTCATTCTCAACGGCGGCCGTAGGCATACTGCATGCACGCATGGGCTGACCCTTCGGTCAGGCAACGAACGGACACCTGCCAGCGGCCGCACCGCGTGGAAATCGAGCTCCCACTGTGTGATAAAGCCAGATGAGGCTGGGAGGAAGGGGGAGCGAAGAGTACCGATCTGTGTGCTCGATGTTTCATTTATTTATTTATCTCGCGCTCGACTTTATAAGAATGTGCGACGCTGGAGGAAGCGGACGGCCCTACGCGCCGTAGCAAGCCAAAACCGGATCCGATCATAATTGCGCCTTCATGCGACGACGACGAAGAGTCGGCAAGTGCAAAGTCACCAGCCTCAAGGCATGATGTCACGGATCGAGACGCCTGTGTTTCTGGCTGGTTCTGGGTGAGCAAAGCAACTCGATCGCGTATGTGTGCGACGATCACGTCCTGCTTCGCGGTTCCGATATGCCATGTTACAACAGGACCCCATGGCACCGCGCGTGATTTTGAGATCTGCGATCAGGTGACCGCGTCGTCGCCGATCATCTGTCAATCAGTGATCAAGCTTTCCGATCATTGATTGGTGTTGCCATGGACAAAAGTTTATGCGAAGATAGATTAGATAATAGATAAGGAGATGCCCGGCAAATTGCGGCTCTTTCTCACTCGTCAGAACACGCCTATTTCCCACCCACCACTCCCTCTTCTGCGGCCATTCATAGTTGCCTCGGGGATCCATCACATTCGTCAAGCACCGGCATCTTAAATTTTCGAACTCCCACAAGCTCTCTCCCACATCCAACCGTACTCGGCAGTTTATCCAGGCATCTCCAGTAGTCCCAACTGGCAACAGGTCTGCTCGCACCCTAAACCGCGAAGATTTTCCTCCGTGAGTTTCCCTCTATCCCAGAACGAACAGAAACACACCAGCGCTGATGCGCCGGGGGGCCATTACAGTAATATTTCCATCACACAGCCCAGTATCGCCGACGTTTCCCCCCGTCCAGCTGCAGTCTCTGGAGCTGGAGCGTCTGCGCAGGATCAGCAGAGAGGCCCCATCCGACCCGTCCTGACACACCCCGCGCGCGCGGTGCGTCTGCCGGCGGGTTCCCGAATCGCCCATCAATATTCAATCTGGTAACCCAGGGTCGTCGTCGCGTCGTCGGTCGTTGTCGTCGTTAGAGCCCGGACGGCCGCATTTCCGCGTGCGGAGGCGGTGACAGGATTGCATAATATTCTGGTTCATTTGCGTTGCTTGCGACCGACGGCCGGGCCCGCTGTCACGCCTCGCGCCGTGCGCTGCTAGCCGCTCGAGGAGCGTTTGCGGAAATCCGAAGCACCTGGACCTAGCCATGTTGTAATTATCTATCTAATACGAGTATTGTCGATGTGGAATGGAATTCGATGGCCCGGTTGCAGGCATCTCTGCATTGAACTGGAAGCGTGAACGCGCGCGGGGGAACTTGATGACGTCATGGCTGGATGACAGACGGAGCCGTTGACTGACATTTTGACTACTGTACTTGCAGATCAGCTGCTGTCGGATCCCACCCGACTCCAAGCGACTCGGCTTGTTGAATATTGGGCGGACCGGCCCGGCCCGCGTCACTTTCCGGCCAATTCAGTCCACAGGAGAAAAGCAATCACACCATAGCTTGGGAGCTCGAGGATTCCCGGTCATGCAGCCCTCCGACGGATAGCTTAGCACGCGACGATATCATAACCCGACAGTGATCAACCGCTGAGGAGGTGTCGTTGCAGTTTCATGGGGTCGGACATAGCGCTCCGGGTGTCTCATTAATTACGCCACCCCCAGTCGAATTGCACTCGAGTGCCCGTGGACGGGGACGGGCTGGGGCCCGGAGACAGCTGATAGATAAAATGGACACGCGGGAGTCATCGTTCGCCGAGCAGACGAAATCATAAGTAATGTCGGTCGTGAATCCGAGTCTTCGATCGTACGGGACGTGAGGCGGTCCGTGGCGTACCAGTGTTCAGTGCAAGTATCTCACGAGCACTTTCTTGGAAGATTTCCAAGCCCGAGACAAGCGGAATTTGCACTTCAATGAGCCATCGCGGAGTCTGCACTTCCCGGCACGCAATACACTGCCAATGACACCGATAAGAGCGACCACACGCACGAATCGACATCCATCAGTAGTACTAGTATACTGTAACTGTACGGCGGCCGTGGCTGTGCCTCATTTGTTCGCACGCAGGCGGGCGTCACGTTCGAGAATAGAATCGGCGGAAGCAGTTTTGGGTTTTTGATTGGGTTGCCAAGGACTGCGTTGGGCCGTCATCTGCCCGGGCCCAAGCGTATCGCTCGCAGGTGACCCCGGGTGGATTTTGCGCGTCCCTCCATGCATGGTTTATCCCTGGGTGGGCGCACAGGCGCGCCAGCCACGATGCGAATTTGGGTTGTTCGTGCGGCGGGCCTGCGATGTACTGGACGGTCAGACGTGTGGTGTACCGGTGGATAGGGGGGACAGGAACGGAGATACACGCTAGGAAGCAGTTCTTCCGAGGTTCTGAGCAACGCAACAAAAGAAGCAACGGGTCGCCAGCAGCGCAGAGCCAAGGGAGATGCCGGCGGCGGGGTTTTTCAAACAGCTGACCGTCTGCGTATAAGAAGGCCCGCGTCGCTGCCTCGACTGCAGAATACATCCCCCCAAGCCACGCCACGCACGCCATGTTCCGCACGCTGTCTCTGGCCCTCCTCGCACTTGGCGCCGCATCGCGCGTGTCCGCCGCCGTGAAGACCTGCAACGTGCTCGACTACGGCGCCAAGGCCGACAACTCGACCGACCTCGGGCCCGCGCTGCTCGCGGCGTGGAACAAGTGCGTGATCCCGTCGTCGACGCACGTGGCGACCGACACGCAGCTCGTCGTCCCGGCGGGCAACTTCCTGCTCCGCTCGAACGCGGTGTTCGACCACGCCGCGTACTGGAACCTGCGCATCCTCGGCAACATATACCTGCCGTACGACCCGAGCTTGGGCGGGACGATGATCGAGTTTGACGTGCGTCCTGTTTGGTTTTGCTTCTCGGGGGCGGAGGTTGAGGGTGTACCGCCAGCACTGCACGAACATCGTGCTGAGCGGCAACGGCGCGATCTACGGGAACGGATACCGGTACAGACCTGGCGGAAATGTGAGTCGCTGTGCACAAGTTGATCTGACGCACATTGAGCCTCGCACAGCTCTCGTTGCACCCCGGCCGTCCGCGCCTCATCCGCTTCCAAAGCTGCGACAAGTATGTACTAGCCGGCCTCACGGGGAGTTGAAACTCTGACATTCTGCGCAGCTGCGTGATTACGGGAGTCACGCTCTACGACGCGCCGAAATTCCACGTCACGATCATCGGGAACAAGTGGGCCGCCGTGTCTCCGCTCTCAGCTCGGAGCTGATGGTGTTTTTGATCGCAGCAACGTCGCGCACAACATGGCCATCCACGCTACGAACATCGGTGTGTGCTCAGAACGCTGTCCTCTGCTCGTCGTTTTCTTATCGACCTCTAGGCGAAACGGACGGATTCGATATGAGCGGGAACAACAAGTTGGCCTTTCATGTCTTGTGCGAGATGCCCTCGGTTTAACTCTGCACCAGCTACGTGCACGATGTCGTCGTCGAGAACGGCGACGAGGTGAGATACATTCAACCGTTCCACCACCACCACAGCAGCTCATCGTCCCCCCAGTGCGTCACGGTCAAGACCCCCACGAACGGCTTCGTCGCGGAGAACCTGGTCTGCATCAACGGCGCGGGGAGCAACATCGGCTCGTTCGGCGCAGGCAACAAGGCCGTCGCGGTGCAGAATGTGGTGTACCGCAACGTGAGCGTCAGCAACTCGGACGCGGGGATCATGATCAAGTACTTCCCGGACAACTCGGGCTACGTGCGCAACATCACCTACAACGACTTCCGATTCGTGCGTCCCGCGTCTCCTGCTTTCTTTTGTGGATCGTCGAGACTGAATTAATGAATGAATGGTAGAAAGCGGCTGCGTACCCGCTGTGTATGTCATGCTATTTTCTCTCTTGTTTCCGGCCTGCTCACGTGTGCGTTTGTTGCAGACATCAGCGCGTTCTGGCAAGGAAACGGCAAGGACACCGGGAACCTGCAGATCTCGGACGTGACGTACAACAACATCGTCGGCACGGGGACGCCCACGCGCCCGCGCGTCCTGCTCGACTGCAACGCGGCGTCGCCCTGCAAGAACATCAAGGTGCGTGTGCTGCGTTGATTGATCGGATAGGCGTGGACTGATGTTGTGGGTGTGTGTGTGCCCATAGTTCAACGGGATCTCGGTCACGAACACCGTCGCGGACAAGATCACCCACGCGTGTGGGTCTGGAATCACCGGCATTCCCAAGTGCTAGACGCTGCACCTCGGTTGCATGTTAGATATGTTAAATAATATACAAGACTTGTACTTACGCTCCCTCAATATTATATTCATTCTTTTAAAACTCGGGCATCATTGTTTGAGCCCTTGAATCGAATAATGACACTCGAGTCTCGCGTGCTCCCGCTCGACGCGGCATCAGTCAGTGTTTGATCCGATGATTGAAGCACTACTTCTCACGGCCACTTCAATCCGATATCTGACCATGTCACATTCAACTGTATGAGGGTCAGTTCAAACTCAAGAGTCTGATTGAGTATCCCAAATCGCTGCTTTTGCTATGAGCTTCCTACTCTTACCTGTGCGCAGCGTGCTGATACCTCGTCAATGTTGAATGACAGTCCATCGCGCCATCAACCCCGCTTCCAAATGGTTGCATTCTCCGGACGCACGGAAGTACAATAGCGCATTGTTTCCGAAGCGTATCAATCTTTGTTCTAGTACCATACAAAGCCAGGCAAGATGCATAAAGTGGGTGGCATCGTGGATGCTCTATAAAATCCGCCTGCCGGTGTGCCCTTTGACCTGACCTGACCAACACGTTCCCAGCGCCACTGACCAATGACATCCACCGTCGCGTCTTTCTCTCTCTCCACTGAGGTGGAAGACTGGCTGAGCCCACCGGCCACCGCATCCTCGAAGGAGGAGAGACTCTGCGCGTCCGTCCGCGTGTGGGAAGCCGTCGAGTCCGAGCTGAGCGACGCCTCAGATCTCACTCTCGCCGGATGCTGGGACACCCTCCGAGTCTCCCTGTGCACCGAATTTCCTCTTTGCTTTCTAAGCAGCATGCTGACCGGACGCATTTCGCTCCAGGGACGCGATCTCCGACCGTGTCTCGCACGCAGAACACCGTGCCAACGCCCAGCGCACCAGCTGCAGCCCCCCGGCGCCGAGAAGAACTTGGCAGACCCGGACTCCGCGCAGATCGAAGCCGACCGGGCGAGCGCCACCGAGATCGTCGCCTACGCGCGCAGCGAGCTGGAGCTGATCAGCGCGGTCCGCGTCGCGGAGGCGTCGTGGCCGACTTGCCCGGAGATGGCCGCGATATTCGAGGTCCGTGGACTGGAAGCACATTCGTGGCAGAGAACTTACGCTGCATTACCGACAGCCTGAAGACGAGGAGTTGATGCGCCGCATTCTTGCCCGAGCGTCGGCGCTCCTCGAGCGCATCAACGTTCTCCACGGAAGCGGACTCGCTGTGGCTGAAGAGAAACCAGTCAAGTCCAATTCGGCTTAGCCGGTGCGACACGGTATCATGCCGGATCTCATATTCTGTATCTTGAGTAAAGCGCGTGTGAAAATTACAAGTCTTTTGCAACGCCCGAGGCAGGCAGTGATGAAATACGAATCAAGAATTGGATTGCTGCTGGCTTAAAAACCACGGGTAGGGTGAAGAGAGGAACTACAGAAACGAGCTCAAAAAGAGTTTGAACGGGCTTTTGAATTAATACAGACCCTGAATCGGACTCAACAGTGGCGATACGACAGACAGATGCACAGGAGCATACACGAAATATGACTCGGGTCGGGCCTGATACTTTTCGACAACAAGAAGAGGAAATTCTGCCGGTATTTGATATTGCTACGATATTCGATACTGAGCCGGTATCGTCGATCTATTCCTAGAGCTACCAATCATATGTGAGACCATGTACACAAGAGATATTCTGATCGGGGTGTGTCCCATTGTTGTTTTGTGGAGCGCAAGGCATTGAAAGCCGCACTAATCAGAGTGAGACACAAACCAAGTCGATCCGAGACACGGGCAACAGATTAGGAACGTGGCGGTGTCGTATCGGTGATATCCAGGCTCAGTGTTGCTGAAATCCATTCTCCGGTGGCACTCAGTGCGCCAAAGCGAGAGATCTTACAATTAATAGCATGGCCCGAGAGAGAAGAACACTAGTGAAATGTCCTGAGGACTCAGGGACCCGACACCAAGGCCCCCCAATCGGGCAACTCGAAGAAAGTGGGCAAATGCGTCCACACCTCGGCCCGGCCCGCGCGATGCTGCGCCTGCGCACTCGCGACGCACTCGCCGCACACATTCATCTCCGCCCAGCGCGTATACGCCCGGAGCGGATTTGGCGCCTTCGCGCGCTCGATCTCGCGCCACTCCTTGCGCGGGCCGCGCGCGACGGCGCACAGCAGCGGCGACACGCACGTCGCGCTCGGCGCGAACGCGAAGAGGAACGAGTGCGAGAGGCTCATCTCCGCCCAGCGCAGCCGCTCGCGGCCCGCGAGGCAGATCGCCTTCTCGCGCCACGAGACGTCTCCCGGCGCGTCGGTGAGGATGCGCGTGAGGGAGGCGCGCGACGTGCAGAAGTATGCGTAGGGCAGGATCTCGCGCACGTCGCATTCGGTCGCGAGCTTGATGGCGCGCATCACCTGGTCGGACTTCCGGTGCCGTTTGTGTTCGCGGTGCGCGGAGACCAGGTCGTGCTCGGCAAGTGTCGTGGGGAACTTGGTCTTCAGTACGGATATGCAGCGGAGGCGCAGAGTAGGGATGAAGTATTTGGTGCTGAGCCGGAGCATACCGGACACCCAGGTTAACAGCCCTTCGAGACCGGTCGGGACGGAGTCGAAGTGTCTGCTGCGTATTGATACAAGGAACGAATGGGAGGGGAGTCATCACGCACGAAGGATTGTATATCCCTCTCAACAAGCTCGCCACATCTTCAGGGGCGTCATGGAGCTCGACCACCCGACACCCGTCCACCAGCTCGTTGCTTTCCGCAGGCGGTTGCGGAAGATTGAAGAGACTAGAGAACACCTCCGAATGGGCAGCGAGAACGGTCTGGTGCACCCTGAACATGACACCGTTGGCGAGCACGATTATCGATCCGTCGTGGTACCAAAACTCGTCTGAACGAGTCGTCTCTGATTGCCTCTTGACGGTGTGCGATGTGCGGGGCATCGACGACTCGCTGGAGCTTGAGTTGCGGGGGTCTGATGCCATGAGAGGTGGATAGGAGAGGAACGAGTGGTTTCGGGCAGAGAGGGAGGCGTGGGCTGCCCATAGAGACTGGGTGGTTTTGGTCAAGCTGGAAAAGGAGAGTTCGCTCCATGTGGCTTTGATCGCCTGTCCGATTCTGTGGCTTCCGTCAGGTTTTTCATCTTCCCTGGTACCCCGCAGACGCCGCAGGCCTCGGTTTCTGGTGTGTCCGCGCCGTCAGTAAAGATCCAAAAGTAGGGGCGGTGATGCGTGATCCGAGTCTGTCTGATAAGCGCTCCTGGATCCCGACAGCCAGTGACTGCGCGTCGGTGATTTTTGTTCTACCAGGTATACAGCGCAAGTACCGATGATACGAATATCTAGACAATGCCCAGACAGGCTGATGGAGTCCCGTGCACCGACTGGGACTAATAATGACAATGACAGTACCATGTCCTCAAAGTGGCACCGCCACGTTACCACGAATTGAGTACTCTGCTGGCCATCTCGAATCCGAGGAACGTCGCCCCATTGGCGAATGGTGATCTGTTGAGCAAAACGGTGAGTCACGAGGGAAAAAAACAGACCGTCCAAGACCAACCGAATGAGCGTCGGCGTCAGACCACGCGTAAACGCAGCGAAACCCTCCGCCTGGAACACCTTGCGCACGCAATCCAGAGACGAAGAGTACTTGCGCCCCGTGGCCGCTGAAAACCCGTCCGTCTGCATGCGCGATTTTATCATGTCTATCGGGTAGATGATGGCCCATAGCTGCAAACGCGTCAATGCGCCTGCTGATAGATGGAAGACGGGGAATCGACGCACAGCGTATCCGGCACCAGCGCCGTAGAGGACCGCGTTGAGCGGGCTGATCTGCTCCCGCTTGATGCCCTTCTGCGCCATCTCCCGCTGCACGAGCTTCTCGTACGCGAGGAAGTAGATTCCGTACCCAGCCGCCTCGCGCACGAACGTGACGCCCTGGCCCTTGAACACGCCCGCGATGCCGTGGGCGGAGTATATCTTCTTGATGGCGTCGAGCGGGCCCTTGTACGTCGGATTCGTGGAGGACTGGGTTTGCAGACCTGCGGGGCGCGGGTGAGGGCTTCCCCCGCGATGCAGCACGACGACGCACGGATACGGATGTGCTCGACTGGCCCGGACACGAAGCCGTTCGCCAGCCCCGCGGCGACCCCGGCGGAGAAGATCTGCCCATCACTGAGTAGCTTCCCGTCCGCACCGCCGGTTCCGCTAGCTCGATTGCGCTCGGCGAAGAACCGTTTCGTGGACTCGAGGACGCCGAACTGGATGGACACGCATACACCGATGCCGAGGAGGGGCGTCAGAGTTCCCTGTGGGTGAAATCGATAAGGTGAGGTAAGGCGAATGCGGAACGGCGCGTCGTGCGGACCTTGTAGAACGCGAGCGGACCCTCGTTCTTCAGGATCCCGGTGGCACAGTGCATCATGCCTGTGTAGGTGCCCTTCGCCGACGTTTGCATTCGCTAGGATGGATTTCAGACGATCATGGCCGCCTGTAAAGAGAGCATGGCAGCACATACAACTTTCACAATGTCAAACGGCTGTCCGACGAGCACCTGAGGTCCGTTTCCGTGAGTATATCGCTGGACGACAGGCCCTGGAAGGGATGCGAACCTGTGCAATGCCGCCCGCGGTACCCGCAGCAAGGTCCTTCACGGTACTCGACATTGTATGTTGTAGCCGAGAGGTCGGCTGGGAATAAGCTCAAGGGTTGCTCCTGACAGCTCCTGACTCGACTCGCATAAGTACCTCGCGCTCGCCCGAAAATTCTTTGATCGCACGTGATCAGCCAATCAGGCGGATCAACGTCAAAAGTTTTGGGCAGCTGTCTAGTTGTGCAGTTCTTCGGCTACGACCTCGAGATACAAAAACATGGCTGAAGTCGCGGGCTCTGTCGCCACCCCAGCCCAACCTCCGGCAACAGAAGAGGAGTACGGCGAAGGAGAGTGGGAAGGAGAATACGATGAGGATGAACTTGAGGACGAAGAAGACATAGATGCCGCGGCAGCGGCCATCGCGCAGAAACTGGAGGCTGAGCTTTGGGCGGATATCCAGCGCGTCAACGGCTCGTCTACACCCGCTGCTGGGTCTGGATCTCATCCACCCCCACCTATGCCGCAGGCGCAACCCGTCCAAGGTCGGCCGATCCAGATGCCCACCACACCTCCAACCGCGCAGGAGCTAGCGACTGTCAACACCGTGCGCGTCGTCATCGCGACTCTGGAACGCGACTCGGTAGCCCTTGCTACGTTCGCCAGCTCTACGATCCCCGATCTCGGGGGCCCAAGTGTCCTGGACGTGTTACGCGACATCTCTGGGTCAGGGAGAATCCCGCATGGTCTCGCGGGGTACATCACTCGCTTTGTCGTGGCGCTGGCAAAATCCGAGTCCCTTTTCGGTGGGATGAAGAACTCAGAAGTTCCGAGTCAGACACTGAGGCAGAAGCGCAAACGGGAAGAGGACGAAGAGCAGGAGTACGCGAACAAACGCGCCCACGTTGCAGCGCCTGCACACCCGACTCCACTCCTCGGGACGACGACAACTCTGGAAAGCGAGATCTCTGCTGCTGTGCGGAAGATCTCGCAGACGATCAAGGACGTGAGCGATGCGCTCAGCCCCGCTCTCGTCACCTCGATCCAGCCTCAGCTCCATCGCATCTTTCTCTTCGCCGTGAGCTCGTCACAGCCCCCTGGGATCTATACTGCTCCGCTGCAAGAGATCGGTGGGCTCATCCAGGTCATCGGCCTACTCGGACACACTGAAATCGTGCCGAAGGACTCCATCCCGTCCAGCAACAACAACACCTTCCTCGCATCTGTCTACCCGTGTCTAGTCGACGGATGTGGCAAGTTCTATACTCGCTCCGACGGACTGCGCGAGCACCAGAAGTTCGTGCACGAGGGTATGCCGCCCCGCGCCGTGAATCGGGCGGGGGAGAGCGAGGTGGATGGGAATATGGTGGCGACGGCTAGGACGGTTGTCCTTTCTTTGCACTCACCATTGCAGGTGCTGGTCGCGAATGCTTTGAGTGCCTCGGCCCAGCCTGCGAATGGAGCAGTCTCTTCGCCAGGCATCGCTCCTGCTGTTCCAGCTCCAGGCGCATCATCTGCTTCTGTCTCAACTCCTATCGCATCACCTGCTGTTGTTCCTCCCTCGACAGCCCCCGCTACGCCCGTTCCCCCTCCAATTGTCGCTGCAGCGGCGTCCCCTTTAGTAGCTGCATCACCCCCAGCAGCGATTCCACCCCCAGTCACTGCCGCAGCCTTCCCACCTCCTGTCGTGTCCGCCGCAGCTCTCCCAGCCCCAAGCGCTCAGCTCACCTCAGACGTTACGACTGCCATTGCTACCCCTGACGCACTGGAGAAGCCTACCAGTAGCGAGACGATAACGGACGAAGACACTTTAGCTCTCGAAGAAGCACTTGCCGCCGCCGCCGCCCAGGCCGAGGCGGAGCTTCTCGAAGCGGACGAAGACGACGACGAAGACTTTGATGACTACGAGGAGGTGCTTCCGGAGATGTACAGTGCGGCCCCATAGTCAATGCTCGGTATCCTAGCCACAGGTGAGCGTGATATCCCCTCCCCTCTCAGCTGTGTTAACTACTACAGCTTAGGCCGATGCTTTGTTTTGTGCTTCACCCATCCTGCCTGTTCGAGGGCGGCATGTTCGTGGTATGCCTGCTTCTCAGCGGGCGAACGAGAGTCCCACTCTTGCCTTATCCACTGCGCGATCGTCGACTGTCCCCGTGGCATTGACCACAGCGACCGCTTCGGCAGCTGGGTGCCTGCGGATGATGACTTGGGCGGCATCGTTTTTGTTAGGGAGCCTGGTGCTGACAGTCAGCGAGGGTGAAAAGAGTGGTCGGGCTGTCACCCACCGGGGGCTGGCTGAGTGTAGAACAGCTACTACGCGCGAGAAGCAGCCTCGCAGTGATATACTCATGCCTTCCAAGAGCCTTACTAAAGTGCTCAGGGATGCTCCCTTCGAGCTCGGTATCAGCGCTCAAGACAAACGAACGGCCTAATCCGGAAGCCGAGAAGTATGCCTCGCGGGCCGCAGCGGAAGTATCCAGTGATCACGACGGAACGCAGCGGTAATCATGAATGGGATCAGACGCAGTGTTATCATTTCTCTTGTAACGCTGAAATCGGCATATTTTAACTGTATATGTCCTGTCTCACTGTGTTTTGGTGACTGAGCGATGCAGTCCATATTACAAGCACAAAGGCTTGGCGCGCAGTAAAACACTGTTTCCAGTCTGAAAAGCTGCCCAGAGCGCTTGGACGATCGAATCTGGGTCAAAATGCTCACAATGCGAGAGCCTGAACGCAACATGAGACATGAGACCAAGTGTCTGATGGCTAGACTCGGTCCAGTCGCTTCAGTAATGATGATGACTGTTTTTTCCCCGCGGAACAGCGACTGGCTGAAGTCCAATTGTTGATGGTCTTAACCTCTCTGCTGGCCAGCGCTCGAATGATCATATTGTCTACCGCCGTTGCGCGGATCGGCAGCCACTCACGCTGCAGGGGAAGATTCAACTTAGCGGGTCGAGAGCATCCGATCCTGCCGCCCTTCGAATGTTCAGAGATCGTGCTGACAACATGATCAGGCACTCTCACAAGGACACCCCAGGGACCTCCAATTATTACGTAAAATGGCTTCGAGGCCCCCTCCGGAGGCCATCAAACCACCCCCTACCCCCCCTGATCGGAGGCCATCCTGGAGGCGCCTTCCTAATTGGTACTCTGCCCAGCCATTCATCCACAGCCAGCATGGTAGGCTAGGCATTGACCCGAGTGTTTATATGTGCTGTAGTAGTCAGTATAAAGCCTCATACAATGTCTTAGCTCACAAAAGCTTGTATTTCTTGCTTGCAAATGGCAGACCACTGGGCACACAAAATTCGGGATTTGAGCACATGAGCACTCCTCAGGTGCATAGAGCAGCAGTATATATATGAATTCGAGATTGAGCATGAGGTAGCTGTGCCCACACGCAAAAATGAGATGTTGCTGAAGGGATGGTTTATGGCCTCCACAACCTCCCAGGGGCAGAAAAAAAGGTGTTGGGTAGCCCACAGGCCCTTGAATTCTGCTTCAATAGATCAATTTGACGTTTGTCAAAACAACAGCCCAGGATATCAATTGGATGCTGGAGCAGTGACAGAACAAGCCTCCACCGCCTCCAGGGCTGGGGACCAAAAGCGGTTATTGTAGATTCAGCCACATAAACCATATTTCTGATCTTGTTTGTCCTAGTTGGAATGTCTGGGTATTCAAGAGAGACAGGTGGCTACATAGATCAGATGCTAGCACCAATAGCAGAACTGGCCTCCATGGCCTCCACAGCCAGTGACCAAAAGCGTTTTTTTGGGTTCAGCCACATAAACCATGTCCATGATGTTGAAGGTCTTCCTTATAATTATGAGGGTCCTTTAGTTAAATGTCTCACCACATGAATCAGATGCTGGAGCAAATGGCAGAACTGGCCTCCGCTGCCTCCGCAGGTTATCACTTGAAGAGTCTGAATGAGATGACAATGTAACAGATATATATTCTCCTGGCTGACCACATTCTGTCATTTTCACCTCTACATGCTAGTTTAATTGCTGCAGAATGTTAAAATTAGAGGATGGGAGACCCTGGAGGCACTGGAGGCACATGCAAGATCCAATCAATGTCATCAATATCATCAATGCCATCAATAGCATCAAGAGCATCACCGATCATTGGTATATTGATCAGCCAATCAGATGATGAATAAACATCGAACATCTAGTATATTCACTCCTGAGAGACACAGACTACATGTATGCTCATACTGAAAGTGGATTAGTGGTCCCAGGACATGCCCCAATGACATATTGCATGCTTGTATCAGGGACATATGATTAAAAATCGGAGTTGGCAAATGAGCTGAAAGTACTCCACTGTACCACTCATCTTCAGTTGACTTTCAGCTCATTTGCCAACTCCGATTTTTAATCATATGTCCCTGATACAAGCATGCAATATGTCATTGGGGCATGTCCTGGGACCACTAATCCACTTTCAGTATGAGCATACATGTAGTCTGTGTCTCTCAGGAGTGAATATACTAGATGTTCGATGTTTATTCATCATCTGATTGGCTGATCAATATACCAATGATCGGTGATGCTCTTGATGCTATTGATGGCATTGATGATATTGATGACATTGATTGGATCTTGCATGTGCCTCCAGTGCCTCCAGGGTCTCCCATCCTCTAATTTTAACATTCTGCAGCAATTAAACTAGCATGTAGAGGTGAAAATGACAGAATGTGGTCAGCCAGGAGAATATATATCTGTTACATTGTCATCTCATTCAGACTCTTCAAGTGATAACCTGCGGAGGCAGCGGAGGCCAGTTCTGCCATTTGCTCCAGCATCTGATTCATGTGGTGAGACATTTAACTAAAGGACCCTCATAATTATAAGGAAGACCTTCAACATCATGGACATGGTTTATGTGGCTGAACCCAAAAAAACGCTTTTGGTCACTGGCTGTGGAGGCCATGGAGGCCAGTTCTGCTATTGGTGCTAGCATCTGATCTATGTAGCCACCTGTCTCTCTTGAATACCCAGACATTCCAACTAGGACAAACAAGATCAGAAATATGGTTTATGTGGCTGAATCTACAATAACCGCTTTTGGTCCCCAGCCCTGGAGGCGGTGGAGGCTTGTTCTGTCACTGCTCCAGCATCCAATTGATATCCTGGGCTGTTGTTTTGACAAACGTCAAATTGATCTATTGAAGCAGAATTCAAGGGCCTGTGGGCTACCCAACACCTTTTTTTCTGCCCCTGGGAGGTTGTGGAGGCCATAAACCATCCCTTCAGCAACATCTCATTTTTGCGTGTGGGCACAGCTACCTCATGCTCAATCTCGAATTCATATATATACTGCTGCTCTATGCACCTGAGGAGTGCTCATGTGCTCAAATCCCGAATTTTGTGTGCCCAGTGGTCTGCCATTTGCAAGCAAGAAATACAAGCTTTTGTGAGCTAAGACATTGTATGAGGCTTTATACTGACTACTACAGCACATATAAACACTCGGGTCAATGCCTAGCCTACCATGCTGGCTGTGGATGAATGGCTGGGCAGAGTACCAATTAGGAAGGCGCCTCCAGGATGGCCTCCGATCAGGGGGGGTAGGGGGTGGTTTGATGGCCTCCGGAGGGGGCCTCGAAGCCATTTTACGTAATAATTGGAGGTCCCTGGGGTGCACAAGGAAGGGAGATTGATTAGATAAGCAGGTGATGACGGCTCTTGTCTACTCGCATCCACCTCTGATTCGCTCTTGCCACACTGGATATGACTGCCAATGGCTACTTTCGTACTGAGCCTCCGACTACAATTACAATGTCCCATCCCGAAACATGATCGAAGAGGCTGTCCAGAAAAAAATGCAGGACCATCGCGCTTTGGCCTAAGAACAATAGCATCCACTAAGCGAGTCCAATCGCTCAAATAGAGCTGATAACGCTCTGCTTTGTTCTTTCCCCACATACTTTCCCCCCTCGCTCGACGCTGCCAGAATGCCCAAAGCCACTTCCTCTCTGCCCATCGCTGCCTCTTCCAGTTCAGCAGCATCGGTCACTGACTCCCCTGAGTACCTCGTCACTGTCGACAACGTCGTCCTCCTGGTTTCTGGCTCCGCTCGCGTGTCCTTCGCTACCGGACGGGGCTCGAATCGCAAGTACACCGAGATCAATGTGTCTGTGAGTCAACGAGCCACAATACGCAAGGTCACCTCCTCATCTCTCCGCAGGTCTTGAAATCAGAAGACGATTCGAATGAAAGAAAAGTGACGGTCGATGCAAGCAGCACCAAGGTAGGTGCTGCGGGCCGGCTGATCGCCACTTCAAAGCAAGCGCTTGACGCCACGGGTGGGTGGCTTCTCCATGCGGCCGTCGTCGCCATCTGATGCCTCAGCCTTAGTTTCAGAGAAAAACTCGACCACTATTAGCTTCGCGTCGGCTTCCGCTGTGGCCCGTGGTGCCAAGGCCGAAAGCCCGCAACCCGGAAGACGAAACTCCACCGCAGACCGACCTTCGACGTCGCGTGAAAAGAAAGTCAAACGTGCGATATCTCTCCTCGTCGACTGCTATTAGCTCAACTGATAAAGATGACAGAATTAAGCAAGCGCACGGGGTCCTCCCAAGCTGCCAAGCGCCGGCACTCAGAGCTCGACGACGGCGACAACTCCGATGAAGATACGGTCGAGAAAGAGAGTCAACCGCGGCAGGCTGCAAACAACAATGATGAAGACCAAGACTCCAGCAGAGGTTCCAAGCGCCGCAAGGTCCCAGCTGTGCGGACGGTGCCGACGACTTTCGAGCCTCCTCTTCCGGGAAGAGTGCCGCTGCCCATGATGACCACCATCCTCGACCCCACCCTCCGCGGCGGCAGGTCAGCGCGGCGGCGGGTTCCCACCGCTGCCGGGCCCCCGGTCCACTTCGGTGTGCCGGCGCAGGTTATGCCCACCACTGTCGAGCCTCCCCTTCGCGCTAGCTATACGGGTCGGAGAGCGGGGCAAGAGCGGTCGGGCGCTTCGCGCGACGGCACACTCCAGCTGCAACTATGATAGAATAGCACCGTTGCATGAGATCGAGATCAACGTATACCAGTTCTGCCTTCTTAATTATTTCTACTCGGCTGCAGATCCTGTCGCATCTAGTAGACGACTCATCGAAAGCGCTGAGATCCCGCCGTCTTCTGAATTCCGCTCATTCTCAGTGGCTCTCCTCAAGTCCGAATGAATCGTATTCAGACCGAGTTGACCCTCCTGCCTGTTAGGGGGTCACTCGGGTTCGGGTTCATTTCAAGAACGAGGTGTACGATTTTTCAAACACCAAGAGGCACCGTACATTAATCAATCTCACTGATAATTGGCCAAGGGGTCCACTGCAAGACAGAGTTGTGTATCCGCATTGGAAAATCAATCCAACTTGGAGCACTCACAGCCAGCCATCAAGTCCTATAAGGGAAACGGATTCTCACCCGAGCGTGTGTTTACTTCGGACCCGGCCCGACTTCCGTTCCAACTTTCAACTCTCTCTGACCTTTCGACTCATCTTGGGCGCTCGCAGACTCTGGATGACTGACGCATCGTTGTGCAAAGATTTGTATGGTAAGTGGAATTAGATGGGCTTAAGTAGTTAGAAGCGAGCTCTTACCCACGCATCTCTTGCTACTGTAAGACTCGCTTCGAAGACCCTTGTGGGACATTTGATAATCTCATCTTGGTTATCACCTCGTCGCATGACCCTGAGTCTTCGTTCAAGAAGCGCAGCCTCCTTCTAGCCAACGGTTGGGAATGAATTACTTCGTACCCTCACCTCGCTCAGATCTGACCTGCATCGGGTCAGTCCTTACATGCGACGAAAGACATTACGGTCCTTTGATAGAACGCAAAAGAGAACGAGAGGACTTGGCACTTCCTGACGGGGAATTCTGAGATTTCTTACCTATTACGGTCTGAGTGCTATCGGCCGAGAGACAGCGTCACATGTATAGAATCTCAAGCGGTTCGAGAAAGGCACGACTGGGCACATCCGCAAAGATTTGCACCGAGCAACGAGATCTGACTGTATGCTTCGGACGGGGGCCAGGTTCGGGTCTTTTCGCTTGACTGCTGCTGTGATGTTGGTTCGCTGCCAATATTGATGAGACGGAAAGACAGGACAGTTGCCCGAGAAGAGAAGCAGGCCCGTAGGTCTGTACGACAGCGGCTGTGTTATCTTGACCAGTAAGCAGCAACGCAGAAGTCTGAGGGACCAGTTCCTCGGAATGCGCCTCTTCGATTTGCCGGGGTCCTGCTGACCCACTACACGATTTAGCGATGATACAGCAGAGTTATCAACGAAACCTTACGAATCAGGTCATAACATTCGTTCGTATTAGCCAGCGTGAGCCTTAGCTAATCACTCACCAAGAAATCTGCGTCCCAGAGCCAATGCCCATTCTCGTCGTCAGTTGATCAAGTCCAGAGCGCCAAGTCACAACCAGAACATCCATCGCACTGCAGTCTTGCGCAGATTCCTTGTGATTATTTCGGCAAAGATATAGCCATTCGACACCTACAGATACAGTATGTCTCTTGATCTTCGCTTGACTGCCTCGGAAATCTGAGAAGCACCAGGCACCACACGAACCGAGTGTTGAGATCGACGACATCCTCCTCGAGAGTTTCGAACGAGCGATTGATTGGAGTCGGAAACCATCTGTCGGCTTTAGATTTCGACAGAGCGAGATTTCACCTCGAGAGATAGAGCCTGAAGCAATCCTCGACAATGGGGATCACACTGTGCTGACAGTAGGATGGTGGTCAAGAACCGAGTTTTCGTCAGTGTGATTTCGTGGTGAATGTGATATGTCAATTCTTGGGGCGTAAGCAGATGACTCTGCCCGACCAACGCCGTAAAAGCATCATTCAACCCTGCTCACAATCGCCTGCGGTGTTCTACGCCTCCTTGGCAAGGATCTGCAATCAACATACAAACAGATAACACGATCAAATTGCTTCTGGCTCTGTTGTATTCCTCCCTGCCCGTTCCTAGGATCAGGGCTTCAGATGTGATTGAAAGGACGAAACATGTGCCTGTAGGATCTAAGGTTGACCATACAGGACATGGTCTATATCATGATGGGCGATCGTCCTTGTGCTCGGGGTCCTGGCACTCCGTGACTTCGGGACTCATACATGCTTACTGCCACGGGTTTGGATGACCATTGTCCACCTCATAAGCGTGCTCATCGTTGATGGGCAGCGCGTTCATCAAGAAGTTGTCGAACCGCGTCGTTGATTTACACGGACACGGCCAAGCACTTCATTATGAAACTTGACTATGCCTTCACTTTTTTATTGCTCTTCTTCTACCTAGCTGTCTTTCTTTTCTTGAGTCTACGTATATATACTTTGGTCATCAACAGTGTATCAACTAGACAGTTGAATAACGTGATCAGAAAATCACTTCCTTGCAATCGCGCTTGATTTCTTGGTCGCTCTTCTATTCGGATGTCTGCGAACTTCAACCGAAATCCTACCGGAAAGAACCAATATGCCAAAAGTTTGTGCATCAAGACCTGCTTGATTAATCATTCAATATTCAGCAGGCGAAGCGCTGGAAGAGTCGATCAAGACTGCACTCCAGGGGTACCACCAGGACGGGGTTACAAACTACGCAATAATATCTCAACTGCTGTTCAAGGATCTGGAAGTAACCTTGGGGTGCGCGTTTCCATCCGAAGCTTGATTCCTGCTACTGATCTCCGGCAGTCCCAAACAGGTCCAGCGGCGGCTTTCGAAGCTAGGACTCTTTGCGGCCAAGGGAACCATGGAACGGATCGAACATGCTGATGTGGTGCAACTGGTTCTCGACGAACTTGACAAGGATGTAGTGAAGCACCTTGGTGTCAAGTCCATTCGGGACAAGATAAGGCAAACCTCAGATGTTATCCTATCCAGGTGTGTGGCTATAGATAATTTTGCGAAGCTAATAACATCTACCAGATCATTTGTGTCCTGGATGATGCATCTCCATGACCCAGATGGCTTTGCCGGACGCAACCCTACAGCTAAGCGCATCTATCGCTCTCCCAAGTACCCGATAGGTATCAATCACAAGTGGTCAAGCGACGGTACGTGCTCTCTCCGACACCAGTTTGATCTGACCTAATGAGTCACAACAAATCTAGGTCATGATAAATTGTACTCGATCGGATATCCCATCTACGCAATTGTGGATGATGCTACTGGGAAAACACTGGGCGCTTGGGTTCTGCCCAGCAATCGTCAGCAAGATATCATCTTGTATGTCTATCTCTGCTGTGTGGAGAAGTACGGTGGTACGTTCTCGGTTCTAAGTCTCCCTTCCGGCGCTTGCCGTGCTCCCACTGACCACCCCCCAGGTATTCCTCTGACCACAACAACGGACTGTGGTACGGAGACTCTCAAGATGGTGAATATGCAGAAGGAACTGCGGTGAGTACATTGGCTCTTCAGTCTCTATTGGCTTCTTCTCTCAGCGGTGCTCTAGGAACACCTTCCACCCCGACATTTCTGAGGCCGAAGTTCCTGCCCACATATACCTTCGAAGTGTACATAACATTTCAGTAGAACGTAGCTGGTATCGTCTGCGTCTGGACTTTGGTGATCGCGCCGTGTACCTGTTCAAGGAGGGTGCTATCCAAGGGATCTATAATCCTCATGATGCTGATCATGTGTACGTCCCATTTGGGATATTCTTTCTGCAAATTCTGACCCAGCCGCAGCCAGCTTAGTCTATGGCTCTGGTCTCGGATCCTCCAGAAGGAGCTAGATGCGACAGTCGAGTTTCGAAACAACAGTGCGGTGCGGAAGCAGAAGGCAAAGCCTGGGCCTTCGGGATTCAGTCGCAACATCGCTTACACGCTGTACGAACAGTGGGGAGGGGTGGACTGCAAGCTCGTGGTGGATATGAACTTGATCAGGGAGCAGAAAGCCCTGCTCGGAGGTGACACACTTCTTGAGTTCACGACGTTGGAATTTTCGCAACGGGCTCAGGCTGTCTTTGTCACTCTCGGAGAAGTACCCTTGTCCATGGAGTCCGGGTGGACATTATTCCAGGTGATGCTTCCTGATGTATTTCCCGAACGTAACTTTCTGCGTCCTGTATTGTAGACATAGTTGATCGATTCCATTACCCGGATACTGGACATAGACATAACTAGATATGCCTACATTCAACTACCTACTAATTCATGATGCTAGAGATATCAGACCCGCGATTTGCTCTCTTACGGTTATCTGGGGGAGAAGTGGGCCCAGGAGGAGGTCGCCGGTTAGTCTGACGTTCCGGAGTCTTCGGTCGCTCCACCTGATACTTAAGCTCCCTCAAGTTCAGCCCATAGCAGATAGGATTCTCATTGCACATGTCCAGATGGTGTTCGAGGAAGGCTTCGATGCCACGAGGTCCTTTGTCCCAGTACATCCGGAGCTGTGAGTTGGACTGCGACCTGTCAAGCCGAGATAAGTCCAAGACTGAAGCACAGACCGAGACTCACGTATGCATCTGCGGGTCAATCAAGACCACACTGCTACTTTCCTCTTGTATCCCTACCGCAGAGTGAACCAATGCTTCAACCCAGTTATGAAATGACCGACCTTGAATGTCGCAGATGAGGGCATCCTCGTTTGTGTACAGTGCCATCCAATGAGTGAACGCATGAAGTGAGGCGGTCAAGAGATCATTACGATGCGGTGCTGCCCCACAATTCTCATTTCCGGTGAATTTGCGTAGCGGCTTGTCGATTGATCCGCAAGGCAAGAGCGGAGTAGCAAGGAAGTGAGCATGGACAAGTGGCTGTTCGAAGAATTCTTCTTCAGAGCAACCATGAACGAACTTGCCAACGAAAGCGTCCTTGAAGTTGAAGCGGACCGCTATCAGAGAATGAGCACAACTCTGTTCAGGCGATCTGGACTTACAGAGTCCTGTGATCAGATCGGACACATTCTTCGGCGCTTCCTCTCGTGCAAATGACAAGAACTCTGACCAAAGCTCATCTCCGAAGGAAAGGATCCGCAGCTCCTCTTGGAGTACCTCCAGATGGGTGTCCTCTGTCTGGTCCGGATCTGCGACCTGAGCGATGGCATACTCTCGATTTTCGACAAACAGCCTTCCCTGTACAAACGTGAGTCTTCATCACAAGCGCATATGCAGGGAACACTCACATATACTACGACTTTCGTGAGACCGCTCCCAATGTAACCGGTATGGTCAAACGTGCTCCCGGACTTGGAGAGCTTCATCCCATCCTGCCAGTCGTCTGCGACATCCATCATCTCAATATTGGCATCAGCATCCAGTCTGAACTCCAGCTGACGCCCTGAACCGGCCATTGAAAAGCGTCGAAACCAATACTGGGCTGTTTTCGCTTTAGCACGCATGAGCCGGGGTTTCGGAGGCAGAGGTGGCATATAGGCGCTTTTCCGGACAAGAGCACCACTTCGACGCGGGGTGTCGTCAGTCAACCCGCCGGCTCGGGACACTCGTTTGCTGGAACGCATGGTCGAAACACGGGCACTGACACCAGCTTGATCCTCATCGAGGACCCACTAAGAACAAACGTCAGACCAAAGACTCGAGTACATAGCATACTACTTAACGCACGATCTGGTCTTTTGGAACGATGAAGCGCAGATTGATTGTATTGGTCTTCATCTGTGTCTCGTTGACATAATCTTGAGTATAGAACTCCGCGAGAACGTCTTTCGCCGTCTTCCCCGGAGGAGGTCCTTCGAGATACGCAAGGGCTTTGCTGAGTTTGCGGTAGGAACGGAATAGATAGTGATGTCGGGCTTCGTGATCTTGGAAGCGCCAGTGTCTTTGAACGACTCTTGGTGATACTGCTGCGTCTTGAGTATCATGGCCTCGACAACGTCTTCGATGAGGTCGTTCTCATCACAACCGTGATTGAAAGTGACTTCTGGGACCTACATCTGGATCAGGCCATGAAAACAGTCGATTCAATAGTCCAGACGCACCGGTGTGAAAGTGCTGCCCCCACCCCTCTTGGGTTGCGAAGTGGAGAACGTGACCACGAAGTTGACGCGGTGCGCCTTCTGACGCGCATGTTGCATCTGCTGCACAATCTGCATCCCACGAGTCGTCGCTCCAACTCCAATGCCTGAACTGCCCCCAGTCAGCCTGGCCTGCTGCGCCCTTGCAAGGTTTGGATTGACCGCTCGCGGTGGGCCCAAATCTGTCTGGAAGTCAGCGGTCCGGCGATATGATAGCGCCTGCTTATTTGCGCGCATACCAGTCGCCGAATGGTGTTTCACGATGGCGCTGACCGCTCCTGGTATCGCTGCGATTGCAGGAGGAATGTTTTGAGGATCTATTGCGATTTCAGTGCCACAATTGAGCTACGGCGCCAGCCTTTCTTACCTGGTGCCAGCTCGAGACAGCTCCCGCACAAGACCTGAAGAAGGTTGCCGTAGACAATGGAGCAGTTCCGGCACTGTGGCTTTGCCTTCAAAAGGTGTCTCCTATCAGTATCGGTCCCAGCTCGAGAAAATGTGCGAGAAACGCACCTTGATTGCTGCCCGCTCGATATCTGACTGTGTGAGGCTCAGCTTAGCACATTTGTTGCATGGCCGGCCAGCAAGAAGACCAGCAAAAACGGAGCCGCATTCATCACAGGCGGGCATGGCGTAAGGCGAAAAGAGACGGCGATCGAGTCAAATATCTGCTAGACCATGTCCTTGCCCACATAATCATTGATTGTCGTCCACTCACCGCGCTCGTCAACCAGCTTGTCCGACTCATTCCTCAATCCTCTCACCACGAAGTCTGAAAGGCCAATATGCATTATCGATTATGAACTCTGTAGATCTCGGTACGTCCTGCGGTCGGACGCGTCGACGCGTCGAGGTGCATGTGACGGCGAGGTATAAGCGAGAAAACAAGCGAGAGGAGATCGTGTACAGGATGACAACGGGTGGGCGTGTCACGATGTGACGCGATCTCTACTCAAGACCCCAACGCCGAATCATGATCGCATTTACCATAACAGTCCATGTCCTGTATGGTCAACCTTAAGGATCACAGTGCATAGATGCTGGATTCCCCAAGCGTTATTTCCTCGGGGCGTGCATGACATGTCTTGGTAGCTCGATTAGGGGAACGGAAGTATTTCAAGACACGCCTCGATCCGAATAAACACTCCCAAAATGCTCCAGCGATTCGAATGGATGCGTTACTGTACTTCGGCTGGAGAATAGACATACTCACACAAAGTTTCTACTGTTGAATAGAATTTCGACATTGAAGCCGAAAATGTTTTCTCATCGCAGATTGAGGACGTCCGAAGCAGGCGCAGGAATGCTCCAAAGCATCCATGTGCTGCTCACGTTCGCGAGGAACGCGAGGGATTTAGGCCGCTACTGAGGTGTCAATTGATCGAGGGAGGCAATGTCGGATTGCAGACGTGTTCCTTCTAAATTTCGCCCGTCAGAAATTTCCAAGGGCTGTTCCATGTGAGCCACGACGAATGATCATTTGATCATCACGATTACGCCTGAGCTCCTGACTGATGTCAGGTGTTTGCCGTCAATCACCTGACACGATAGGTATGGTGTCGTGACCTTCCTGGCTGATTGTCACACTGCTTCTTGCCTTTCACTACTCGTTGAAGTTGTCCCACTAATTTCTTCCTATCGCTTACATTGATCTACTATCGCGAACTTCCCACTCAAAGCCCGCGGAACTCCAAGATAATGTTAATGTCCTTGCCGTCCGTTCCGTATGATCCCTGGAAAGACTGCAAGGAAATGCCCCGGCTCGTTCCCTCGTGGAAACGGCGTCTCCGGCACGGGCTTACCCAAAAACTCACACAGCGGCACCCACCCGTCCTTGACGCTGAACTCCAGCAGCCGATCCTTCGGAACCACGGCGCGCAGGTGCTCGTAGTGCGCCTCGTATGCTGCGATGGCCATCTCCTTGGGGATGTTCTCCGGTTTCATGTCTTGCGGCGGAACCGCGAAGAATGCGCTGAAGGTCAGCGCCCCGACGCGGTGGCGTCGAAGCTGGAGTGAATCGTGGGCGGAAGAGCCCGGAGATGAGTTGGTCACGGGATGGAACATCTGGTGGATGGTTGCTGCGAAGGATTTCCACCAGTCCTCCGGGTCGCGGTAGGTTGCGACAACGACCGCGTCGGGAAAAGCCTCGAGGAGCTCGTCGACGAAGTTGAAATGGGGCATGTCTGTGACTCCCTTTTCGATGTTTAGTGAGTAAATAGCTTTTCCCCTGATGATCCCAACCGAATCGTACCTGGAAGCTGCTCAGAAAGCGGCGCCAGTCTTCTGCCTCAAACGGCTTTCCGATTCCGAAGAACTTGGCCTCGATTGCACTGACCCACTGATCGACCACGGCCGCTTCGTCGAATACCTCAAAGCCGTGGTTAGTTGGGGCGTATCCGAGTTCCTCTAGTGCGAATTTCGTCGCTTTGGCCGCAAGGTCAGTATCCTCATGATTTTTAGCTTTCGCAACACTAACAATAAGTTCCGGTCCGCGAAAGTCCAAATCCGAGGACCTTAACCGTGCCTCGAGTAGGATTTGGGGGAGCAGCCATGGTGAGCAGCAGGATTCAAAGGTGCGAGTGCCTTGGTCGCTATTTTATAGAGCCCCTTCTGTCTGAGGATGCTCTTATCAGAAGTAGGGCCTATACGGGACCGATCTCTCGACGACGCAGCTCCACGAAACGATCGGTACAGCTTGAATCTGAGCATGTGTTACGGCTAGAGAAGGCCCAGACGACCTAGACGCATGTGTTCAAGCCATCCGACATTGACTGAATGAGTTGCATAGCATATCGGCGACAAAGCCGAAAGTTTTGAGCAAGTGTGCTCTCTTGCGGATTCGTGTCTGGCGACACCTCCCGGCTCCCAATGGCGTGCCGCATCGGAGGTCACTAATACCGCACTAACTCCCTAATAACGTTACTCCGTCCGTGATGAATGGGTTCTGGATTTTCGCAACCTCGGCGGCCAAGTCTATCTACAAGAAAACTGTGCTAATGCTTTGTTCCCCGATTGCCAGTCCCGACGATCGTAGGCATCACGGCCCTGAATTGCTCCGCATCGTTGACTCTCGGAAACGGAACAACCGGGACGTCCTTCCCCAAGAACGCGCACAAGGGTGCCCATCCTTCGGCTATGTGAAATTCCATGAGTCTATCCTTCGGAACGACAGCGCGAAGATGCTCGTAGTGCGCTTCGTAGGCTGCGACGCCCAGTTCCTTCGTGAAGCTTTCGGGCGTCGCGGCATCCGGCGCCACACCGAAAAACGCGCTGAAGATGATCACCCCGAGTCGGAGGCGACGGCCGGCGGGTGAGTCCTGGGGATCCGATGCGGCGGGGGTGAGCGTTACCGGACAGAGCATCGGCCGAATGGTGTTGCAGAACGAGGCCCACCAGGATTCGGTATCGCGGTGGGTCACTGGAACAATCGCATCGGGAAAGGCAGCCAGCAGCTCCTCGACGAACAGGTAGTGCGGCATGTCTGTGACACCCTGGAAAGGTTTTATATGAGGTCTTAGTTCGTTGAGACGAGCGGATGGCATACTTGGTACGGCTTCAGAAAAGCGCGCCATTCTTCGGTGCTGAGCGGCTGGCCGATCCCCCAGTATTTGGCCACAATCGCGCGAATCCAGAGGTCGACCACTGGTTCGGGCTCGAAGATGTCGAATCCGTGGTAGGTGGGCTTGTATCCGAGCTCCTCCAAAGCGAGTCTCATTGCTGAAATGTTGTGAGTTCGATGGGTCAGTGCTTTAGTGCCACTGTCTCACAAGAAGTGCCTGTGCGCGAGTAGCCAAAGGCGAGGACCTTGGGACCGAGGCCCGGATGGGAGATCTGGGGAGCGGACATGTTGATATGAGTCCATTTGGCTGCACACTGTGTTTTAAAGCCTTCCAGAGAGCCAAGAAGACAAGTCAGTACCTTCTTTGACAACTCTCCACGAAATCTGACGGATCTTCAAGTGGCGACAGTCTCTGATTATCTCAATGATCCAAATGCACAACACATGTCGAAAGACGGGATGCCGCTGCCGAGTTCGAACCAGTTCTTTCCTTGGCCAGACAATCGGCGTGGCTGATCATTGAGTCGTGTCAGATGATCTCTCTGCAGTTTTGGATCGGGCGACTTGTCCTAGAAGGCACCAGTCTGCGACTGACTTTTTGGGAAAAGTCGAGTGATCTTCAGCATACCTAGCCGCCCTCGTATGCTAGCGTCGCTTTGTACCGTCACGACCTTCTAAACGGAGTCGTGTTCGATTGTCATCGTCCATCGTTCTCGAAATAGATTCGAGCTATTGACCTGAAGCATTCCCGGATCTCGCGGAACATTTCTCTCATTCTTGAGAATATCTGGTAATGCAGCTTAGATTGTGTCGTTGACTCGTGGAAAAGAGTCGATCGCTTTGACCGCGTGACCGCGTCGCCAGCGAATGATATGACAGGTGGCAGTGCAACATTAATCGTTGCACAGTGGGCTCAGCCACATCCAAAAGGCCTAGATTGAGCGATACAAAACACCTGAGAAAGTTTGGTCTATAGGGCAGAGCAATGCACCGTGGATCTAATGTACTCTCATAGAGTATATGGAAATGCAATGTACTCTAATAGAGTAGAACCTCTCATGTGATTTTTCAGTCAGTGTTGGGAGCTATGTACTTTCATTCTTTGATTAATCATCAGCCATTTCTGCGATAGCCTAAGTTTTGGGTAGATTAATCTCAGTGTTCCTTCAGCCGGCCTGTATTATAATGATCTTTATGATTAGGTGCCGAACACTTATCTCTCGAAACACCAGTACTTCCAACCAAAATCACGTGTCTCAAAATCACGTGCCGGCGGTTCGTTGGGCAGCGGCGCCCGGTCAATGGATACATGCAAATTAATTCTGAGTAAACTATGTAACAAGAGAGGGAAGTAACGAGCGTGGGGATAGGCAGTTTTGACTCTATTTTATCCGGCGAGGGAGGTGATATCAGCCGAGAGAGCGTTGTACTTCGGGCACAGTTGCTCCCACTCGGTGTTGGGGCTGATCTCGGCCTTCCAGTCGTCAACGGCCTCCGCAAAGACAATAGCAAAGCCGGCTTCGAGATGCCAGTCGATGTGGCAATGGAGGAACCATGCTGTTGTGCAGAGTGGTAGTAGTTACGCGAGATCAGAGATGCGGTAGAATAGAAAGAGAATAACGACGCACGTCCACGGTTGTCCGTGAAGAAACGGATGGTAACATTGTCGCCTGTGCCACCGATGTTGACGACGTCGCGGCGCGCGGGGTTGACGTAGTTGTAAGCGCTGCTACCGGCCGAGCGGATGACGTCAAATGTGTGGCCGTGCAAGTGGAACGGATGCTGGTAGTAGACATGAGGCGTAGGTTGATCAAAACAAAGAGTGACGTACCCCGCCACCGATAACTCCACCAGCCAGGGTGAGTTCGACAGACGCGAAGTGTGGAAGCGTGTAGACTGTTTTCGCGGGCAACAGGGCCTGGGCGGGCTGGGCTCCAGACAGGATCTGCAGCAGCACGGGGACAGTCGGGGAGGTGAAAGAGGCACCGTTGACCGTAAACTTAAACGTCGTCTACCATGCAAAGGTCATTATCGTCCACCGGCTCATAGTGATCGACGCACCAGATCGAAAGCCAGGGCCAGGTTGACCTGGACGTCAGCACCACCGCTGAACGGTTTTCCGACAGTGCCCGGGTTGACCAGCGGGTGCAGGTCCACCTCGTTCACGAGAGCCTTAACGGACGTGTCCTGTGCGGTGGTTGGCTCAGAGGAAGGCGCACCAACGTCTATCGGAAAAAAATAAGTTAACGTCCTGAGCACGTCGAAACACGAGCCAAAAAAACTCACAGCGCAGAATGGCAGAGTTGATGCCTCCGGCAAAACCCGTCGGGCCGGTACTGGGGTTCGCACGGATCCAGTAGTTGTTGACGGCCTGGTCGGCGGTCAGAATAAACGAGTAGCGCTGTCCTGTTGGTCGGTTCATTCGGCAATCCCATGATTATTACCATCCAGAACCCACCAGCATAGATGCGGATGGAATCAACGCTGAGCGGCTCGTGCAGCACGCCGTCCGCCTCGATGATCGTCATGTTCGAGTGCCCGTCAATCTGGAAGACGTAGTCCGAGTCGCACGCGGTGTTGATCAGACGGAAGCGGTAACGCAGGCCCTTCGTCACATTGATAACCGAGAGCGTGGTGTTGCTCGCCGTATCAGCCGTGCGTCCAAGACCATTGATGAGCACTGAAGCTGGTGTGCTGAGCGAGTCGTCAGCGAGTGGATATCCGGGTTCCAACAACAAAAAGACGCACGCGACGCCAGCCACCGTCTCGGCGAAAACGTGGTACCAGTCCGCGAGAGTGATCACGGTAGATTCGTCGTCCACATCGTATTGATTCAAGTAGGCGTCCGCGGGGTCGTAGATGACCATCGCACCGCGAAGGCCATCGCAGTACTGAGTTGCCAAGTGAGAGTGGTACCAGAACGTCCTGGATCCATGTCAGCACCGCATCCCCCTCCCGCCCGGAAAAACGGAAAAATCGCGCACCCAGCCTGCTGGGACGTGAAGTCATATGTGAAAGAATTGCCGGGAGAAATAGGGCACTGGTTCACGAATGCTGGGCCATCCATGTAGTTGGTCCCATTTTGGAACAGGCCGTGCCAGTGCTACATGGAGTTTCAGTCAGCTCCCTCAGCAAATCGATGGATCTTGCACGCACAACCGACGTAGGCTCCAGCATCCGATTATCTTGCTGATTGTCCACTACCGTGAGCTTGAAGTTGTCCCCAATTTTTCCGGTGACGAGAGGACCCGGGAACGTCCCGCCAACCAGAACGGCAGCTCGCGGGAAGCCATCGGGAGCGATCGTGCCATTCGCCACGACGAGTGAGGCGACTGGCCCGACGGACACAGAGGAGACCATTTTAGCCAGAGCAGCCAGAGAAAGGAAAGTCGCGGCGGAATACATTTTTGACAGAATATGTGAGCAGTGAAAACAAGGAGAGGAAACTGAGGGCTAAGTACTCGGACCTGCGACGCTTTTATGGCGCTCGCAACTTGGACTAAGCGCGTTGATCAGTTGTGGAATCAAGCCATCCTTGCCAACCATCGTCTCCCAAGCCGGTAAGTGCATGGCAGAGGAAAGAACAAGCCACATGCTGAAATCGGTAATCCAGTGACAGCTCCTGACTGATTCTGGATGGATCTTCTTCACCTGTTCGGCCGTACAAGATATGGTCGGGGGTGACAAACCGTCGCCGATCCGGCAACTAAGCCTACATCGATTTCTAAAAAGCAACAAAATGACTTGAAAATGAAACGTCTGGTGGCTCTGGAGAAGTTGCATCCCAGTGCTCGAGTGGGAATACATGAGCCCAGCCTTCAACAGAGTATATCTAGTCCTCAATGAGGATAAAACTGATCTCGGACTCTGCCAAACATATGCTGATATGCGGGTGGGGATAGCGGGAACGGGGGTCGGCGCGGAGGCAGAGCAGAAGAGCCTCCGAGATATGAGTAATCAGCCACTCTCGGCCTCCGTAACTCCAGAGAGGATAATTCTCCACATAGAATTTCACAATTCAAAAGCAGCGAATTTACAAGGTAGCCAACTGTTATAGCCACAGACCCAAGTTTCACAACTCCTTGGTGGGGTTTAGGTGCGAAGACCCTTGATGGACTTATCTTGAAACTGGTATCACACCCAAAAATGCATGCTGGCATCGGCGATTGTAACATCCTAATGTGCTTCGCTGTCGGAATACGAATTGGAGAAGAAAACATCCGCGCAGAAGGCTAAGGTGATTGGCGACCGGGTCCGAATTGGGTCACGCGCCGAGCGAAGCGACTTTCTCGGTGTTTGAGATGGTAACTACATGGGCTGAGATGTGTCGGTCAGATGTTCAACACTGTACAGCGGCTCTATCGAGCGCTTATGAACAGAGGAGATTATTGTGCAAGGTGTGTCATGTATCTTAGGTCATTACAGGTCAGTTAGTAATTGTGGGCACGAGCCGCATTATACATCATCAAACACTCGTCAGTTCCGTTCCATCCTTCGCGAACCAAGGCATCGCCAGTGCCTCAAGCATAGAAAGCCGGCGGTTCGGATCGAACATAAGGAGACCGACCAGGAGCCGGCAGCCTCCACACACTGATCAGCCACGGGAACGAACCAAAAAAGGGCGCACGCACAGTGATCACTAGGCTGGATGGTATACCCCTCCTTGTCCTTTCCCAGACAGCCTTGCGTGAGGAACCCGATATTAGGCATCGCGCGCAAAGGCTCCCGGGTGTCGGGAACTGTGATAATCTGGTTCTCCAGTCCAGCGAGGCTAGGATATGTGTGTTCAGTAACTCCAGAGCCAGCGGGTGCCTTTGCATTTGTAAAAGGCCGTACCAGCAGAATAGCGTGACACCAGAAGAGAAGGAGTCGACGAGGTGATTGTATGGTTTCGTGTTCTTCTCGGTGACCTCGGGAGCCACGAAGTTTACCGTGCCCACATACGACTGCATTAGCGGACGGTCAGCTCCTGACGGCATCTAGAGGCCACGCCGCCGCATGAGCGTACCGTTGCTCCACTAGTAGGGTTGTCAGTCTTGACAATCGCTGCCACCCCAAAATCGGTGATCTTGACGACCGGAGGGGTATCCGACGTCAGCAAAATATTCTGTGCAGGTTCGATTCAAAGATTAGACCAGGACGCTCATGTATGGAGGCCAGGAACTACATGCTGATAACCGAGACCATTTGACAGTGATCCGTGTTCGGCCATCCAAGTCAAATGTTCTGGACCCCGTACACCACGGCTCTTCGCGCTACGGACCTGAAACTGTGCACTGGCACGCCTACGGAGCGTATGAGCGCGCAGCCGTACGGGGAGAGACACAGGACTAGTCAGAGGTCGAGGGGAGTGAGCTGCGGCTCTGGCTCGCGCAGTATTTGTGTGTGGGATTCTGATCCTAAACAAGGTCAGGCTCGAGGAAAATAGGCTCAACTGAAATGGGCGGGGGCAGCAGTGAGCAACAGGGGGAGCAAAGGTACAATAGAACGGGCGATGGGACGATAATGACGACGGAGGACAGGACGAGAGGACGATAGAACAACGGGGAGATCAATATGTATGTCTGTAGCACGAAATGGGGGTTTGGGGGCGATGTTGGGAAAATAATGCAGAAGCAGGCGCCGAGAAAGCGAGATAGAAAGCACTGGGAGGTCGCTTTAGACTCTAGAGAGTGGGTGAAGAAGATTTCTTGTTTTTCTTGTACTGTACTACAGGTTTTTTATACTAAGTGTGAATTAAGTCCAAGGAGATAAATAAATTGAACCTCCTGTTGATATGGTGACCATTGAGCTCTGTGTTAATTTACTACTTAGTCAGCGCTGAATTTCGCCGAAATGAAGGTGTTAGAGCCACAAAGAGGGAATGAACTCCGAAATTTGATTCCGGCCCGACGCTTGTCATCACGTGCCAGATCAATTGTGGCTGCTTATGTCAGACCAAGCAGCTTGCTACGTCATACCATGTGACATGTGATCAATTGATTGCGGGGCCAGGGTGTATCCACGCTCGTCAGCACCATGACGATTGTACATTATCATAGTGTCTACGTGCTAATAAAATCGTGTATGGGACATTTCTTGGTGTGAGATCGAGTCCTAGCGGAAGTGCAGCTTCAAGCATCCAAGTGGTCACGTGAAAACGGCTTCAGCTTGAAGAAAGTACAGTATCGAGAGCAGTTGTGCTGGTGAGGAAACTCTTTGAATGCTGATCGAATGTTTCCACCTCCAAAAATGCGCTCTTTGATTTCGCTATGCGCCGCGTTAGCACAATGATTAAGACAATAAGAAGAGAACAATTCAGGCTCACGGAGTCGTCATGATCTGTGGATCACTCAGTCGTGTAGGTGAACCTGGTAAATAAATCAACACATGAACATGGCCCAAACACGTGAGAGGACTTGCCTTGAAGATCTGAGAGAAAGACGGTCCCTCCAGATTTCTCATACTGGATGTGTTGCGTAAAGCACAGGAACTCTGCAACTGCATAGTTTACAGTGTTGCGGACAATAAACGGAGTCGGAGCAGCAAGGTTGTTATGGACGAATTTGAGGAATGTTTCGGCCTGGTCTGTTTCTAGGAAAGGGAGATCAGGATAGGGAAATAGCTCAAAAGTGACGATGTACCAGTTGGCGTGATTATTTCCTCGATGATGAAGGATCGGACCAAGGAGGAGGTGTCCTTGACACTATGTCCACGGGCACTCAAATCGTGAACAAGAGCAACGCCAGCTTCGACGAAGCGGATGTCGAATATCGTCAAGTCCGCAGGTGGAGGGCCATTTTTTTCGATGAAGCTTTGAATGAATGAGTAGCAAAAATCGAAGAGTGAGACGGCCCAGAGCATGATATTGGCCTCCCGAATAGTCTGAAGATATTCCTGGGATGGCTTGTATCTCTCCAGACGCGTCTGATCCTCGCTCCACGACTCAAACATCCTCTTTGCAGCAACGTGCTGGTTAGGAACACAACCCAGTATGTTACCCGAAGACAGAACATGCAAATTCAAACGCGCATTGTGAGCGGATTTAAAACTGCCAATGCCGAGAGGCAGATCTGAGGCAACCATGGAGAGAGTGCCGTACTCCACTGCGTCAAGTTTGCAGGAAAAAAAGTCTGGTTGCTCGATCAACTCGTGAAAGGGAACAGATTTGATTCGGAAGAATTCGATTTGTTCAGTCGTGTGGAGGGCTAAGAAGCATAAGATAGGAAAGTGAAAAGACCAGGTAGAATAAACGCACGTGTGTTTCCGGCCTTCTTCAAGGATCCACCAACGGTCAGTGCTTTCTTCACAATACGTTGATCAGGAGAGCGATACTTGGCCGCAGAGCGTTTGCAAACTGTCGGATTTGGCGGCGTGATGGGACGTTCCTAGAGATGTGAGTAACGATCAGGCAGGAAATTCGAAGACGTACCTTCTTGCTCAATGACCAAGAAGCGCCACCCAGAACACCTACAACAGAGGAGGAAGACTCAAGACCAGAGCGCGAAGTGCCCGAGGTGAATGTAATCAGACTAGGAGCGTCGGCAGCTGGAAATTGGAGAGAAGGCTCCTCCGATTGCCTGCTTTGGTTGAGAGAAGGTGTGGCAGCTAATTTAGAGGCGCTACGCGTGATACGCCGATTGGTTTCAAGAGCATCCAAAGTAGAACTCTGAGTATTAGATGATGCGCCGGGGTGGGCATCACTACTTGAAACCTGAATTGTTTCGAGTAAACCGGCTAAGTAATAGAAATTGAACTCAAAAATAGATACCTTGCTCGCTGTCCCTATGGGCCTCTTTGCAGGTTTCTTAGGAGCTTTCTTCACTGGCTGCTCACGAAACTCTTCATCTTCGACGTCTTGAGAAATCTATTGTAAGCATTTTAGATAATAATACAAAGGAAGCGGAGAGCGACATGACATACATGCATTTGATCCATGAACTCCTGCAGACGCATCCACTCCTCATGGTCAATCACAAGCGCAATCCCAATGGGAGCAGGCCGAACAAAAACAAGAAGATGTCGTTCCCTCTCGAGCTTTGTGCGACCAGGCTTGAGACAGCTAGCGTAGTAGTATGGCTGCTCAAGCGGTTGCCCAGCCAAAGAGATCCATGTAGCAACGTCTCGCTCAGTGAAGTTTGTAGTTTTGAATTCGAACCTGCAGTCGGTATCTTGATCGATTCTAGCCTTGAGTTTTGGATAGACCTGGTCATACACAGTCTGCATAATCGATCGCGGGGTAGACTTAGCATCAATCATGACGCCCTCGCTGATAGCCTGGCAGAGATTTCAGCGTCAATTTATCAGAAGGTTGAGGCAATATACCCCAAAACTCTCGCCCTTTGGTTTCCCCGGAGCCTCATAGCGAACACTAATGAGGATTGAAATGACCTCTGGTGCAACACCAACATATGCATTCTGAGCCCAACTTGCTCGAGCAGCGCCGTATTGAGCGTGATTGGCAGAGTAACCCTTGCTTGAGAATGACAGGGAACCAGAACCAGATGATCCAGAATTTCCCGCATTTGGAACGGATACGTGGGGGCCTAGCACAGTTCAGTATGATCTGAACGACATAAGATCGAAGGAACACACCAGGAATAAAATCAGGAGGGCCCATGAATCCACGACGCGGAACAGCAGCCAATTGATTAATTGCTTTCGGAACCTTCTCTGCCACCGCAGTCAGAATAGAACATTGAAAAACTGAAAGGGGAGCTTACTTCCTGTACGAGCATCAATGTTTTGACGCTGGATTACAGCCGCATCCTGCAGTACACCAGGAGTTATACGCTCTTGCGTGGAACGGGCATGTGCGGAACGAGCAGACTCGGATTGGGACAATCCTGGCCAAATGGGTTAGTTGAACACGAAATTATAGAAGGTGAAAGACATACGACCATGACTAGAGGAGGACTTTGTTCGATAATGATCGTAGCAAGGTTGACAGACGAGACGGTCTGGGAAGTTGGGATTCTTGTTGAGAATTTTGTGGCGAGGCTCCAAGGGCACGATCCATTGGTTTCCACGGCAGTCGGATTCACTAGCGCAACGAATGGGCGCAGAAGCGCCCTCCTCTGTAAAGGAGGCCATAACGGTCGGATTGGACATGCGCAAAAGGATCAAACAAGTTGCTTTATGGGATGCTGGAGTTCAACAATTGTAAGATCTCTGCCGACACAATTTATATACTATGTACACCGATCCTGGTCGGCTTATTTTTCTGTAAAAAGTCCGAGAGGCTCCATGAGATGATGAAGCAGGACGCCTGCAGGCAGTAAGGCAGGCAGGAGCATTGGATCTGCAGCTGATGCACGTGTCAACTGTGGTTGATCTAAGCTCAATCCCGGTGCCTTGCACTCGCGTAGCGGTTGTTTTTGGCTAAATTTCTCTATCTTAGTGCGATCCCGACCATCAGATGATGAAGTACCACACCTGCAAGCGGCAGGGCAGGCAGGAACATCATATCTACAGCTGATGCACATATCAACCGTGGTTGATCATAGCTTGATCTCAACGCCTCGCGCTCGCGTAGAGGTGTTTTCTGGTCAAGTTTCTCTATCTAAGCTCGATCCCGATGCCTTGCGCTCGCGTACAGGTGTTTTATGGCCGAGTTTCTCTATCTAAGCTTGATCTCAACGCCTTGCGCTCGCGTAGAGGTGTTTTCTGGTCGAGTTTCTCTATCTAAGCTCGATCCCGACACCTTGCGCTCGCGTAGAGGTGTTTTATGGCCGAGTTTCTCTATCTAAGCTTGATCTCAACGCCTTGCGCTCGCGTAGAGGTGTTTTCTGGTCGAGTTTCTCTATCTAAGCTCGATCCCGATGCCTTGCGCTCGCGTACAGGTGTTTTATGGCCGAGTTTCTCTATCTAAGCTCGATCCCGATGCCTTGCGCTCGCGTACAGGTGTTTGATGGCTGAGTTTCTCTATCTAAGCTCGATCCCGATGCCTTGCGCTCGCGTACAGGTGTTTGATGGCCGAGTTTCTCTATCTAAGCTCGATCCCGATGCCTTGCGCTCGCGTAGAGATATTTTATGGTCGATTTTCTCTATCTAAGCTCGATCCCGACACCTCGCGCTCGCGTAGAGGTATTTTCTGTGCATTGCATTCATGAATGGCCAACTTCACTGTGAAGGTTGTCGTAGTGCTCTTTGTAATCTCTGTAAGCCTTACAAAGCCGGGATCCAACGCCTATGTATAAAAACTCTCCTTAGAAATCATGAAACTTGGACACTTCACCCCTCCTGCTAGCGATTGAACCCTCATCTTGTTACATCGACTCATGCCAAATCAGCACAAGCAAGTTCGTAAGTCGATTCAAGTCCTATTCCTTATTTATATTTCTTCCAACCTATGTTTCAGCATCTGCCGAGTATCTCCATGAGTACATCGACAAGTACTGGAACATGGGCAAGAACGACCTGGAGATTCTCGAACTCCTCAAGAAGCATCACATTGATCTTAACAAATATGGCCTTGAGTATTTCTCCCACTTTGTCTGTTCGTTCTGTGTACTCACTTATATTTCAGAATTGCAACATTCCGCAAAATTCGCGATGGGCTTGGGTATCGTCGCACTCGGAAGCAAGGCCATACTGTTGATTCAATCCATGCTGCCGTTGTCAAACTTCGTGCCATGTATCCAAAGGCAGGTGGGCGTGAAATGGTCAACTTGCTGAAGTTTGAAGAAAAGATTCATGTATCAAGGTTTGTCTCTATTATTACTTACTATTCCTTCCTCTCGCCGATTACACTTGATGCAGGCCAGTGCTCATGGAGTACTTTCATATCCATGAGCCGATGCAAGTTCGAGAACGTCGACGGGGCCATTTCCGACGCAAGCGGTTCTGGGCTGCGGGTTCAAATGATCTCTGGGCTATGGACCAGCACGATAAATGGAAGTACAAATTCGGCCTCGCGCTTCACACCGGAATCGACCCTTTCATTGGCGTGATCCACTGGATGAAGGTTTGGTGGAACAATAGTAATCCCCGACTCATTCTAAAGTACTATCTCAATGTTATTGAGGCGCTTGGTTGTACGTCTCATTCACAAACTCCGAACCTGTAACTAATCTGTTTTTGTTTCTAGTTATGCCCCTGGTCATGCAGAGTGACCCGGGTAATGAGAACACTGCTGTCGCTAATGGTCACACTCTCATTCGGCAATATCAAGATCCTGATCTGCGCGGCCAGCTACAGCATCGCTGGATGCGAGAGAAGAAGAATATCACTCCAGAGATTGCCTGGAGCCAACTGCGTCGACGGTTTACACCAGGATTTGAGAACCTTCTTGATATCGGTCTTCTGGAGGGGTGGTATGATCCCAAGATCCTCCTCGAGGCGTAAGTGTCAATGACTTGTTCAAAAATTGCTTTATTTAATTGAATCATAGGCTGGTATTTCGATGGGTTTTCATTCCCTGGCTTCAGGCCGAACTCGATGCTTACAGGAATCGTGTCAACAACACCCGGAAGCGCCGCGATCGAAACAAAGTTCTCCCAAACGGTGTCCCCATGCACATGTTTGAGTATCCTGAGGACTATGCGATTTTAGACTTCAAAGTACGTCTACACTTAGTCTCAGTTATCTTCTGATGCTCGCTTTCAGATCAAAGTTGATCCTGCAGCCATTGAGATGGTGCGCGAGTTGTACGCTCCCCCTGAACTGCAAATCTTCGAATTGGTGCCACCTGACTTCCACCACATCATCTCCGACTTCTACGTGAAAATTGGCTCCCCTGTGATTGATCGAGGTAGTTGTTGGGACGTCTACCTCCAGCTTCTGTCGAAGTTTCGACAGCTTGACCAGGCTCATGGGGTAGAAGCCAGCGCTGACGAAAAATGGGGCTACACATTGACTCAAGCAGCGGACAACTACGAGGGAGAGGTAGAACTGCTTGCTGGTCTTCAAGAACTGCGTGGTGGAGAAGGTGTAATTGGACAAGATGGTTCATATTACATGGGTGGTGTGAACGGCGGTGACGGCTTAGGTATGTACCCTCCGCTATTGTCTGCAGCATTACTCAATCATGTTTAGACGATATTCACTACAATAGGCTCAATTCTATGATCGATAATATTGAGCCGGATGTGGGTGGGCCTGCAGGTGACGATGAAGAGTTATTTGCCTGGTTCTCAGACGAGGAAAGCCCGGAAGATTTCGAGAACGCGGATCAATGGTAGCTTGTCCGCTAGGACTCGATCTCACACCAAGAAATGTCCCATACACGATTTTATTAGCACGTAGACACTATGATATTGTACAATCGTCATGGTGCACAGTTTCAGGTCCGTAGCGCGAAGAGCCATGGTGTACGGGGTCCAGAACATTTGACTTGGATGGCCGAACACGGATCACTGTCAAATGGTCTCGGTTATCAGCATGTAGTTCCTGGCCTCCATACTCATGGGACACATACGTCGGGCTTGATGTCGCGGTATTGAGAATGTAAGGAGAGAACTTATATTATTCTGTAGACTACGTCCTGTATATATACTAAATATCTACATTATCTAGAAGGTGGTGGAACAAGCCAGAGGGCGGTAGTAAGATAAGTAATGATAAGTAATTGCTCATTACTTATCATTACTAATGACTAATGCGATCGTCAACACTCCCCCTCAAGCGCGATACATGCCCAGTGCTTCAATGAAATGTTCGTGCTTGTTTCGTGCTAGCCCTTTCGTAAGAATGTCCGCTGCGTTCTCGTTCGTAGGCACGTGGGAAACTGAAACCTCGTGAGAGGTGATGGTGTCTCGAATGAAATGGTACCGGATATCTATGTGTTTGGAGCGGGCGTGGAAACCGGAGTTGTGAGCGAAGGCAATTGTGCCCATGTTGTCGACGCTGATGTGAGTGGGTGGTGAAGTGTCGAGTCCGAGTTCCTGAAAGAGCGAGCGAAGCCATAGAGCTTCCCGAGCGGCACTGGCGAGAGCCATGTACTCGGCTTCCATGCTTGAAAGCGCGACGGTCGGCTGCTTCTTCGAATTCCAAGTGACGGCGCCACCAGCGAACATGGCAACATAGCCGGTGATTGATCGACGGCTGTCCGGGTTGCTACCCCAGTCGGCATCTGAAAAGAGTTCGAGCGCAGAGGCAAGGTCGGAGTAGTATGTAATGCCAAGGTTGATAGTTCCGCGCAGATAGCGGAAGACTCGTTTGACGGCGGTGAGATGTTCAGGCCCGGGGTTGGTGTTAAACTGGGAGAGGGTTTGCACGGCGAAAGAAATGTCAGGCCGCGTGGTAATAGCGGCATAAAGGAGGGATCCGATCATATTCTGGTAGACAGCTTTGATCTCGGGGAAGGATTTGTCGTCGGGGAGACGGGAAAGTCGAACATTAGGATCCACGGGAGTCTGAACGGAGTTACAAGTGTCCATTTGGTACTTGGCCAGTATTTTGGTGATGTACTGAACCTGGGTGAGTCGAATGGAGCCTGTCGTTCGAGTGACTTCCATGCCGAGAAGCTGTCGGATTTCCCCAAGGAGCTTGATCGAGAACTCAGCGCTAAGCTCAGATTCGATCGAGGCCATATGTGCGTCAGAAGATGCGAGGATGGTCATATCGTCCACATGAACGGCTATGATGGAAATGTCAGAACCACCTCGTCGAATATAGACGCATTGATCAGAAATCAAACGCGTGTAGCCGAGTTTGAGAAATGACGCGTTGAGCGTGGTATTCCACACACGGCCAGACTGTTTGAGTCCGTAGAGCGTTCGCCAGAGACGGCAGACGCGTGTGGTTCCATCCTGAAAGAGCGGGGGTTGATGCATGTAGATCTCCTCCTCGAGTTCTCCATTTAGGTAAGCTCCGATCACATCAACCACATGGATTTTGAGATCGTAGTGTGCAGCGAGGGCAAGGAGGAGTCGGATCGTCTCGATGCGTACGACGGGGGCATATGTTTCATCAAAATCTATTCCGGGTATTTGTGAGAACCCTTTAGCTACGAGACGAGCCTTGTAGCGTGAGATATTCCCATTGTCGTCGCGTTTGATGCGGAAGACCCATTTACACGCAATGGCGGTGCGATTGGAAGGTAGTGATTCCAAAGTGTAGGTGCCCAACTTTTTGAGCTGCTCCATCTCCTCCCGCATGGCGACTTCCCACTCAGGCCAATCTGAGCGCGACTTTGCTTCTTCAACAGTGATCGGATCATCACTGATTGAGTCACGAGAAGTGGCGGCAAGTGCGGTGTCCGGAAGTTCGTTTGTAGGAACACGGTGGTTCCATGTGTTGGGTTTGGAGGTGTTAGCATCACGACGCCGGGAACCAGAGATGATATTCTTCGGGTCGATGGCACTTGAAATATCGCGTGGCGCAATGCGTGGCTTGGCTGGGGTGATCTGTGGTGTGCTCGGTGGTGTCGTAAGGGGTGATGATGGCGGCGTAAGTGATTTTGCAGGTCTCGGAGTTGCAGGCACGGGAATATTTTTCTGCTCCCCCTCGAGCTGCAACGAAGAGGGATTTGGTATGTTGGATGATGCGGGAGGGGGATCTGGAGTGAATACAACATTTCGACTGGTAAGAATCTGGCGGGTGTCCGCCTTGTAGTAGCGGTAGGCTTTAGACTCATCTGTCAGGCCCATAAAAATAAATGGGCGTGACTTGATATCTAGTTTACCGATTTTGCCCGTCTGATCCAGGACCCAGCATGGGCTGCCAAACTCCTGCAGCCCTGAGAAGTCCGGTTTTTTCTTCGAGAAGGCTTCTTCTGGGGTGATCAATCCGTGAAGACCGCGAGTGGGTGACCGATTTTTGAGAAAATTTGCGTAGGCCACTGCTTCGGGCCACAGAAATTTAGGGAGGTCAAAATGGGCAATCATGGCGCGTGCATGCTCAATCAGGGTTCGATTGAGCCGTTCTGCCACGCCATTTTGCGAAGGGGAATAGGGGGCTGTGAGCTCAAAGGTGATTCCGCGGTGAGCAAAATAAGCGCGGATTGGCCCGTTGACATATTCTTTGCCGTTGTCGCAACGGAAAGACTTGGCACGTTTGCCCACTTGGGTGTGAATGAGTTCGACGTACTGCTGGATCTTAATCTGGACTTCAGATTTGGCTTTCATGAAGTAGATGACAGATCTGCGTGTAGCGGCATCGGTGAATGAGACATAATACTGTGCACCGTTGATCCCCTTGACACGAGATGGTCCCCAGACATCAGTGTGCGTCAAATCACCAATCTCCTTTTGCTCAGTGTCAGATTTAGTCGGAAACGGCGCAACATGTGATTTTGCTTTGACACATGTCTGACAGAAATCAGATGGTAGTGTGGATTCGTCGACAGTCATGCCCTCAACCATTCCCTTCTCCTTCAGCATCTTTACGGATTTGAGTTGGATGTGACCAAGGATGCGGTGCCATTTATCCCACGAATGTGCAGGAGATCTGGCAGCGGGGAGAGCAGTGTCGGAAGAAGGGGCCGAAGATGACATGTGGCGGTGCGTGATGCGCATGCGGAAGAGGTTTCCGGCCCGTGTTCCACGGAATATTTCACGGGGTTTGGCATCCAGAGTGAAAACCTTCATTATCTCCCCCTGGAACTGAACAGAAAGTCCTGCCTTTGTCATTGCTCCGATAGAGAGCAGGTTGAATGGAGCAGTGGGGACATGGAGTACGTTGTCGAGTCGGAGTTTGTAAGCCGAGTTTCCGACATGTGACGTGATGTTGACAGTTCCTTTTCCAGGACTTGGTGATGATCCAAATCCTTCGACGGTGTGGTGCGGGGTCTCAAAATAAGAGGAAAAGTGTGTTTTGTTTCGTACTATGTGTTTAGTAGCGCCGCTATCTGCCAGCCAGATGTCTGTGTGTGAGTCCGTGAGTCGCGGGAGAGCCATTAGTGCGTAGTCATCATCAACTTCAGAATTGTTCCCTTGATCCTGGCTGACATGTGCCCAACTAGGATTTTTTCCGCTCTTCCCACCGTCTCCCCGTGCATTCCTTTCTTTTTGTTCTTTTGTAAATGTCTTGCCTGCCTTTGTATCGCGACAGTCGGCAATGACATGTCCGGGTCTGCCACATCCGAAGCAAGATATGTTGCCGTTATACTTGGCCTTCGAGTTCTTGCCTTTGCCTTGGAAACGGTTACGTACGGCAAGAGCGACTTCATTCGCTTCGGATCGGCTGGTCATCTGATGTTGCTGTTCGAGAATGCGGGCAATGAGTGGAGCGGGAGTGGTGAGGGCAGAGGTGTCAACGCCGCGGATGAATGAGTCCCAGGAGTCGGGGAGAGATGTGAGGAGGATGATGCAGAACTCTTTGTCCTCGACTTGGGAGCCGAGGGCCGAGAGCTGCGTGCGAATGGAGGTAAGTGTACGAATATGATCTTCGATGTCAGCGCCATCAGCGCATGTGGTACGTGAAAGTTTGCGGCGCAACAGAACAATGCCGATGACACCCTTTGACTGATAGGTGGCCATCAACGTGTCCCATGCGGCCTGCGAAGTTTTTGCGTCCGTGATATATATGAGTGGCCCGTCCGCAACGCGCAGTCGGATTGCAGATAGAGCACGGCGGTCCTTCTCGGACCAGGCAATGACAGTGGCATCGCTGTCAGGTAAGGCTGGTTTGGGGATAGTCCCGGATGGGTAGCCGTGAAGACCCATGTCTGTCAAGATGTCCGTCATCTTGACAGTCCACGTCTGGATGTTGTCCTCGCCAGTGAGGTGCTGGATGCGATAGGCGGAGGATGCTGCGTCGCTAGACATATTGTGTCAAATGTCAATTGATTAAAGTGTGAGGGGCGAATCTGTTTGCGCGGATCAGGCGGAATCCTAGTAACGCAGTTGTGGAGTGAGAGCGACGAGAAAGTTTTTCGAGAGTCAGTCAGTTAAGGCCGGGGCCCATAACCTATTGAGAATGTAAGGAGAGAACTTATATTATTCTGTAGACTACGTCCTGTATATATACTAAATATCTACATTATCTAGAAGGTGGTGGAACAAGCCAGAGGGCGGTAGTAAGATAAGTAATGATAAGTAATTGCTCATTACTTATCATTACTAATGACTAATGCGATCGTCAACACGCGGTGTATGACGTGCTGACTGTGCATGTAGGCCAGCCCAGTGAAGAGCTGTCGCATGAGGTGCTTCGTCATACGCTCGCCTGCACAAGGAGAATATGGAAGATGAGACCATGGGACGGAAGATTACGAAACGGTCACTCGCTCAGTCCTTTGTATCGGGAGATAAACTGCCGGAGGGTACCACCATCAACAAACTCCAGCACGAGTTCTAGACGGAGCGGTGTGTGAGCAGAAAAAGCGATACTTATTGCAGGTTGAGCAAACGCACCCACTCCGTCACCGCGCAATCGGTAGATGTCTCTGATTCCAACGATGTTCTCGTGCGAAAGCCTTTTCAGGACTTGGATCTCCTTCGAGATGATGGCAGCAACGGTAGCCGAGGTCGATGCCAGTGTGCCCTGTCCCAGATGAAAGATAAGCCACAAAAAGCGCACTGTCGCTTGATTGCTCACCGGATCGATGCGTTTGATGGCGACTATGGTGCCGGTCCGTCTGTGACTCCCTTTGAACACCCGTCCGTGTCCGCCGTGGGCTGCGAAATGCGGATTCAACGCCGCGCGCGCAACTATGCTCCGCTCTGGGACAACGCACCGATCGACTCGTGGATGTTGTACTCATCAGTCGTGCGCGGGCGCATGTCGTGGAACCGGAAGTCTAGTACGTAGGTGGCACGCGGAACATGAGGAGAGAGTCCACGAGCGGCGGGGTGGGACTCACGGAAGAAATTGCCCGCTACAGTACGCCCCGGCGCGGCGCCCAAGCGGATCTCGTCGCCATCAACCAGCTCGTACGCTTGGTTGTGCGGGACCAGGCTGGCTTCGCTCGGCAATTCGCCGATTTTTCGTATAACCTGTGCGCCGCAGATTGATGGGGGGATGGCAGCGAGCGGAGGCGGTGCGCGCTCACCCAAGTCCCGTTCGTGGATACGTGATCCCGGATCATGATGCGCTCCATGAGCCCGTTGCCCTCCCTGCTCAGCGTGATCGACGCGTGCAATTTCGCTGTTGGCCGTCAGAGTCCGGCGGATTTCTACTGGAGACGGGTCTGGAGCTTACTGACTGCGCACAGTCGTCGTCAGCCCCGTATGCGAGATAGCCCGAAGAGCCGTCACTCACTATACGCCTTCGCCGGTGCGACGAACGTCATCAGCTCGCGGTCTTGCCCCTGCCCCTGCCCCTGCCCCTCCCTTCCAAATGAAAGCACAGGTTGGTCCCGGCCAAACTTGAAGTTTCCCGGTGGGAACACGTTGTTTCCCGAGGTCTCGATCCGCACCAGGCGGCACCACAGGTGGTCGTTGCCGGCGAGGACATCCTCGACGACGGAAACACGGTCCGCGTCACTGTATTCCGGCATCTCGGTCTCCATCTCCTCGTCCTCTTCCTCCTCCGCTGCTGTCGCTGGGCAGTTGTCTGCTAGCTTTGCGCTCCGGGTCTGCGCCATGAGGGTGATGGAGGTATTTGCTGGGGTAGGTTGCTTGAAGCTTAAAGACAGTCTGGCGAGCGTGAAAGAAGCTCTCGCTTATGGGGGTCATGATTGGCAAAAGGCAGCGCTTTATTTTTTTTAGCTGTTTGAAGCGAGGGACAATGGGGACTTTGATATGGAAACCCGGAGCGGTCTGCTCATGTCAAGTGGTTATGCAACGATGATCATTGATAAGCGATGTCAAGACCCCGGAGCCATCACACTAAGCGACATTACGAGCACACAGAACCGATAGATTCACATTTGCTATGTATATTACGGGCGGCTCTGGAGGGGCCGTCTGTACTGTATAGCATACGTATGTACCTTTTGTATTTTACCGGCCCGAAAAATTCCGGTATCTTACTGTATTTTACTGTACTTTATGCATGTAAAATTGGAAAATAATGTAAAATTACCATGAGACATCGCTCGCGGACCAAGCAGCGTCCGACGGCTTCCAAGCAAGCTTCGACAGCGCTGCCAGCTGCGGACGCTTGCCCGCTGTCACCTTGGATGCATCTCCAGACTTCTGCTCGGCGGGATAGAGGCAATTGAGTAATCCGCGTGCCTCCAGATTGACATACGTCTTGATTGAGATTTGCGAGAGATTGGACGAGCGGACTGTTTGCATCATCTGCGACAGGGGGGCGCACAAGGGAAAGTAGCACTGTCACCTATTCAAATTCAGAAAATTAATCTTTGGATTTGTCCCCGAAAAGCTGCAGCTGATGGGCAAAAGATACATTGAATACGCCCAATCTGGAGGTCGCTTGGTAAAAATGGTACTTTACACGTATTTTACATGTATTGTATCATTGACAATTTACGAGGGGGAAATTTACCTGGCACTAACTGACAGGTGCGTGCGCAACATACGCGGCCAAGACTGCCTGGTTTTCTGACTTGCACACCCTAGCTCCAGCTCCGGAACAACAGCAGAAACAATCGATGAGCTTTTACATCGTGTATCCAGCCTCGAGTCTATCGTTTCACAACTATCTGACCATTGACGCATCCAAACTCTCCAACTCCGGATGGTTCGGTTCACGGTTCAGGTGGGGACAAAGAAGTCTGAACGTGTCTGAACGCGTTCAAACCTGAGTTTTTATCTTGTATAATAAGCTCAGAACTATGCATCTGAGGGTGCTTTTCCTCATGTACTCGACAGCATGTCATTGAGTTTTCTCTCTGAGGCTGCAGGACTGGACCATAACAACTCTGGTACACTGGGGCGCCAATCCGAGCGCCTAAATTCCACGCTAGTGATGTCGGATCTCCATATGGTGACACCGCTATGATCAACGATGGCACTCTGTGGGCCAGGACGGCGTGCCGTGCCTGTCGTTGAACATCATTTTTCCAGATCAGGCTGGATTAGCTTATCAGCGTGCTGCGATGTGCCGATATGGATGGCAACTTAGAGTGAATAGGTCGGGATCAGCTTTTCTATTTAGGTCAGTCATTCATCCAGGTTGTTCCTCTACACCTTGTTTACCATGTCCGACGAGCAGTGCACGTTGGGCCCTGAGGACCAGCTTCTCCCAGCCGACAAGTTTGAATGGTACAAAGATCCCGACCACGCAGACTCGCTTCCTGATGATCCACCGTCTCTGAAACTCACCGCAAAGCCCTGACGTGGTCGTTCTGCCGGGACCGAGCTCTCGGACCACTCTGTGCCGCATACCTCTTCTCCTGAATGGATTCGGAAAATTTGGTGAAAGCCGGACCAAACTAGACCGCGGCAACACTAGGCACGAGATATGCACTCTGGTGCTCAAGTGGGTCTCAAACAGTCACCAATGACATGTGTTGAATATTCTATAGGCATGTCTACATTTTGACGAGTTCCTCGGCTCCCATTCCCTCGAGCATCTACAGTGCATCATTTGCGTGAGATGAAAGCGGACATGTGACCATAATGCCACGTCATGTTTGTCGAGGGTGGATTTTGGCTACCTTACAGAATTCGACATCATGTGATTTGGAATTGGAGCGAGCACTGGGCGCCTACGTGCGCGATTCGATTTTGCTTTTGTTTTTGTTCAGTGGTGGTATTTGTTGAATCTATCAGTCTGTGTGCTCATAATGTCGCTTAGTGTGATGGCTCCGGGGTCTTGACATCGCTTATCAATGATCATCGTTGCATAACCACTTGACATGAGCAGACCGCTCCGGGTTTCCATACTTTGATGGTCATTGTTCACGTTTGGGAGTGGCTGTGGTGTCCGAACACGTGAGGACAGGCGAGGGAAACTTACATAATCATCGCTCTCTTCGACGGCGCAGATGAGCACAGCGCGGGATGGAAGTGGTTCTGCCAAGTGCGCCTCTTCCCAGCGTCGATCAAGCTTTCTCCGTCGTTGCATGAGCTGCAAACTGTGCTCGTGCGTCCAGCCCCATTTTGACTCTCATGAGATATCTGGAAGTGCTGCTCATTGGACACCAGTTGTCGATGATGTTCCTGTCCTGTAGCTCGAGATCGGAGGAATTATGGATAGTCATCGGAATCGGGCTCCGCATGGCGACTGAAGTCGGCGCGAACCAGCGCCTTCGCGCTCGACACGACTCATCTGTGGAGGGCTGAGTTGTATAAGCGGACATACTGGTGCATGCTCTGCTCGGATATGATAGTCAGCGTGCTTCTGGGGAGACGCAAATCGTCTAACTCGGCCGAGTGAGTTCATAGACATGTGAGACATTTGGGAAAGTTCTAATCCATGCAGCTTCGAGATTGATCCTAAACCGCTGGAGGGCGAGGCCCCGATCCTAGTCAAATATGCATTTTCGCTCGTGAATCTAATGCAAATATTGCAGAGAATGCAGGATGAAATTGCCAGTCTCATCGCATCGGTACCTTATGAGCAGATCTCTTATACTCTATAGTTTCCTTTCAGCCGCAAAGATTGCAATCTCGAACAAACTGTCATTGGATTGGAGTAAGCTTAGTTTCTCTCCTGTACGAACATGCACAGTTTGATTTGTCCAGCTCAGCGCTCAACCAATGGGTTGATACTATTCCAGAAGAGCGCCAGTCCGTTAGTTCTCCATTGTTCCAGCATGTTTACATATTTCAGTCAAATGGGATCCAGACCAGCCAGATCGCATCCGAATTAACCAATCTGCGTGTCTTTATGCGACGTACTATGTGAGACTGCTTTTAATTAGGACGCTGCTGCTCTCGCTCATGCCATTCCCTTTCAGCATGGTAAATTGTCAGTCCGAGCCTATAGACATCACCTCATTTTCCCAGTCCAGATCTTGCTGCATCGGCATTTCATTGCTACTCCAGGAAGGAAGCGAATTCTCCTGCCACTAGCCTTCCTTCTCTTGCCATCTGTGCTAGTGCCACTCGCTCGTGCTGTCATGTGACGGCTGTACAGATCAAGCGCTCCATTGGGCCGCTGCACAACCCGCAACTCCTGGTCTGTGACGCACCAGTTCAACAAGTTCCCGCCCACTGAATAGCTTCGTTAGAATGCGGTCTTTGATGCAGCCACCGTTCTCATATTCAGCGTGCACAAAAACGCGCGCTGTGCGGACTCGGATCCAAGCATTCCATTCGGGAATGCCAAGCCGTACTGGGCGCGTACGTATCGCGACGACCACGCTCCCCTGTCCGACACATCGCATCGCATGCTCACGGGGGTTATCACTCAAGATGGCATTTTGCTGGCCGAAATGCCGACATCCTGGCGGGCATCCTGGCCGTGCATGCAAGGGCGTTGTCGGGCTCACCGGCGGTCTTCGAGCAGCGCGACCGCGACCTCCTGGAGTCGCGTCCGATGTACAGCCGCGAGATGGGCAGACTTCCGGTCTACGAGCCCTTTGATCAGGAGTTTCTCCTGCTGCTTGAACAGAATTTGAGCCAGAAACAGTCGAGTTCAGACTCGCATGGGTTGGATAGTAGTAGTTCAGAATGGACTGAGAGTTGACGCCGCCTTTCACAACGTGGACATCTGGAATATGCAGGAGACTCATTCTATTAAGGCCTCTGTGTGAAACGTATCCCTTTATTGGTCCTCTTTCAACCCAACTTCAAGGTGATCGGGTTTGTATCTTCTTTGCCTAGAGGAAATCCGAGCCGTCAAACAAGCTCCGAGCGGGGGGACGCTCTTACGCTCTTGTACGTAACAAATCGGTGATGTCCGGGATCAAACCTGGGACGGGGACCAGGCCAGGCCATACATAATGATCATCTGTCGCCAAATCAGGAACAAGGCGGGGGACAACTCGTTGCCGGCTCAGATGCACAATCTCTGGGAATGTCATCGAAGGGGGCCAAAGCGCGGAGCTTTTGTCCACGACGTAAGCGACGTTGCATGCATATCAAATGGCAAGCGCGTCTGCCAGCTCTCTTGACTCTTATCACTTCGATACAACAATTCTAGAAAGGAAAGGGCGGAGAGTGGGAATCGTGCGTCATGGCTGCGCTCGCGCGCTTCTGTAAATAGTTTTCGATGGACGCATATCGATGGCCGACCCAGTGTTGCGGCAGAGGACTGGCCTGCACCGTGCAGCTTGAGAGCTCCTCAAGTCGATGAAGCACATTTTTTATGAAAGTCAGAGAGGCAGCGGTGAAACAAAGAACCAACAATGCGTCAACAATTTCAAAGGGAAGGACTTTTAGGGCACGTGCTCCTCATTCCCCATCAGGATTAGCCTCTTCTCCATAAACCTTCGCTGACCCTGCGCCTCTCCCATTCCCACTCACCGTCCCCTAACCCTTTCCCTTCCCCCTTCCACCGAATCGAGGGCGATGGACAACCCCCACGCGTTTGAAGCCGCGCGCGCACAGGACCAATACGACGAAAACGGCGAGCCGCCGCAGACCCAGCCGGAAAGCCAAGAATACCACCACCACATCCCGCTGCCCACCGCGGACGCCGTCCACTGGGGCGAAATCGAGCCCGTCACCAGCCACGAGGCTCTCCCACGCGTCTCGTTCCCCAAAGCGCAGAAGGTCATCACGATTGGCCGGGGCGGACACAACAGCGTGCCGCTCCTGAGCCTCAAGATCAGTGAGTGGCAGTGAACGCTGCACGCCGCGTCGCGTGGCTGACGCGTGTGCCGCAGGCTGGAATCACGCGAACATCCTCTGGAATGGCGCCGATGGAGAGGGGGCCGAGTTCACCGTATACGACTTGTCGACGAACGGGACCTACGTGCGTGTGTCATGCCCGTGTCACTTTGTCTTCGCTGACCGAGTCTGGGGCCGCAGATTGGCACGGAGAAGATCGGAAAAGGTCAAAGCCGCAGCTTGCGCAACGGGGAGCAGATCTCGTTCTCGACCGCGCCGACGGGAGGCGGAGAGCGGGACCCGCGTACGGATTTCCGTACGCCACCCTGCCATCCTATACGCGTCCAGAATCTGACTGCTGCCGCAGGATTCATGTTTCGCGAATACGTCTCCGGCGTCGACTCAATGCGCCCGGTGCTCAACACGTACAAGCAACTGAAGGTGCTCGGGTCTGGCGCGTTCGCTATCGTATACAAGGCGGAGCGGAAAGGCAGCCCCTTCCAGTGCGCGATCAAACATATCCGCAAGGCCCAAGGGTATTCTGCGGTACGTGTGCCGCACGCGGGCTCATCTCTGTCTGTTGCTGATGGGCACCCCCAGGTCGACGCGCACGACTCGCGCAAGACGCTTCATGACCGGGAGATCAACATCATGAGGAATTTGAAGCACCCCAATATCTGCAGCCTCATCGAGTGCTTCTGGAATGCCGACTCTTCTGTCGATCTCGTCATGGAGCTCATCGAGGGCGGAGATCTGCTGGAGGCTGTCATCAACAACGGAGGACTTCGTGCGGAGCGTTTCTCGTCTCATATCCTTGTTTTGATTATGCTTGATAGCGGAATGGCTGGTGCAGCGGATCGCATACCAAGTTACGGACGCGCTCCAGTATATGCACAGTTTGGGAGTCACTCATCGTGACTTGAAGCCAGAGGTGAGCATTCCGAAGGCTCTTGTGTGTGCCTGTTCAATGATTGACATCAGAACATCCTTTTGACTCGGGATCTCGTGGCCAAAGTTGCCGACTTCGGTTTGGCCAAGATAGTGGACGAAGCCACCATGCTCAGGGTGCGTCATTACTCTGTGGCCGCGTCTCCCTTTTACTGAACCGCACGTAGACGATGTGTGGGACGCCGGCCTATCTCGCACCAGAAGTCGTCATGCAAATCAAAGGCAGCGGGTATGATAACAAGGTCGACAGCTGGAGTTTGGGCGTGATCATCTTTTCTTCGTGCGTTACCTTTTCTTCGATGGCTTGCGCTGAACACCTTCGTCCAGAGTAACCAACGCTGTCCCCTTCATCGAGGACGAATCTTTGGACCTCAAACGTCGCATCATGGAGAGAACGCTCGACTGGGGCCTCCTCGATCAACCGTTCTACGATGATCAGCCGCTTTCCGAAGACGGTAGGCGGCCGTTTTCTAAAATCTTACGGTCTCTGACCTTGCTTCAGCCAAGTCTTTCGTCCGAGCGCTCCTGGTGGTGAATCCGGCGCAGCGGATGGGCGCAGCGGATGGGTTGCGCCATCCCTGGCTACAGAGCTACGAAGCTCTCTCCCTGCCACCCACCATTGGCAAGCCGACCTCGAGTCCCGAGATCGGATCCCGTATCCCTGCAGATGCGCAATCGTACATCTCGTTGGTGGAGTCCAAGTCGAGCTTCCTGGACGTCAAGCACGGCTTTGGGCACATGCAGCTCAACGCTAGCAGCAGCAGCGTTGCTCCGGTCGACCGACCGGATAGCGACGACCGGGAGGACACACCCGCCCCGGTATCCGCCGTCGAGGACTCGAGACTCAAGAGCGGGCTGATCCGGGGCAGCCAGGCCGTGCGGGAAGCGGCAGCGGCGGGCGTGTTCTTCGAGCCGCCGTCGGCCATGGTCAGCTACTTCCAGTCGCTGTCGCTCGGCGCCAAGGAGGCCAGCACTCCCGCCGCCAACGGCAAGGGCAAAGGCAAGGGCAAACGGATGCACGACGAGGCGGCGGCGCCGATGATCGAAGACGTGCTGGACAGCTCGCTGAGCAGCCTGGACTCGTCCCCACCCGAGCCGCTGCGGAAGAAGACGCGGAACAACGCTGGGAAGGTCGCGGATGATGCGTCGCCGACCAAGGCTCCTGCTCGGCCCAAGCGGGCATCGGCTGCGGCTGGCAAGCCAGCTTCTAATCGAAAAGGCCGCAAGGCCAAGGACGAGCCGGTTCCGGCCCCGGTCCCGACGCGAAGATCTACGCGCAAGCGGTCATAATCTGTCTGTTTTTTCTATACTTTTCTCTCTCTGTCTTGTACTGTGCACATTGCTTCCTCCACTGCATTACCACTCATCGCTATCACACGCATGCTATACACCACCTAGCCTATCACTTGTTACTGTGTACTTGCCTGGGATTTGTCTGTAACACATTATCATTTGGTGGCACTTGCCAAGGCCCAACGAGGATGACGAGAGGACCCTGAGGAGCACTGTTGACCAATGCAGGCGAGGTAGGAGGGCGGACTCGCAGCTGACCCGCGCCTCGAGAACACACCCACACTCCAATCACCGGGGACTTGAAAAGGCGTGTCTATGTTAGCTTGACAAGAGAAGTGATTTGTATGCGCGCGACCCAGGCCATGGAATTCGACGGAATATACTCAGTCCGTCGGTGTTGGAGCGCCACGGGCTCCCCATATACCATGAATTTGAGGGCACGTTTTGTCGCGAAAGGGTCCCAACTGAGAAATCCACGGTGCTTTGACAGAGACGAGAGAATTACAGGTATTGAGTTGCAAAAACGTTTGCGCATGTTCCAAATGGACCCATGCTGACTCCAGACCTTGTCCGCCGGAAGATTCAACAAACAGGAGGCCAGCGCAGATGGAGTTCTGCATAAAAGCGCTCTACCCGACTGGAGTCGAGGCTCACCGCACACCGTGGGAGCGACGGGATGCACAGGCCGAGAAAGCCAAGGCGAGACATCGGGGTGACTGGTCACAAGTTTCTTCAACGGGGCAAAGAACAGCCAGGGAGAATTCATATTTACGACACGCTTCGAGTGAGTCATGACTCATGAGAAGTATGTACACTGCAGCGGCCTAATTCGCTGGCAACGAGCGCTTTTGCACGTCCGGCTAGTCCCTTCCCACCAACTTTTTCGTATGAGGAATCGTCTGCTGAACGGGCATTCGGTCACAGTGCCCGGCTGTTTCCAAGAAGGGGGTAGACGAAATACCGTTGCCCTGCGAACAGATTGAATCAACATCGGTCCCCGGGAGCACGAAATGGATAATGCGCACGATCATGGTCGCTGGAAAGCCAGGGTCGAAGGGAAGCACACTCTCCAGGAACTCGATTTGTTCCGGGGAGAGTGAGATCTCCAGAGCCTCGATGTTTGACAGAAGGTGCTCGACTTTCCTCCCCCCGATGATGGGGAAGCAGTACGGCACTTTGTGCATCAGATACGCGATCGCGACTGTTTGTGGCACGTCTGCATCAGAACGGGGGCAAAAAAAAATCCCAGAGAACACGCGACGCACCGGAAGAGATGCTCTTGGCCCCGATCTCCCCCGCGACTTTCTCGAGCGCATGCGACATCTTTTTCTCGTCCTCGTTACGCTCCCAGTCCGCACTGAATAACGTTCGCCCTTTCTCTCCGGACACGCGCCGGGCCTCCTCCTCGGCGTCCGTGCGCAACTTTCCCTGCGCCAGAACGTTCCAAGGCGCGAGGGCCATCCCTGGACCACCGTCAGAAGAACGCGCAGGACAGCAGCCATAAAAAAGCGCACTGACCATGTGCGCGGACCATGGGGATGATCTCGCGCTCGAACGCCCGGTCCATGACGTTCCAGCAGCCTTCATAGATGACGAAGGGCGACTTTCCGTGGTCGAGTGCGTACTGGTTGGCTTGTGCGACCACCCACGCCGGGGTGTCCGAGATGCCCAGGTACAGCACCTTCCCGAGCGTGACGAGATTGTGCAGCCCGTCCATCAACTCGCGGATGCTCGCGTCCCAGTGCCAGAAGTGGACATAGAGGATGTCGATGTACGACGTGCGGAGTTTCTTGAGGCTGGCCTCGACACTGAGCGTCATCGACTTGCGGTTGTTGCCGGCGTAGTTGACCTGTTGCTGAACGTCGTTCTGGCGGGCCTTGAAGTTCATCGTGAACTAAACAATACGCTTAATCTCAAGAAACCGGCATTAACAGCACAGCAGACCTTGGTCGAGAGGACGATCTGGTCTCGGATGCCCCGCTGCTCCATCCACTCGCCGATGAACATCTCAGATGTCTCATCCTGACTGCGAAGCATGGTTGATCAACGTCAGCTTCAAAAGTAGTATTAGGCTTACTAGGCATTGGCAGTATCGATGAAATTGCCGCCAGCGTCGAAATACGCGTCCAGAAGCTTGAAGCTGGCCGTTTTGTCCATCGCACCCATTCCCAGCTTGTGTATGGAGGCCTGGAAGGCCCTGCTCACAACCGAGACATTTGACATTGATAGGCGATGCACGTGGCCAGGACCCCATGAACTCATTACATACTCTTCTTTACACATGTTTTCAACATTCTAATACTATCTTATTGCATTCATAAAATGACTTGTTGAGGCGCAAATTCAACGAGTATGAGATTACGATATAACTGTAGATGACGGGGTTCAGCAAGGACACAACAAAAAACAGTATGTATGTAGAATCTCATGATCCGGGATCAGAGATGGGACATCAGATCAATTGTGGCTGCTTTGTCAGACCAAGCAGCTTGCTACGTCATACTGATGGGACATCAGTTCAATTGATTGTGGGGCCAGGGTGTATCCGCGCTTGTCACTAGAAAGCGTCGGCTCCGCCGACTGAATGCCTTGCTACCTGACACAAAGAATGCGATAATCAGTTAACATTCAACGAATGTACGTGACTTGAAACATTGATGATCAGACGGAACAAATGACGGATCAGGTTCATCAATTTATGTAATTAAGGGTCTGGAGAAGCCTTGACAAGCAAGGCAACTACAAATGAAACTAAATGTAAATGGATGAAAATGCGCAATTGAGAGCCAGGATCCATCAACATTTACACGAGTGGCTTCAATCCAAAGAAACGGCAATATCCGGAGAATATCACAGCTAGTATTTTACCACTCATCCGCTGCTGCCAGATTCCCAGGTCCTCCTTCATCTGAGTACCAAGCTTGAACAACCTTATTGTCATTGTCGTCGTCGCCAGCTGCCCCCGGAACATTGGGTTCTACATCATTGACAAGCTGCTGCAAACGAGCTTGATGCCCATCATCTGTTATTGCGTTCAGATATACGGTAGTTAACCCCCCTCCGAAAATCACCACAGAGCGAAAAATGGGCATTGGAATTCAGGAAAGTTGAGGGAGACCAGGCTACCCCCCGTTTTCAATGTCGGCGAGAAAGATAGGCAAGGTTCTGTGCACGTGACAAGTGTCCAAATTAGGCAAATCACACGTTTCACCGGTTTTTCCGCCATGAAAGTGGTCAGAGATGAATTCGGAGCATTGTTTTAACATCAAAACATCGTTTCTATGTCTAAAAATACGACCTGTGTTTGACCTGACGTTTCGGACGCCCACTTGGGTAGTACAACCCCGCGTCACTGGTGGTGCGTTTCCTTCCGCACACTAAATTGCTATCTTCCTCGCCGGCAATTACTGGCAGCTCTCCACCGAAACCTTGAACCAGTTCGTCTTCATCCTCCGAGCTCTCGCCCTCACCCGAGCTCAAATTCGAAATGTTGTTCAGTGGTCCGCTGCTTCTCCCGCCTCTGCCACGGCCACAGCCACGGCCCTGACCCTGACCCCGACCCCTGCCTCGGCCTCTGCCACCTCGAGTCCCTCTAGCAGCCCCTCTCTCGGCATTCTTCTCATCTCGCTCAACTCTCATCGCATTCAAGGTGTCATGATCAAAAACTCGGTCCGTTCCCGAAGGCTTGCGACGATCGGTTTTCTTGGATTGATGATCGACGTTCTGTAGCTCTCGAATCCGCGCAGCCTGGATAGAGACTCGTGCCTCTGAGCGGTCCAATTCGTACATGGTGTCCTCGGCAAGCTTCAGCGCGCGGGATGGTGTATCAGGCGGTGATTGTTGGAACTGCTTGAGCCATGCATGGATATTGCGTCGGGGTGATACCCGATGCGACCTCTGGAATTCTGAACCGGAGCCTTCATCTGCTTCGGATTCGCATGTCTCCCGCTGTTGAGTTCGATAGAATTCCTCCATGAATGGGAACACATTCTTGTTGAAAGGGTAAATGCCAGGTTTTTCGAAGCCTCTGACGATGTTCGTTCGAGTGAAGGCCTCATCCCGAGCCTCCGGAAGAATTCTGTGTACTTATTGTGATCAGATCTCCGTTCGGCACACTTATTATACTCACCGTGTGAAGTCCGCCTTCATGATGTTTTCCCCGCATTTTACAAGCTGATCAACGATCTTGCTATATGCGCTTTGATATGGCTTGAATACGGCAACATCGAGGGGCTGAGTAGAACCAGATGTCTTCGGCGGGATTGAAATGCACAAGATCTTGTTCTCAAGACAGAACTCAATGGCTTCAATGGAAATATGACTCGACAAGTTGTCAAAAATTAGACCACGCCGGTGTCCATTTGCTCTGCATGATTCATGAGCACCGGTCAGGTGGAGCAGCACCAGTTGGGAAATACTTCTCGCGTGTCTCAGGATCAAAATTCTGTCTCAACCACTCGATATTGAGGTGGGTGTCAGTCCATCCGTTTGGAGATGCAGCTATGGCTGACTTGTTGAGTCTGGTTCCTTTCACCCATCCATATGATGGTCGCTTCCCCTTCATGACAATGAACGGGGTAAGGAAGGAACCATCTGCGCAAATACAGTTGATGACCGTGACTAGCTCACATTTTCCATCTAGAATGTTGCAAGTCAACAGGCAAGTCGTCAGAGACTCTGTCAACAATAAAACGCACTTTGTGGGACAGTTGGACGTGTACGGGACTTGGGCACAGCATGTATCTCCCCATTCTCCCATGAAACCTCTGTTCGCCGGAAGACAAGAACATGCTGTCTTGCGGAGATGCCCAGCATGAAGCCTTTCTCGTCAACGTTGTACAGATTCTGAGGTTCAATGTTGTACGGCTCCGCATAGGCTCGTTCGAGCTGATAGACTTACACAAAAGCGTCAAAATGAGCAGGGAAAACTCACATTTGCATACAGCCTCGAAATTCGGACCGGGTCATGTTCAGCCTTAACGCGCGAGACATCCTTAGGCTGACTGGGTGCTGTGTCAAGATCTGGGTAACGCGCTTTGAACCGCGCGATCCAGTTGACGCCGAAAGGTTCAATTTCACTTATTCCAACGCCTAGACGATGCGCCAGAATATACGCGGCGCGCTCAACGATAAGTTCGGGTCGAAGATGGAGACCCCAAGAATCACATTCCTTCAGGAAGTCGTACAACTCATCTTCCTCCACTTGCGACAGGCGCCGTTGTGACTCTGTGGCCTCGGATCGACTCTTCCTGCCATGGTTGCAATGCCATATAGTGCTGGTAGCCACACAACACTTCTGCGAGGCCTCTGCCAATGTTGTTCCTGCATCAACCATCTCCATCGCCCTTGCAAGTTTCATCTCTCGCTCCTCTCCCTCCCATGCAGCTCTCTGCTCCTCAGTACCCACTGGCCAAACCATGAAGGAGGTGCCGTGTCAGCGTTGAACGTTGGTGTGAATGTAGAAGTAAAATTGTAACGGTGACGTTGTGTTGCGAGTCATTTTTCGGTCCGTGGTGATCGCCGAAAACGAGGCCTGATCTTGATGCCAACTTTTCTCAGGAACTACGCCACCAATCCTTTCACTTTGGGTATGTGAATTATACCCAAGAAAGTGTAGTTTTCGAATATGTAGGCAGTTGTGCGCATTAAGTCAATATTTCAAGCGAACAGAAGCAAACTTGTAGATTGTTTCGGAGGGGGGTGTAGTACTGTATTAAATTATTCAATCTACACTGATCACTTTGAATGTAGTCTCAGAAAGAGGCTTCAGTTTTGGCAAAATCTTGTCAGGATTTGGAGAAATCATGTTCCATTTCCATCCTTGAATCCTGCACTAGTGGATCTCTGTCAAAGGTTGGAGCGCTGGGCTCAGCAGATTGGTCAAATTCTGCTTCCAATCATCCCAGCAATTGTCCCCGGACTCCAGAGACATTCTATACAGGAATGAAACACCCATATTGGTCCCCCAATCAAGCCGACCAGGCAAGGCTTCGGAAGGCCTTGAGCGTTGGAGGAGGAGTATTATGAGCGGGCCTGTTGGGTGAGCACAAAATTCTTCATTGTTCAATTCTACTGCCCAAACTTGTTTCTCGTAGATCTTCCCACATCTGACCGCTGATAGGCTGGCTACCAGACGCGCTCTGCACCAGCTCTGTAAGGGCGTATTTTTGCGCTTTTTACAGAGTTTACTCTCGAACTACTCGGTGTATCATGTCGCGGTTGACAGTGTTGCGCTCAGTAGGACTTAAGGGTCTACTGCCCAGTCGACGACTGTGGATAGTGTCGACGATAGCAAGGCAGTCAGACCACTACTGTGGAATTGGTCTTATGAGTCTATACCAGGCTCAGGGCTATTAGTGACGAATGCTTGGACCACGACAATTCCCCAAAAAGGGATCTATTGTCGCGGCGACTTCTCAAAAGGGTCATTCTCTGCAGATGGGAACTTGGGCTGAAGGGCTGAGCAATGCGCGACGTTCTCAATATTACAACTACTACTGGACAGGACTTGGCGTTACAAGATTGAGCCAATCTTGTCGCGGCAACTCCCGGTTTTGGGTTAGACGTTTCCTCAGATCATGCCACGGTGATGACTTGTCACATGTCAGGGTCCATTCGATCACGGGACATTGTGGACGCATCGCGGTGACACTTCCAAGTGTCACGGCGAGTCGCGTCCATACCAAAACACACTAAAATCGACACGGCTAGATCCGTGAACCGAGCCATGTGGGGGACGACTGGCGTGCCTAGGGCCATACGGCTTCTTGGGGCGCCCACGTTGGTCTCACTTGCCAAGACATACCCGTTGGCCAATCCAGCACGTCGTATTCCAAAAGTATGACGCGGTGGGTTGACCCACATCAAAAGTATCATATGGACTATGGGGCGGGGTCCTGATCACTCAGGTCCTGTCCGATCGTTCAACTTTTCAATTACCCTAAAAGGCAACCGATCTTAGATAGCGTAGCTACTATGCAGTTGTACAGGACTTTACTAAGCATCGTTGTAGACAGTATAAGTAGGATGTCGTTTTCTTTGTATGGGAAGCTTTTCCCCGGACTGTGAATCACTCTCATTTCAGATTGTTTTGTACAATTTGCGTGCCGCGTGATTCCACCCTAAGAAGTTCTGCCACCCCTGCCCGGTCGCGACGAGTTGCTCCCTGAGCACTTGTAGCTACTGTGATTTGAGTTTGAGTTTTGAGATATCAGAAAGTCGGATTCGCCGCATCTGGTTTAGTCGCGGCATTTAGTGTCGTCGCCTTCGGGCTTTGTTGAGATCGTTCCACACCTCTAGCTTGGCAGTGCGTCGACTAGTTGTGCTCGGGTTGTTTTGGTCAGTTGGCAGTGCGTCGACTTGAGAACTTTGGTTCCACACTTCTTGCTTGGCAGTGCGTCGACAAGTTGTGCTCGGGGCTGTTAGTTGGCAGTGCGTTGACGCAGCATTTTGGTTTACTAGTTGGCAGTGCGTCGACTCAGTACTTTGGTTGTGTCAGTTGGCAGTGCGTCGACTTGACATTTTGGTTCTACTAATTGGCAGTGCGTCGACTCAGTATATTGGTTGTATCGGTTGGCAGTGCGTCGACTTGGTATTTGGGTTTTGCGTCGTCATCTGGACGCTGTTGCTGCAAGGGACCTTAATACTTTGTATTAAGCTCTGACTTGTTATATTGTTGGTTGTGGTTGGATTAGTGTTGGATTTGTTTGTATAGAAGATATTGGTTGAGACACCACTGTTTGCTATATATAAATTCTTGTCGTCGACTCCGTCTTCCGCGACTATTGATCTGCGTCTATTGAGAGTTGTGATACTGGTGTTCTGTTTGCCCCAAAGCCCTCACATCTTTCACACACTGAGAAGCTGATTACAAGGAGTGTGAACGTGTTTATATTTGGGTTTACTTTCATTAGTAGATTCACTTGTGAGCGCACCCTCAGCATTGCACCGCATCCAGTTCTTGCGTGTTATCCCACGCCCCATGACCGAGTTGTTTGACGGCTCCTGTCCAGTTCGATTTGAATATGATCCAGCATTGTGCGAGGATGGTACCTTGATGGTCCTTCTATTGCCATCCCTCAGCTCTGGATCTTTCAAGGATGCACATCATGGCTTCATGACACTCACTCCCTCCTCACTGGATGGACTTGGCAGTCGCAACAACCAAGATGTTGCTGTGAAACGGATGATTCAGGGCAGAGATGACCGGGAAGCGCGAGGCGATTTGATGTTGCAACTGAGTATCAGCACACCATTTGCAAGGGCAACCTCCTCCTTTGGGCTATGTCTCTCTTTGATCTCTCCCTCTCCTTTGTTGATTACATTTTGAAGAAAACCAGGCCTCTACCATCGTCTCTCATTATTCCCAAGATTTGTTTTGTGGAGGGTGGCATTGCCCTGGTCCATGACTCCACTGTGGGCAAGAATGTTCATGCCGCCTCATCACACCACCGAACGTTGGTCATTGAGGAACTCATCGAGAGTCTGTTTGTCAAATTTGTTCACAACCATGCTCCCGTTCCATATTTGGCTGCGGATCATCCCTTGTTTTATGTGGCCGACTTCTTATGCTTTACGCAACACGTGCAGTATGAGAAATTGGGTGGATTGGTATTCATCTCTGATTATCAAGGTGCGTCGATCCCTGGTCTCTTTTGAGGGTATCCAATCTCACATTGTGCTCAGGGTCCGAGTTACTTTTGAGCAACCCGCAGATCATGACTTCTCCGTGAGTCAATATTTTTTATTATAAGTTTGTCTGATCTTGTTTGAATGACTTCTCAGTGATATCTCCAAGGAGAGCATGTTTGGTGGTGGAAACGTTGGTGCACTGTTCACGGCATTCCCTGAGAAGCACAAATGCTCCGGATATTGCTGTTTCTTTGGATTGAAGCCACTCATTTAAATGTTGATGGATCCTGGCTCTCAATTGCGCATTTTCATCCATTTACATTTAGTTTCATTTGTAGTTGCCTTGCTTGTCAAGGCTTCTCCAGACCCTTAATTACATAAATTGATGAACCTGATCCGTCATTTGTTCCGTCTGATCATCAATGTTTCAAGTCACGTACATTCGTTGAATGTTAACTGATTATCGCATTCTTTGTGTCAGGTAGCAAGGCATTCAGTCGGCGGAGCCGACGCTTTCTAGTGACAAGCGCGGATACACCCTGGCCCCACAATCAATTGAACTGATGTCCCATCAGTATGACGTAGCAAGCTGCTTGGTCTGACAAAGCAGCCACAATTGATCTGATGTCCCATCTCTGATCCCGGATCATGAGATTCTACATACATACTGTTTTTTGTTGTGTCCTTGCTGAACCCCGTCATCTACAGTTATATCGTAATCTCATACTTGTTGAATTTGCGCCTCAACAAGTCATTTTATGAATGCAATAAGATCGTATTAGAATGTTGAAAACATGTGTAAAGAAGAGTATGTAATGAGTTCATGGGGTCCTGGCCACGTGCATCGCCTATCAATGTCAAATGTCTCGGTTGTGAGCAGGGCCTTCCAGGCCTCCATACTTGTGACACTGGTCACCGATGCTTCCTGCCCCCAGCTGCAGAGGAGAAACACGGACTCCCGCGTTTGGCGATAAAATTCGGTAGACACCAAGTTTGGTGGGAGGCGCAGCGGGGCGATCGAGAAAAGACATGGTGAACTTGAAAAATCTCAGCTACTCATTTCCCTCTTATAACTATTATCGGCTTGGGCTCCGCGAATTCTACCACTTCCTCAGCACATCGTGTGTCTTGCAGGACTCACCCGCGTCCGTCGGCCAAGGGTTGGTCGTTTGGCTCCAGACTTTGGTTCCGTGTCCATGACGGCCCGAATAAACGAAGTTCGGATCCCCGAAACGAAGTTGCGTCGTACAAACGTTTCACGCCATAGGCCGCCCGCATCCCGTCTCAGACCGTGCAACACAGCCTTTTTCAGCCATTTTATAGCCTGCAGCCAAAAGATCACTGGAATTTCTCTTATTCCCATGTTCCGACCCAACTTCAGCCCACTCTAAACCTTTGCAAAGGAACTGCCGAAATTTCGGGACTCGCCGTTCATTCTCTGCACGACAATGATCGATTTCAAGTTTTGCCTCAGCTGCTCTTCATCGTCCAGAAGCCTGGCCATACCGGTCAAACCCATGTTCCCCCTTTGCCCCCATCCTCAGAGATGGCCTAACCTGGTTTTCTTTTTTGAAAACGTGTCCGCAAGGCAATTCCCGCAGTACGAGGCCTCGGACAATCAAAGTGAGAGCTGCCGATATGGGGAATCCACAAAAGCGGAGTTCCAGTCATCATCAACCGCCGAATCATGCCGAAGTCCCTCCATACTGACTGCCATTCCAACGAGATGGCTTCCGTCCGGATCGAGTTCCGCCAAAATAAATATCGCCGGATGGTGAGAGTTTCAGCTAGGAATGTGTTATAATATGGCGCCATTCCGTCCTGCGATGAGCTAATGCGACTCCCAAACATTTTGTTTGAGCGCTTAGCCTTGTCATAACGAATCTGACTCTGCAGAAGCATTACGAGCACGTCTGCTGATTGCTGGGCTACATGAGTTGGTCATGGGACAAGTGGGATCCGCAGGGGTCCCACAGGTGCTCAGAAACTTGCAGTGAGCTAGCTCTGTCAGCCAAACTACTTTTACGCTATAATTTTTTTTGATTTTGGGTGACTTTTACTCTGTTTTTGGAACGTAAATCCATTTTTTCCCTTTGCCAGTGTGGGGCATGCCTGCGGTGGTCCCAGTTAGACCTTAAGGAGTCCCATGTTGACCTGTGGCGGTCCCAGCGGGTCCTTCTTTGGTCCTAACAAGGTCTAAAATATAGTAAATTTGAGCGTCAAATTGGTGTTTTCCCCTTCACAAAATAGCATAGAAGTCGTCCGAAATGTCTGTTCATGGTCCGAAAATAGGGTAAAAGTTGGGGAGAAGCGACCAATCTGGGTAAAATTTGGGTGTCATCTTGACTCATCTTGGGTCATAAATGGTCAGATTTTTTGAAATCAAAGTTTGGAGCGATATCCGAAGCGAGCGTTATGGCAGGCAACAGTGTACAGGTTGAACAGTCTGCATAACCTATGCTGAGCAGGACCTGCCCCAATGCCCTAATCTGATTCTGGAAAGCAGGTGGCAGATGCCTCTGCATTGCACGCTTTTTAGCTGCTGCACATGCAGGAGGAGCCTTGCTGCGTGCAGTAATGATAGTAGGTGATAGTGTATGAGTTGAACAGTCCACAGAGCTCATGCCAAGCAGGGCCTGCCCCAATCTAGCCCAGAACAGCATGCAGCAGATGCATCCACACTGCACACTTTCAAGCTGCTGTGGACACAGGGGGTGCCTGGATGGATGCACTGACTATTGCAGGCAATGCTGTGCAGGTTGAGCAGTCCACAGACCCCATGCTCAGCAGGGCCTGCCCAAAACTGGCCCAGGACAGCATGCAGCAGAGGCATCCGCACTGCATGCTTTTAAGCTGCTGTGTACACAGGAGAGACCTATCTGTGTTCTAAGGAGCCTGGAAGCCTTTTAGAAGCTCGTTTTACATAAATAAGCTTTTGAGCAACCATTTCAGCAATCCAGAATCAATGCAGAGCATCTGCACAGCTGCAGCACTGAATTGATTCAATTGCCATTCATTGTTTGCTGCACACAGAGGAGCTTGGGGGAGCTGGGATCATCAGGGAGCATATACATCTGCTACAGAAGGCTTAAGTCTACAGTGGAGCAATGCATAGAGGCTAGAAATGAAATAATGAAAGAACAAAAAATGCAGAGGGCTCCTCACTGGATCAGAGTCACATGATACAGCCCGCACACAACCAGTGTGATGGCATCACAATGATCATGAGGAGAGCTGGATGCAGATGGATCTGCAGCTTGCTTAGGGCAAGTTGCGGAGGGATCTGCAGCTGCTTATAGGGCAAGATGCAGATGGTTGGCACCCATTTGCGGAGCTTTGGTGCGGAGGATGGCCAAAAGTGCAGAGGGTACCCCCCTACTAGGGGGTCAAAATGGGTCGATTTTACCCCCCTAGGAGGGGGGGGTACCCTCCGTGGCGGATGTTCCTTAGGTGGGGTAGCTATGACTATGACTTGGACACCTGCCCCCAACATCTAGATGGCTTAGAACGCTCGCTTCGGATATCGCTCCAAACTTTGATTTCAAAAAATCTGACCATTTATGACCCAAGATGAGTCAAGATGACACCCAAATTTTACCCAGATTGGTCGCTTCTCCCCAACTTTTACCCTATTTTCGGACCATGAACAGACATTTCGGACGACTTCTATGCTATTTTGTGAAGGGGAAAACACCAATTTGACGCTCAAATTTACTATATTTTAGACCTTGTTAGGACCAAAGAAGGACCCGCTGGGACCGCCACAGGTCAACATGGGACTCCTTAAGGTCTAACTGGGACCACCGCAGGCATGCCCCACACTGTCACTGTTGTGCATTAGTGTTGTCACAGGTCTGGTCATGATACCATCAGCACAATCGCAGTAACACACTTTCTGTATACTGTACTAACACGACCGTAGAGTCAAGGGGGGGTAGCCGGTGACATGCGTCAACAAAATGTGTCATCAGTCAAGCCCGCCGGTCACCAGTGACACCCATCGAAGAACCGTCAAGCTGGTGGTCACGGGAGCACATCTGATGGGCCACAGGCGGTCAACTCTTTGGTGGATTTATCTACTACATTGTACACAATCAGTAGCAAGTAGCTCAAGTGCAATTAATTTCAGTAAAATTTGTCTGAAAAAATGTTTTTTTCTTAAATGAAGTGTGTCAGTAGTCAAGCCGGCTGGTGACCGGTGACAGAGCCTGAGATGAGTCAAGTCAGAGGTCCCGGTGACCGGTGACTTGACTCTACGGTCGCGTTAGTACAGTATACTCGTGCATCAACGTTTGTCACTACATATACATACAGCGCGGCCTAGTTATCTCGAAACGACATCCTTTATCCGTCCTGTGCATCACTTCCCCGCTCACTTCTTTGTATGAGGGATGGTCTGCTGGACGGGCACTCGGTCGCAGTGCGCAGCTGTCTCAAAGAATGGGGTAGGCGAAATTCCGTCACCCTGCAAAACAGGTGGGAATCAGAACTGGCCCCGAGAACACAAAATAGATAAAGCATACAATCATGGTCGCTGGGAAGCCAGGGTCAAACTTCAGTATACTCTCTAGGAACTCGATCTGTTCTGCGGAGAGCGAGACCTCGGAGGAATGACACAAAGTGTGTGAATGTGAATACCAAAATCACACTCTGATGGACATCTTTCCCACTGCTGTGCCTTCCAAAGCCCATTTGATGCGCCACAATCTTTGTGATGCATCTGATCAATCAACGGCAATCAAGTTGATAAAAGTCTAAGATTGAGTCGGGACAGGGATGTACATACTACTTACTTACACTCTCTGCAATATAAGTATGTGTGACCAACAAGATCTCTCCTTTTCACTATGCTCAGCTTCCCGGGGCTATATGTTAAACTGATTTTGGACAATCATAAGCGGGAGGTGGGTGAGGCAAAGTGTAACAACTCGTGTTGATGCACTGCGCACTATGTTGATAATCTGGATTAAATTAACACGCGATATCGTCTGCTATCCTTGAGGGTCGCTGGATTAAATTTTCGATAAAAGACATGAGCCTAGAACGCAAACCAACAAGTTCCCCTCTGCTCAAACATGTTCCCCGAGGCAGCCGACATTACCATGAGTGATCTCAAGGCTTATCAATCATTTGTCAGTCGTGTTTTGCCTACTTATGCTCCGCCTGATTGACTGGGCCTCAGGCATTTCCAGCTGAGGTTGCAGATCAGAGTCATAATCCTCACTTTGGTCTCGCAAATGCAACAGCCTGGGTCACCTCGGGTGGCTATCAACTCTCTCTTTTAGACAATAACAATTTGGGAATTGACGTTGAGGGGCCTGGGAGCGCAAAGATATCCGTTCTGCTTCATTTCCGTGATTTAGTGAGTGTTTAGCATGGCTATTCGAGTTCTCATTTATCTTTGTTGCAGATGATTGGCCCTGAGTTTGTCGAACATCCTTATTTCGACCTCGAGAGTCTAGAGAGCTGGGTCAATGTGAAAGTCTTCAGCCTTTTTCTGTGTCAATTCTATCCGGCTGGAATGGGGCCGTCTTATGAACCAACTCGAAGTCGGGCACCGTCTCTTACCCCATCTGTGCCACCATCTGAGTCTTCTTGCGCATCCTCTCCTGGCGCAGTTGATGAATCTTCTCATGCCGCTGCTTCCCGATCCTCATCTTCGCTCTCATACCATCCTGAAAGCGCACATAACAGCGAATTTGCAGGTGTGTATCCACTCAATTTTGCAAGTGAAGTCATTCACAACATTCACTCAGACCAAGATGCGCCTACGCGTGATGCAAAAGTGTCGAGAGGAAAAGGAAAGGCCACTGGAATCAAGATCACCACTCATAAGATTGTGAAACATCTTGTCACAATGTCGCAGTCACCTCGAACGTGGGACGTGCCTAACCCGGTCGAAGAAACTGCATACCTCTTGCATCTCTCGGACTTCGAGTCTCAGCAACTGTTTCACAAGTCAGACAGATCCTTGAGAGCCATTGGGAATTATATTTGTGATGAGGTGCGTGTTTAGAGCCTTCTCAGTTGCTCATCTCGTTGAATGGTGTTTAAAAGGATCATGATTCTTGGAAGACTATTAGCGCTGGACGCCTCGCCAGAGATGCTCGAGTGTCCCAGTTGCTGCCTGACCGTGCTGTTCAATGTTGATGCATTTTGCTTCAATGAAACGGGCTTCATGTGTGCACTTTTCTCGATCCGGATCTGCTTGCAGCCTGCATTCGGTATGAAGCAAATGCAGATGCGACTCAGGCTCTTTGGGAGCCTCAAATGGCTTCAAATGAGGCTGAAGCTGCGTCGTATCTTGCAATCATTGCTCGGTTTGCTTACTCATTTGACCTGAATTTGGGACGACTCACAAATCTCTAGATTTTATTGCCAAATTCAGTCACAGTCCTGCAAAATTCAGTGCTCCGGAGAGCCGAGACTTGTTAAATTGTCCAATGTAAGTGCTCTTGCATTGGTGCTGCCCAAGTCCACATACTGATCTTGTCATAGTTTGGCCACTTTTTCATCTTATCATCGACCATCTTATCTTATCTCAGCACGGATTATCTTATCACGGATCACGGCATCAGACAGTCTGGACTAGGGGATTCCAGGGATTATCTCTATCGATTCGAGGCTGTGCAACATATGCTCCGGAAGGTTCTACTACAACCCATGACCAGCGTTCCATGCGGTACATAGTCTCATGACTCATTAGTTGTAGATATGACTCAGACTGGACTTGGGTATAAATACTGTAGCTACTTGGTTGTATTCTCCAGTCTTCGAATTCACTTCTCTTTTCGACATTATTTCTTGTTGATTGTCACATAATTCGAAGACTCCCCTCATACCCTCGTACCTCCTACCTCCTACCCTGCTCCCTGCACCGCTACGCCCGCTATATCCTCTTCACCTTTATCATCCCACTCACCCTTTTACCGAATCATCTAGTCGCTCGCTGCGATCGCAGTGAAAGGTTCATATCGAGCAAACAGCACCAGGCCACGGGTAACGTTGAGCCCGACCCAAGCCTTACGGTAGCTACAAGGAGTGCTGCGGAGACCTTCGGGAAAACGCACCTCGGGATCATCGGGCACGTGAAGAGCTAGGCCCGGGATCTTTTTGCTAGCAAAAGAACCTTTCCTCGAGTGCTTGTACAGCACACGAATCCACCATTTCGTACCGATTCCCATCGTCATCTGGGAGTCCATCCCCTCCCCCCATCACACCATCGTCGCCCGATCTGGCGCATCAAAACCAACCCGGGCCCTCCAACCCCTACCTCGCCCTTCCGCCGCCTGAAGACGAGTTCCCCGACCTTGGCGAGTTACCCTCCGAACAACCACCCTCGCCCCCACCTACCGCACCTGCTCCTACCATGTCAGGACATCACCACATCACCCTCGCCGCCAATCCCCCCTACTTCGATGGCGACAAGTCCAAGTACCTGGGCTTTGTGGATGCGTGCACCACTTACATCGGTGCCTATCAGTCAGAGTTCTCGCTGGACGAGACAAAAATCCTCTTCGTCCTGTCCTACCTCCGCAATGAGAGCGGCACAAGCTGCGCCGCCTCAAGATGGGCGATGAACTGGAAGCAGCACAATTTCGAGGGCTTCCAAGGACTAAAGGCGGGAGTCACCGCGACAAGCTTCTTGGAGGAGCTTCAGAGGGCCTTTGGGGATTCTAACGCAGAGCAAGTCGCTGCCGCCCGACTCATGGCCCTTCGCCAGGGCAGATGGTCCTTTGCAGACTACATCTCCAACTTCGAAATGCTGGCTGCAGACACGGGGTACAACGTGGTCACCTCAACCGACAACAAGGGCGAATACAAGAAGGGGGACCAGGACAATATCCTCATCGAGTTTCTTGAGCACGGGCTCAGCAGCAAAATTGCGAGCCGCCTCTACAACACCAGCGTTCCCCTGCCCAAGGCATACGGCGCCTTCAAGAACTGGTGTGTCAACATCGAGGCCAATGCTTTGCGCGATCAGCTGCGTAAGGCATCCTATGCGCACTCAACTCCGCAGCCTCCCCCCCAATTCCGCCCTCAGGCTGCATCAGCAGCACCTGCACCTGCTCCGGCCCGACCAGCGGCCAATGAACCGGTTCCGATGGAGATTGATTGCACCCACGCCCGCGGCCGCAATATCATCTGCTATAACTGTCAGCAGCCTGGGCACATTGCGCGGAACTGTCCGGAGCCCAAGAAGAAGCGCACATTCTTCAATCGGGCCACAATGCTAGAAGAGATTGAGAACAGGGACAAGGACAACCTCCACTCCTCTAGCCAAGGAGGTGGAGCGTCCGGACTATGGACATTTTTCTGTACTTGTTTCGATTAAAGATATGAACAATTCTCCTCACACATACACGATCTCAGACTCACTACGTACTAATATTCATGATTTTCTCGTCGCTGATATGGAAAAGGAACGTCAAAGAAAAATAGCTTTAAATAGAGAGTATTTACAGAGTAAAAAGGATCAGAAAGCTGCGGATAAATTAATTCTGGACTCCTACGTACTTATGGCTCGTGGAGAAGAAATCACGTCAACAAAGACCGAAAAGGGGAGCATTGCTCCGGAGGCTCGATCCTTGGAAAAGGAGGAAGCGCCTAAGGAATCTGCCGAAATCGAGGTTCCAGAAGCACCCAAACGAACCAGGGTGCCTGATGCCATCCAGAGAAAATCGGCAGCCGAGAAACAGAAGGGCCCTTAACCCAGCAGATTGGCGCAGGAGTTGCGCAACTATGTCATAGTTCGGCCACTTTTTCCTTCTTATCATCGACGATCTTATCTTATCTTGGCACGACTTATCTTATCACGGATCACGGCATCAGACGGTCCGGGCTAGGGGTTCCAGGGGTTATCTCTATTGATTCGAGGCTGCGCGACATATGCTCCGGAAGGTTCTACTACAACCCATGACCAGCGTTCCATGCGGTACATACTATATGCGACTGGGTAGTTGACCACCCTAGGTACTTAGCCATTTAGGGATTATAAGGATAACCAGAGGGATTCGTCTAAATCTGTGTAGCTAGAACGTAAGAGCGACCTCGAATACCCCCCTAAGCAACGCGACAACTTAGTAGATGCCACTAATCATCTGTGGGAAGCAATCATCCAATGTGATCGGGTGGGAACGGTCCGATTTTCTTATTTTGGTAGGGGCGCTTTACTGAGAAATGACGCTTTCGCTAACCCTCTTGTGCATCACCATGGCCAACCTATACGTGTTCGACTTGGCGGAGTCCTAGCTCTCTCATGACCACAGATTCCAATTGTGACTTCTCTCGTGTCATGCACAACTGCCACCACGGCCAGCCTCACGCTATCGAAAACAAGCTCCCAAAGCATCGAGGCGAATGTCCTGTTGCTGCGGAACGGATGCAGCTCTTCCTCTGCAACTTCACACGGCCATTCTGTATGTTTCAAACCTTCATAATCCATAGCTCACATAATTTTAACGAATTTATCTAGTTGCCAGTTACCACGGTGACCGGGAGCACCACAATGTCATGGTGCCGGCTTTTAAATGGCTTGAACTTGATAGCGGTGGTGCGTGTCTTTGTCAATCCGCTTTTCCGTGACCTTGAGTGCTTCCGAAACCTTGCCTCAAGTCTCAATATGTTATACAGGTCTTCTATTCCAGTTCGTGCATCAAAACACAGCGCCTCGTGTTTGTCAGGTTATGGGACACGAGTCCGACCATGGCACGGCTGCTTCGCCCTCAATCAGAGACATTTCGGTCTCCACGGGGGAATTTGGCGTGGATGCCAGCTGCACGTGCAGTGCCTGCACCTCCTTGACGAGTGCATCTTGCGACGCGAGCAGGCCGAGGATCATGGGATGGCTCAAGATACATTCACGGTGAGTCTTTATTAACATAATGCCCACTGATATCCCCAGTATTATGCCCAGGGCTATCGAAGATGAGATCTGAGCTTGCCTGCGTGGACAACACCCTCCCGCTCAATCCTCCTCGCACTACTAACACTAGAGCGCCTCCGAACCGAACAGCCTTCATATCCCAATTGTTTAATGCGGGCCTGTTGAACGAGAGCAATGGGAGGGGAACAGAGAGGTACGCTTCCTGTCTTTCATGCTTACAATCACAAATGTTGACGGCCTCTCAGCTGCAGGCGGAGAGTTAGACGATGCATGTGTAGAATCTGTGCTTGAATGAAGAAACTGGCCCTTTATCCATTTGTATCATTTCGATTCACGCAAAACGTGCCCCAGCAAATGATGTCAACGCAAGTTCCCCGTCACCTGCAGGCAACTAACCTTGAATGACGGACATCTCAAACTGGCCATGCCATTGCTGAATGCAGAATAACGAGAGCGTCAGCGGTGATTGGTGTTCCCAAATTCACCCTGCCTCCCTGCCGCCTTCCTCTCTCGCTATCGCTCTTTTCTGCCCTCGGTCTCCGCACCCAACAACGAGCTCCAGATGCCGGATGAGATCAGCAATTGCTCGGATGACATCGAGGAGCTGGATGATGACACATTGACCGCAATCCTGGGCGACTTCGACAAGATCACCGATGCCGAACTTCAAGGAATCCCGCTCCTCGAACGCCAGAACCTTGCGATTGCTGCCGTTCAGCAAGGTGTCTCACAGCGAAAAGCATGCACATTCTATCGGGTAAACCGAGGCACAGTCGCCAATCGCATGAGGGGTCTCCAGAATCGGGTACAAGCTCATGCAAAGGAGCGTGCAGTTAGTGATGCAGAGGAGACGGTCTTCGTTGATTTCATCAAGGTCCGTTGAAGCATAAACTACTACGTGATTCTGCTCTGACTCACCCCATAGGTTTTGGGATATCGCGGCATTCCATTGACAATGGACATGATCACTGTGTACGCATCACAGATTGCAGGGAAGGAACTAGGGAAGACTTGGAGCAAGCGCTTCAAAGCTCGTCATAAGGAGCTCAGAGTACGGCTCAAATGGTCTGGAATGAGTAGATACTTATGCTCGTATCATTGTAGGTGAAAATTGCGACACCACTCGAAGAATGCAGGGCAAAATCACTTGTGAAACCCGTTGTACACTCATACTTTGCTATGCTTCGTGAAGTCATCAACAAATATCAAATCAAGCCGGCGAATATCTACAATATGGATGAAAAAGGCATACAGCTTGGCGTTGCTGGACGGATTGCGTTTGTCGTTGATCGGGACCAAAAGAATGTCCAGGCAATAGCAAGTGGTAATCGCGAGCTTGTCACCATTCTTGAATGCATCTGCGCGGATGGGACGGTTCTCAATCCTGCGGTAGTGTTTCAGGGCTTACGTCGTGATAATCGATGGGGACAGAACAACCCATGTAACGCAAGGTGGGATTCACTGTCTAGCTGCAGAGAACAGATGATGTGCTCACGTAGCAACTTCTAGCATTTCATTGTCACCAAATGGATGGACTGATCAAGAACTTGGTTCACTCTGGTTACGAAAGGACTTCCATCCACAAACCAAGCAACGTTTGAACAATTCCGATGAATATCGCCTACTCATTCTTGATGGGCATAACAGCCACTGCACTTACGATTTCGTCATCTTCGCACGAGATCATAGAATCATTGTGGTTTGTCTGCCATCGCATACTACACATGCACTTCAGCCATGTGATGTTGGAGTCTTCGGGCCATTAGCAAAGAAGTGGAAAGCGCAGGTTCTCTCGGTACGTGCTCATTCACGCTTCATACTGGATAGGATTAATCTTCATTCTCAGGAAAGCGTCCATGCGCGCGTAATTGACAAGTATAACTTTCTTCAGAACTACAGTGAAGCGAGAGACCTTGCTTTCAAGAAGCAGACCATCTGCAATGCATTCCGCAAGTGCGGAATCCACCCACTGAATGAAGATGCCATCCCAATAGAGCTCTTTGCGCCAGCCGAGAACTACACAAGCCAGGAGGCCCAGCCAGTCAAAGTCACCCTGCCTCGTCTTTTAGTCCCTGTAGAACCTGAACATCTCAAACCGGCTGCAGAGATTGCATGCTCACATTCTGACACAGTCGATCCCGCTCCTGATGCAGCATCACATCTCCACGACACCGTTGACCGCACTCTTGATTCTTCTAGGACATTGCCTGCCATCTCCGGATCTCCTTGTCAGACGGAGAATACCAGTGCGGTCAGTGCGGCCTCTTCAGATACTGTCGCGGACCCACCTGTTACCAACGAAAGATCCGCTCGCTACAAAATTGGACTGCCGAGCCCACTACCAGCGAACGCGTCACGGGATCAATGGAAGGAGCGGAATGAGGAGCTACGAGGATTGCTTGAGCAAGCCGGGCATGAACTTGAAAAGAATCACGCACAGCTGATCCTCATGCAGTCCGAGAATGAGCGTGTCCGGCAGCAGCTCTTCAACAAGAAGTCCAAACCAAAGCGTGCATACAACACTGGAGCTTCACGCTTGATGACTGGAGACGAGATGACCGCAGCCTTGCTGTTGGACGAGCAGAAGAAGAAAATGTTAGCGATGCATGCCGAGCTGAAGAAGAGACTTGCCGCAATGAAGAAGTCCGCAGCTCAAGCCCAGAAAGCGGCCAAGGAAACTGAAAAAGCGGCCAAGAAGGCAGAGAAAGCAGCGCAGAGGTTGGAGGCGGCAGCATTGCGAGGTGTTGGCAGGGCCCGAGGCCGTGGGAGAGGCCGTGGAAGAGGAGGTGGGAGAGGCCATGGGAGGGGAGGTGGACACAGACACGGACACGGACACGGACAAGGCAGTGCACCACACGGGGTGCGGAGTCACAGTGGTAGCGAGGACATGGAGTCGGAAACTGACAGTGATGGTGATAGCGACCACGAATCCATTGCTCTTCCCGATTCCGAGGACGAGCCCGAATCCGAGGAAGAATACAATACAGAAGTGGCCCGGGTGCTAGACAAAGTCGAGGAGGAGGAAGAGGAGGAGGATGGAGAGATCAGCATAGTGTGCATCAATGGACATCGATGGTACGAACGCAAGGAGCTCCAACTGATGGTGGTATGGGAAGATGAAGACGTAACTTGGGAACCCCTGCGGACCGTGGACGACTGTACTGCTATGGATGAATACCTCCAACGACATGGATTGGAGGACCCTCTTGAGCTTCCCAAGCGAAAAAACCTCATTAAAAAGGGGCTGACAGCATCAAATGAGAGAGAAAAGTCGTAGTTTAGATGCAGAGAATGTCATTTGGTGGGCGAGAACAAGCGGTATAGCGCCAGATGTCGAGAGGAACGAGGAAGAGGCAGAATCAGCCCAGCAGCTGCCATTTTCCCACGTCCGGTCAACTGCCACGTCCGATCCCATTTGGCAGTCGCCGCGGGAAAATATTCACTGAGCGAGAACCGGTGATGATATCAGCAATCAGTAACTTGCGCCTTGCTCCCAAGACCCTAGGTCATCTTTTGACCACTCAGCAGGATGATACAATCAGACTAACCTATTACAGGACGTAAAGAGGTCTTAGGTGGCCAAGATCCCAGTCGCATATAGTAGTCTTATGACTCATTAGTTGTAGATATGACTCAGACTGGATTTGGGTATAAATACTGTAGCTACTTGGTTGTATTCCCCAGTCTTCGAATTCACTTCTCTTTTCGACTTTGTTTTTGGGTTGATTGTCACAAACTACCAGGCAGAGAGGAAGAGGCATTCAATGGACGTGTATGTTCAGATCACGAGCCTGGACTCAGGGAAAACGCGTGGAGTCAAAGCACTGTTGGATAGTGGCTGCAGTACCTGCTGCATTGACACCAACTACGCACGAGCAGAGAAATTGGACATCCAAGAGCTTCCACAACCCATCGTGGCGCATAACGCCGACAACACCGAGAACATCAGCAGCCGGATCACACATTACGTCGACTTGAGGATGAGAATTGGTCCTCATGTGGAGACCCGCACATTCCTCCTGACGTGCCTAGGAAAAGCCCGGATCTTCATTGGTCTTGATTGGCTGACAGAACACAACCCCGAGGTGGACTGGCGGGAGCAGACAATGAGATTCAGCCGATGCCCGGAGCGGTGTCACATGGGGGGTCAGGAGGAGCACCAGGCAATGGTCGATATGTGTAAGGGCAACCTCGAGACCCGATCTCAGAGTTCTGGCAAGGGAGAATCCAAAGTGTTAATAGTGGTAGCTAGGTACAAGACCGGCATACCTGGCAAGGGAGAATCCAAAGAGAAACCGTGTTGGGGATTCTCCTTGCCAGGCGCCACTATTTATATGATACAAGAACAATAGAGCGCGCAGCGACAAACAAAGAACAATGGGAACAATAAGTACAATGGCCGTTTGGAGAACAATAGGAAACTGAGATAGTGGGGACGATGGGACACCTGATGTCAGGGGAACCCCTGCTTTCGTCCGATCATCCTGGGATCTTGCATGTGACCGTGCACGTGCCATCTGTCAGGCGTCACATGCTTCGGTCCGGACTTCCCTGCCAAGCGCATCCACATGACACTCGGGCCCGGATCCCCATTGTTCCGACGGTCCGGCTCCCATTGTTCTCCCCCGATCCGGCCCCTCATTGTTCCCTGGCCCCATTGTCTGGCGCTTCCATTGTGCTTGGTCATCCATTGTTCTGTAGGCTATATATAGTGGGCCCTGACAAGGAGAGTCCCCAACTCGGTTTCTCTTTGGACTCTCCCTTGTCAGGTTTGCCAGTCTCCTGTACTAGTCGATCACCTTATCTGACGCTTTGGACTCTCCCTTGTCAGGACTCTGAGATCGGGCCTCGAGGTTGCCCTTACACCTGACCATGTGCCCATCAGAGAGAAGCGCTTGGCGCGGCAGTCCGGGCCGCGGCGCGTGACAGCTGACAGGTCACGCAAGCGCGATCACATGCCAGATCCCAAGCTGATCGATCAGAAGAGGGGGTTCCCCTGACAATATGGATGCAATTGATCTGAACACAAACGCACTGGATCTGGAAGAAGGGGAATTGATCTTGTTGGTCGACTTTGGGAGGGAGGTGGATCTTCGGCTAAAAGAAACACCGGCGCAGAAATTTGCAGAAGAAGCAGAGAAGGAGAAGGAGCGAACGAAAGGAGCGAACGACTGAGGGGAAAAATCCGGATCAATACCGGGAGTTTGTCAAGGTCTTCGCAAAAGAATCATTCGACTCGCTGCCAGATCGACGAGCATGGGACCATGCAATCGAACTCAAACCAGGCTCCAAAGCAGTGGACTGCAAGGTCTATCTGCTATCATGAAATGAGCAGGTCAAACTCGACGAGTTCTTACAAGAGAATCTAGCCAGCGGACGGATCAGGCCATCAAAATCACCCATGGCATCAGCATTCTTCTTTGTCAAGAAAAAGGATGGCTCCCTACGCCCCGTCCAAGATTATCGAAAGCTGAATGAGATGACAATCCGGAATCGATACCCGCTGCCGCTGATCTCCGAATTGGTCCATAATCTATGCGGCGCCAAGTTCTTCACAAAACTTGACATCCGGTGGGGATACAACAACGTACGGATCAAAGAGGGCAACGAGTGGAAGGCTGCGTTCCGCACAAACCGCGGACTGTACGAGCCCTTGGTCATGTTCTTTGGTCTCACAAATTCCCCGGCAACATTCCAAAACATGATGAATGAAATACTGCGGGAACTGATCAACGAGGGCCACGTGGTAGTTTACCTGGATGACATACTGATCTTCACAGAAAACCTGGCTGAGCACCGGCAAATCACAAAGCGGGTACTCCAACTACTCCAGAAACACAAGCTGTACCTAAAGCCCGAAAAATGCGAGTTCGAACGCACGGAAATCGAGTACTTGGGTTTGATCATCGGACACAACTCGATGCGGATGGACCCTGTCAAGATCAAAGGAGTGATGGAATGGCCAGAACCGGGAAGCGTTAAACAAGTCCAAGCGTTCCTGGGCTTCATGAACTTCTATCGGCATTTTGTTCGGGGATACGCGGAGGTGGAAAAGCTGTTGACACGGCTGACAGGGAAGGCAGGATGGTCATGGGGTGCAGAAGAGCGTGCAGCATTTGATGGGTTGAAGAAGAGAATCGCGGAGGATGCGGTCTTAGCACTGCCAAATGACACCGGCCAATATCGTCTGGAAGCTGATGCTTCGGAAGGGGCAACAGGATCCGTTTTGAGCCAAAAACAAGACAACATTTGGCGACCAATTGCGTTTATTTCACATGCATTGACCGAAACCGAGCGAAATTACGAGATCTACGACAAGGAAATGCTCGCAATCATGCTATCACTGGACGAATGGAGGCAGTTATTCCTGGGAGCCACGGAAACGTTCGAGATCTTCACCGAACATCAAATCTCGAGTACTTCCGAAAGCCGCAGAAGCTCAATCGACGGCAAGCACGATGGATCACGGAGTTGGCGGAGTTTGATTTCACCTTACGACACCGGCCTGGCGCACTTAACCGCAAGGCGGACCTCTTGTCTCGACGAGCGGATCACGACCAGGGCAAGAATGACAACAAGGACGTCACCCTGCTGAAGCCCGAGCTCTTCCAATCGCAAGAAGTCACATTCGAGGGGCAAGATCAGCAGCTAGTTGATGAGATCAAGGCCGCTCGATCGATTGATGGAAGCGTCAAAGCGGCCTTGGAGAAGTCACTTGTCGGATGGAAGAAGAAGAGGGGCTTATCACGTATCATGGGAAGCTCTATGTACCAAGAGACGAGGAGTTACGGGACAAGATCATTGGACTACACCACGACACCCCTTTGGTTGGACATGCTGGGATCAACCGAACACAGGAGATGGTGGAAAGAAACTGCTGGTGGCCAAGGATGGGAAACCAAATTCGGAAATACATCCAGACGTGCGAGGCGTGCCAACGGACCAAGACCAGAAGAGCAAGGACAGGGACTCTGCACCCGCATGCAGTTCCAAATGCGCCCTGGGAAATCATCTCGATGGATCAAATTGGACCCCTACCAGTCAGCAACGGGTATGACGCAATCCATGTGTGGTGTGACACCTTCACAAAAATGATCCACGTCGAACCCATTAGTACTGACATCAGCAGCGAAGGAGTAGCACGATTGACAAGGGACCAAGTCTTCCGCTATCATGGGATCCCTCGCAAGATCATCACCAACAGGGACTCACGATACATCAAGGGCTTCAAGAAGGAAACGAATCAGATGTTGGGCGTGGAAATGAATCCGGGGACCGCCTATCACCCAATCACCAATGGGCAGACAGAGCGCATGAATCAGGAGATCGAACACTATCTCCGCATCTACGTCAATTACCATCAGACGGACTGGTCGGAGTGGCTGGGAATGGCGGAGTTCGCATATAACGACAAAATGAACACGTCGACCAAAATATCACCGTTCTATGCCAATCACGGATATCACCCATGGAAGGGAGTGGAGCAACGGATGGAATCGAGGAACGAGTCAGCGGAGGAGTTTGTAAAAAGAATCAAAGAAATACAAGACGGAGCAAAAGCAGCACTGGAAAAAGCAAAAGAAAAAATGAAAAAATACTACGATAAACAAAGAAAAAAGGTTCCGGAGTTGAAGGTTGGGATGAAGGTGTACATAGAAGGGGAAAATATCGAGACGGATAGACCATCAAAGAAGATGAGTGACAAGAGATTAGGACCATACGAGATACTGGAGAAGGTTGGAGCGGCTGCATGGAAACTGGATTTACCGGACACGGACCGAAGGCATCCAGTGTTCAACGAGTCACTGCTGACACCCTATCACGAACCACCACCCCATCGCCAAGAAAGGAGACCGGTAGCCAAGATGATTGGAGGAGCAGAAGAGTGGGAAGTCAAAGAGATTGTGAAAGAACGGAAGGTCGGCCGAGGAAAACAATACTTGGTCAAATGGAAGGGATGGCCGCATAGCGAGAACACCTGGGAACCATCACGTCACCTTACCCATGCAAAGAAGGTCCTGAGAGATTGGCAGAGGAGACAATCCAACCCAGACACACGCATTTGCCTCCTACCAACGCTCGAAGCCGGACATTGGGATTATCTTATCCATCGCTACAAACCCAGAGACGAACGCCTTCCATACCCCAAACAACAACTCTTCGACCCTTACGAGAACGTCTTTACACCCATTGGCCTAGTCGATGAGGACATCGACCCTAGAGAGGGGGTAATGTCATAGTTTGGCCACTTTTTCATCTTATCATCGACCATCTTATCTTATCTCGGCACGGATTATCTTATCACGGATCACGGCATCAGACGGTCCGGACTAGGGGATTCCAGGGATTATCTCTATCGATTCGAGGCTGCGCAACATATGCTCCGGAAGGTTCTACTACAACCCATGACCAGCGTTCCATGCGGTACATAGTCTCATGACTCATTAGTTGTAGATATGACTCAGACTGGACTTGGGTATAAATACTGTAGCTACTTGGTTGTATTCTCCAGTCTTCGAATTCACTTCTCTTTTCGACATTATTTCTTGTTGATTGTCACAGATCTATTTCATTTTTTGCAGGGTCGAGTTTTCAACGGCAAATCACACTTTGTGGGCTGTTCCGGATATTGTACAACTGAGCGCAGTCAGCACCGTTACCTTGCCATTCCAGGCAATGTGGACAAGAGGATCCTACAGCATGTTCTCGAACACGGTGGCGCACTTCCGGATTCAACAAGCTTGTTAAATGAATCTTGCTTGTTTACCTCCAATCCACGTTTTGGCACAAAGACCTGCCATACGTGCTTATTTATCCTTGCGCTCTGTTCACTCAAAAAATGCTTTCTTGTAGAATACAGTCACATTATTGGCGGTGTGATCGTTCCAGCAGTCATGCAGCCTCGGCAATGTCCGTGTTGAATGATTATCTTTGCTCCCATCCCATCCGAGCAAGCAGCCGACCCTAATCTGGCCTTCAAAGCGATTCTTTTCTTCGAGAGCCCTCACAATCATCCCGCCTTCTCAGTTTCCAAAGTAGGTGCTGAGGAGCGACTCAAATTGGACGCCGCTATTAATGCAGTTGGCATATGAGGACTCACTATGTCCAAGTTGATTAACGGTATGCATCATTTCACACTTTCAAAGAGCTGCACATTGATTGACTAACAATCTTAGCACCCTCTACATCTAAAATATTTGGATCGGATGCACTTGGCGAGAGTAGCACTGCCCTCTTGGACAATTGTCGCATCCGAAAGGCAATTACTGATGCCAAAAAGCGCAAGTATGAACATGGTACTGACTGGGAAGGTACGAGAGTCTGAACAGAACAATTGTCCAGTTGACTTATTGATTATCTCAGGACTTGTTCATTACATCGCAAATGTTCACAACAAGCTCCCACAATCGGAGCGTTACATTCATGCTGTGATTAATAAGGGCTTTCAAATCGTTGTTACAATGCATCCCGAAATGGCTCAGCGGCTGCATCATGTTTGGTACGTCGAGATGGACTACACCTTTTCCCGGGTCCATAGCTCAGAGAGGATGGACAAGTGGGAGATTGCTGGATTCCTAGATTTTGTGAACAAGTGTAAGTCAGAGCGTTCAATTTGATTCATGCGCAGCACTGATTTGACAAAGGCTACATGTTTGGCAGTCTGTTCTGTGACACAAAGTCCACCCAAGCATACGAACAGATTTGGAGCAAATTCTTTGATGTAATCCAGCGCTTGACGGGCCGCCTTTTCAAGCTTGCACCCTTCTATCCAGACGCAAAGTGTCGCGTCATTTTGCTCGATGGTGAAGTAGCTCAGGCTCAGGCGCTTGGGACATTCCTCGTAAAATACAACAACCCAAATATCAGCAGCATTCGTTCCAGAGATCCACTTGAAATGCTTTCCTACACTCTCAAAACCTGCAGTGTACACTTTAATCAGCACGCAAATCTCGATCCACAATTGCAGCTTCCCTCAGGACTTTTAGGCATCTCACAGAGTTGGAACGGACTGTTCCCTCTGATACTGTTCAAAAACTGCGCAATTATCGTAATCTCTCAAGCACCCTGGAGATCGAGGTACAGTGAAGTGGAGGCACTGATTTCGCCCTATCCTGCTGCTCTGAGTAAGTAACATTTATTTCGCTCGCTTCCCTGCCACGGTATTTAGTTTGCTTCATAGATTGGTTCAAGCAGAAGCAGGCAAATCCCTGGATTCTCCGTTCGCTCAACCAGGTTGCGTCAAATATTGCATTTGAGGATTATAACACAACTCCGCACCACACGAATCTCATTGAGTCTGCACATGCGGCTTGCAAAAGAGAGACTGAGAAGCGGGTCGGTCTACTTGATGCAATTCTTGAGTACATTTCTTTGTTCTCTGTTCAAAATACTGCTGCTGATTGTTCTTTTGACAGTGCATGGAGGCGCGACAACGCTCACGCTGTTAATCTGGCTCAAATGGAGCGAAGCGGTGTTCTTCACAAACGCAACAACGACACATATCATCGTGAGGTAAATTCGGCGCAACGGGCCAAATGGGCTTGGCAACTGGCAGCGCAACACAGTTTGCAAACGCAGGACTTTCTGTCTTTGAAAGCTGAGCTTGCGGACGGCAACACAGAGCTTGCAGCATCACTTGCTCGTTCGAAGGAGCTGAAAGCAGAGATGGATCATGTGAAAGCTCAGCTGGGCCTAGATCGACACGGCAAACATTTCGCCATTCAACTAGATGAGTTGCGAGCTAAGATCAGCTAGATGAGTTGCGAGCTGAGGAGAAAGCCGAGTTGCAAGGACGTCACACTTGGAGAGAACACAGGAAGCAGATTGACGCGGCGATGAAGGCATTGCGCACAGGTCCTCTCGCTGGCAAACAAATTCCAAAACCTCCGGGAGATATCCAGGGTAAGTGACTGCGCTTCTTATGGTTGTCTGTGCGTTCAAATCTATAATAGTCATGCTCGGAGGCTCCGAATCAGTTACTCAAGCTTCTCCGGAAGTTCAACCAGCGAGCGAATTGGTGCGCAAATCTCCTTTCAAAAATAGAGCTGTGACTGAATGTATCCCTAGCCAACCATCGATCCCGGGCTGTTCGAGCCTCCCGAAATGTTCAAAGACTCAATACCACTCTCACCACAGTCCCGGAATCATGATACCGAGTTTGATCTGTTGGAATTTCCATTTGAAACTTTGACACAGTCGGACTGGGCACAGATTATGTCTGCTTCTGATGAAGCTAACACACAGATGATTCTGGACTCTGTCTCTTCGCAGGATGCAGGAAATCGACTGCCTGCCTCTCCGCCCGCTTCTACCTCCTCGAATACAGCGCTTTGGCCTGTACTACCTCCACCTCGGCCTATTTCACCTCCGGAAGTGGAGGACTCCGTGATGCTGCCTGCTGCTGGAACAAGCTCCGACGCAGGCTCATTTGGAGAGCATAATATTCTGCCAAGTGGGTCTCGCCGTACTCGAGCCGTTCGTACTCGCTCCGGCGATAATATCATTGGCAGGTCTGTGTCCAAGAAGACAAAGCGCTTTTAAAATGGATCATTATGTAGACTTGAATGATATTTAATTTATGATTGGGCGTTGACGAGCAGTGATGCACCCTGGCCCCGCAATCAATTGATCGGAGGCCACATCAGTATGACGTAGCAAGCTGCTTGAGCTGACAAAGCAGCCATAATTGATTGGCGGCGGCTTCCCGCTCGCAGCGGCGGGGTGTGATTTACCATCAGAGTGTGAAACTGCCATCAGCAGCTTTCACACTAGAAAGTGTCGGCTCCGCCGACAGAATGCCTTGCTACACTTTACAGAGACAGTCAATTTAACTTTAATTCGGCTATAGTACGCAATCATCTTGTTAAGCACATTGTAACTAAGCCCCAGCAGCTCTCGTCTTTTTCTTTTTCGGGCTCTCATCCATGTCAGGAACCGCCGGTCGACGCTTCTTCGGGCTAGGCGGCGGAGCGACCTGGGAATCGATGACGCGTATCTTGACAATGTCCGCAACGAATGTGTCTTGTTGCTGGCTCATGAACGAATAGTGGGTCATATTGAAAGTGACCGCAATTGAAGCACCCGGGAGTTTCTTCATGTAATCCTCCGGTGCGATAATTCTCCCATCAAAATCGTACGCACACAAACGGTCCACCACGTATTTGCCTTCCATGCTCTGTATCCCTTCGCGGGCCAGCTCACTCTTACGAGAGAATGGCGGATGCGCCGGAGACATGAAACGGACGACGAGATTATTGTCGGGGACTTACAACCCTGAATGTCAGCCTTACGCCCGATCAACCTACGCTCTTACCTACACTCGATCGACCAGTGTTCTTAACGAGCGACTGTCTTGTACAAGTAGCATGGAATCGATGGCACTAGAAAGTACAAGGCTCAGCGCAAACGTGAATATTGAATGATCGACTCGGCCGTACGTGAAATACATGAGATACATCACATTTTGATGATCAAGCGGATCACACCACGGATCAGGTTCATCTGATTTGTGTGTTAATTTAGGGTCTGGAGAGTGCCTTGACAAGCAAGGCAATTCACACTCAACCTGTATATACTCGAGACCTCGAGGGCCTCAATGTTCGACACCAGATGCTCGACTTTCCTCCCCCCAATAATGGGGAAGCAGTACGGCACCTTGTGCATCAGGTATGCGATCGCGACTGCTCGCGCACTCTGCATCAGAATGGGTGAAATTTGCAGAGAAAGTGAGACCCACTGGAGGTGATGCTCTTGGCCCCGATCTCCCCCGCGACCTTCTCGAGTGCATACGAGATCTTCTTCTCATCCTCGTTTCTTTCCCAGTCAGCGCTCACCTGTAAATCCCAACTGGGCCCACTAATTAGTGACAAGATCCAGGCTGGTTCCCCCCACTAGTTAGTGGGCTTTAGAGCAAAATTACATATGCTTGAATAATAGTGAAATATCTGCTTGGAATCTGGAGCAGATGAGACCAGATCCAGTGATTTTTCCCAAGTCCCTACAGCTGTTTCAGATCTGTTCAAATATGTGGGATGGGGGATGCAGACATATTGTATGCTCCAATAATGTTGCAATACATGTGCCCAGATTTTGAAGACATCTGTCTACTCGAAATCTGCTTGAGGATTCTCCATGCCATATGAGCTGCTCGGATTATGTTCAAATACAAGTCAAGGGATTGTTTATGCTCAGATTCTGCTTGAATATTGGTGTGAGAGGACTTGGACAGGTTTGTGATGGCGGTCTGCTTAGGATCTGTTTGAATAATTGTGTGAGAGGACTTGTTCGGTCTTGCAATGGTGGTCTGCTTCAGATATGTTTGAATAATTAAGACAAAGGACTTGGTCAATTTTGTGTGAGTGATATGTTTCAATTAAGTTTGAATATACTTATTCAGAGTAGTATCTATGTGGCCTCCTGCACAGTCTTGTTGCCCCTCTTGTTGGAGTCAAGACCCAAAATAGAGACACTGTGTATGACATCATTCACCTCTTCCTCCTCTGCCTCTGAGCCCTCGTCTTCATCCTCCCAGCCTTCATTGGTATCAACCCATTTATCATCTTCTTCCATATTGGTGCTGCCCTTTACTGTCCCCAGGCAAAGATTGCCATGGAAATTAGGATGCTTTGATAACTTGTAAAACCATTGCATGTGTTTATCATTGCACCGGCCTCTCTCATCCACCCCAGATACCACCACCATCATTACATAACAGACCCCGCGGGTACCCAGTAGGTACCCCCCCTCCACGGCGGGGGCGCAGGGGGCAGGGTCATGTGCAGGGGCCAGAAGGGGGGGGATAATACATATCATGTGATTTATCCTGTAGATCAGGCAGATGGGTTGGAGAAAAAATAGAATCATGTGAGGCATCAAATGGGCAGGGGATGGCGGGATAAAAAAAAAATCACGTGATGAAACACATGAGATTTCAAAAATGTTGGCGGGGTTGGTGGGGGTGTTGGCGAGGTCACTGCCGCCCCCTCCCGCACACCAGGGCAGACAGTGGGCACATTATCACGTGACTTTTTAGAGACTTTTTTTGCACTGTTTAGCATGGTTTCTGTTGTGCTCCTAATACATTGTATGTTGTAGCCAGTTGGTAGGCAGATGATCATGTGACCTTTCACAAATAAAATAAAAAAGCAGCTCCAAATCATCCCACTGGGATTTCAATAGCTTGGTTCAATTTTAACCATACATTTGAGCTTGAAAACCCAAAATTGTGAATTCAATCCTGGCGGTGGCTTGGGCGGGGTTGATTGCAGGGGTGCATAAACCTCTGCCCACCCCTATTGGCACCCCCGCCACAACCCTCACCATCACCCCCGCCATCACCCCCGCTGCAGTGGTGCACCTGCCCCTGCCATCTCCAAATATGTAATATTATGTAAAGTGACAGCTCAGAACACATTAACTCATTAGCCAATCAGAACCTGTATAAAGGTCATACTCCAGTGTTTCTGTTCTTCTGACACTTTCCCTACATGTATTGCAGCCAAAAATCATTGGAATAATGTCCCCCTATGCTACTCTTGTCAAATATAATGCTAATTCATGTCCTTTGTCCGTTTGAAATTTGAAACATCAAAACAGTCCATGGTTGGGTAAGGTTCCTATGTAGAGACTACTTCAACATGATTCACTTTGGGTATTGCACAAAATATATTTTCTACAAGGGCCCAACTTCACACAACTGAAAGATACACTCTTTGACATTGCTTCAATCAAGTCTTGGGAGTTCTGGACTCTGGAACAATTCAAAAACATGGAATGAATTCAAAACATAGTGTATTTCTGAATGTGAGATATGGGCCAGTTTGATGAGATGTAAGCCACTGGTTATGTTGAATAGGATATCTGACAATGATTTGGCCCTCTACCTTCCACTATACAACTTTTGTTCTTAACAAAATGTGTGGTAAGCAACCCAAGCTTATAAAATCAATTGTTGCCTAGATAAAACAAAGGTAAAGCTGTTTCACTGAAAATTTGATAGAGGATACCTTGAAGTCGCTTGGGTGTCAGTACTGAAAATGTAGAAAGTCATCCTGAGGTTCGAGCCATAGCCCTAGGATTTAGTCAAATCCGTTTGGCTGTAGCCATAGAAATTGCATTCAAATCTATGGCTGTAGCCATAGGGCATGGCGGTGCTGATGTGAACAACGATCATTATGATCAACAACCTGTGATTGTGATTGACACCCAACAGCTAGGCAGTGGTTTCATGGAGGATTGAACGGCTGACCTTCTAAAAATGTAAGTTGAACAATGCATTATCATACTGAGCTAAACCGCTGTTAAACAAGTGGCCATTTCCCTCAACTTAGGGTAACCCGCAAGCGGCTTACCCTAAGTGGAGGGAAAGCTTTATCCTAGTACTGGTTATACCAACCCCTTATCACCCAATAAACATATTTCTTGCCCCAACCAACCCTAATAGAGCCTCTAACAGGATTTTTTTTTGCTCCCTTGCCCCAACCCTAACTGACAATAAATATATTTCTTACCCTAACCAACCCTTACAGAGCCTGTAATAGGCTTTTTTTTTGCTACCTTGCCCCAGCCATAACTGAGAAAAAATGACGTCTCTGGGGACTAACCTTTAACCCAAACCCAAACCCTAGCCTGAACCACTAACCTCCGCGCCCAGAGGGGCGCGGCTTGTTGAAGACAGTAAGGCCGATCAACACTTTATGTTGAGGGATCATGGTGGTGCTGATGGCAATGATGATCTTGCACATGCCATGGTGATG